TAATAAGACTATGATTTGCTTAAGAAGAGTACAGGAGTTTCAGAAAACCTTTCCTCAGAAGTATTTAGGGTTTCTAGGTCGTTTCGAGCTTAGATATAACATGAAGTACCGGTACTGAAAGTTAATATTGAATCCTAATTTTCGGTTATTTACCCATGTAATTTGTTTTGTCAATCTTCTCAGTTTTAGTCTCCTTGATGGTCGAATTCTTTCCTTACTGATTATTAATGAAGCATATATAATTTACCTCAAAATGTAAATGAAGTTCCAGGTTAACAGATACTTTTTAAAATTTGGCGCCACCTTTTCAATTTGAGTTTGATTAATGTTGCGTTGAATAATTCATTGACTTACCGTGAAAGTGGAAGTCAAAATAATGTAAATAGCTCTTTCAAACAGCAGCCAGAAGCAAAACAAAAGGGTCACTCAGAGAAGAGAAATGTTTGCAGATTATTTCGATTCAAAGTTCGGTAAGGTTCGACGGAAACACTCCACGCTGAAGTATTTGATCGATTTGGCCTAAGGTTTCAAAATGCAAATAATCAACTGGTTTTCAACAACGCGGGCTCGCAAAATCTTTGAACGTACAAATCTTTGACTGTTTTGCGAACTGAAGATACCGTTTTCGGCATTTATTAGCCCAAGAAAGTTTGTCCTTATGAGGCGGTGAGTGTTTTTTGAGACAGCTTTTTAACATTATCAGACTGGAGAAGTTAACAATTGCTCAAGAATGCGTAAAATTAATAACTGACCTGTTTCAAGTCTTCCAGTTGGGATAGTGGCATGGACTCGAACAAACTCTAAGAAACGTAGTTTTTCTTTCACCAAGATGTGAATTGGTGTTGCCTTTTTTTCTGTCGTTAGTTAGTCTACAATTGACAGACTTGAAAGGGGTCATTATCCTGGGAACACTAAATGTACTTGCATTCTATTGTAATTATGTCACTGAGACAAAAAATTAGATGATTTTGCCTGCTCTTTACCTTTTTATTTACGAATCATATTCACTGTTATGAATTTTAAGAATCACTCCGCCCATCGTTTGCCTCGAGACTAAACCAGCAGACACAGTTCAATTTGGAAACAGTGGAAATCCTTTACCTGGAGTTAACTAACAACCTCACATGTGATCACAAGGCGATCTTATCCACTGTCATTTATGCTTCTTTGTTTATTCATACTGCATTTAACCTTGAAATTTATGTAGCCATTAATTGATTCCATGTAAATGTCTATTTGTGCTGGTACAGTAAATTGCATGTACTACTGACAAGTCTAACAGTTGGCTGTAACACAGTCTTTTTTGAGGCCCCTTAGAACTTGTTTTAAAAGTGAAAAAAGGACTGTGAAACAAAGCATTGCTTAAATGTCATTGAACACACTTATTCCATTACAAAACCATTTTCAGCAACGTTAATTTAGGGTTCGATTTTCCTCTTGTATGGTGAATTTGTTTGGCTCTGTAACCTCTCCATTTCTCTCTTCTTGAGGGACGCAAACTTTGGTCCTAAAACTCTCTGTGACCTCTGCCGTAATTCGATTGACACCTTTATGGAATGAACACTTTATTCTGTCCAGAGGGTATGCACCTCAGCTAGGCTAATACCTGGCCCACAAATGGGGCTTTCAAAACACTGTACATCCTTGCAAAATTCAGGAAGGTCATGTCATGTCATGAACCTATCCCAAGGCCTACCTGTAGCTACTAACGAAAGGAAACTGCAATAATAAGGTCATTCATGTTGGGCTGAATATCACTGGAAGTACTCACATCTTCTATTTCTGAGTATGCCTGTACCTGTATCACTGAACAACAATTACCATTTGTTTACGCTTCACACAGTGAACATACCATGTTTATTTTTGATGGACACACTACTGGAAATGCATGTATATTGTAACATCTCCCCTTTTTTTTTTTTTTAACCCATCACTGTAATGTAATCCAAAATCATACATAACAACAAAAAGCAGTGTCCAATGTTCTGTTCCATGTTCAGTGTCCTTAATCAGTTTAAATGCTCATACATAATCTTCAAATCTCACTGGTGGCCTAACTGTTCTTGTATGGGTTATCCTCGTTGATGTACTGTTAGTCTTGTGCTGGGTATCGTTCACTTCACTGTGTTGGTCAATGCTACTTGCTCTCCTGTTTGTGGTGGTGCAGGTGGGGATGATTTTACTTCAGTGTGGACTGTCTCATCAGTCTTCAGTGTTTCATACCTTGGTCTCAATGTCTCTCTGTTTCGCACTGCATCTCCTTTGACTTCTACCAGGTATGAGTGGTCTGATGACTTCTGAACACATGTACCGGCTTCCCAGATTCTGTTTTGCTGTCCAGCTACTATGAATTCCTGACCTATTTCAAGCTCTGGTAGTGACTTGCTGCCTTGGTCATGATAGCTTTTAGCCTTTTGTCTCTTGGCCTTCAATTTCTCTTTGACACCTTTTTCTACTCTGGGGTACAGAAGATTTGCTGATATGGGTAACAGTGTACGTGTTCTTCATGCCATCAGTCTCTGTACTAGGCTAGAATTTACACTTTGCATAGGCGTGTTGCGCTGATCTAACAATGCCAGCCAAGAGTCCTCGTTGTCCCTGTAGGCTTTCTTGACAATCTTCTTTGCTATTTTCACTGCCGCTTTGGCCTTACCATTGGATTTGGCATGCCTGGGTGATGATATCACGTGTTTAAGCCCCCAGTCTTTGGAAAATTCCGTGAACTCACGCAGTACGGCAGGCGTACTGCGGCCCGTTGTCGGTTATAAGTACATCAGGTATGCCTCAACGGCTAAACTGCTCTGTGAGAAACTTTATGATGTATACTGCGGTTGTGCCCTTCAACTCGCCAACTTCTATGAAATTTAAGTAGCCGTCTGTAAGCACAATATATTCCTTAGAGTTCAAGGTGAACAAGTCTGAGGAAACTCGGCTCCATGGTCGATCGGGTATTTGGTGTGTCTGCATTGTCCGCCTCACATTCTTTGCTTGGAACTCAGCACATATCTCACATTTCACGACAGCTTCCTCTGTGTCCTTGTTCATGGAGGGCCATGACTATGTCTAAGACTATGTCCTTTGCACGTTTCAATTCCTTGGTGACTGGAACGAGCTCTAGTGGTCAGCTCTGTTCTCATGGCTTTTGGGATGACGACTCGCTGAGTCTTGAAAATGATGCCATTATGGAGCGTTGTGTGATTCCAGTATTCTTTGATGTGGAATGGTACGTCTTCTCTCTTTTCTGGCCGACCAATCAGAATGGTGGATTTGAGAGTCTGTATGACAGGGTCTTGTGCTGTAGCCTTTTGAAGCTTTGGCAGTCTCTCGCTGCTGATCATGATTGTGTCGAAAGGGATCATTGCTTCCAATTTCAGAGCAAAAACTTGAAATTCTTCTTTGCCTGGACCAGTGGCTTTTAGGAAGGCTCTGGATAGGTGGTAAGCTACGAACATTCGTGATCCCGGTTTGTAGACTACTTCAAGGTTAAATCTCTGTAGTCGAAATATAATTCTTTGGAGACGACATGGCGCGTACAGAAGCGATTTCTTGAAAATAGACTGTATTGGTTTATGATCTGACTTGATAGTGACACTCTCTCTTCTTATAATGTATTGTGAGAATTTCTGACAACCAAACACAATAACCAAACATTCTTTTTCAATTTGAGCGTATCTCTGTTCAACTTTAGACAGTGTTCGTGATGCAAAAGCAGCTGGTTGGCCATTTTGTAGGAGTATCGCACCCAGACCCCGTTCACTTGCGTCGCACTGAATAGTAACCTCTTCATGGTTTGCCACTAACTTTATTACTTCGTCAAATGCCTTGTCATGTTGCTCGGACCATAAAAATTGGACGTTGGCCTGGGTCAGATCTCTGAAGGGCTGTGCCACTTCAGATAGTCTGGGTAGAAATTTGGTCAGATAGTTTATGAAACCCAGTAGACTCAGAGTCTCGTTCTTGGAAGTGGGCTTTGGCATGTTTTTGACCGCTTTAACTTTATCTGGATCTGGTTTAAAACCATCCTTGCGAATTACATGGCCCACGAATTTGACTTGCTCAGCTTGAGGTTGACTTCCCTGGGTCTGTCCAGGAGTTTTCTGAGATTTTCATCATGGTTTGCACCTCTTTCTTCCTGGGTGTCTCCATACCCAAACACTAGTAGATCATCTCGAAGAATTTCTACACCTCCTGGACCGGTAAGTTTCTCATGTAACTTGCACTCGAATTCCTCGGGGGCGAGGTTGATACCAAATGGCATTTTTAGATATCTGTATCGGCTAAATGCAGTCCAAAAAGTTGTTTTCCTACTACTTTCTTCATCTAATCCAATCTGGTAAAAACCATCTTTGGCATAGAGGTTGGTAAAAACCTTCGCTTTGCTAAGTTTGGGGATATTTCTTCAAACGTAGGCATCAGGTATTTGGGCCTCTGAATCGCCTTGCTCAAGTCTCGGGGGTCAAGAGAGATTCTTATCTTTCCTGGCTTTGCAACTACTATCATGCTGCTAATCCATGAAGTGGGCTCAGCCACTTTTTGTATGATGCCTTTTCTCTCCACCTCTGCGATCTTCTCCTTGACTTTTTTTCTGTAGAGTCACTGGTATGCGTCTCGGTGCGTGCTATACTGGGGATAGTCTTGGTCGATAACAAAACTTCTGGAATCTCCTGTATGACGAAGGCCTTCGAACACATCCTTGTATTCGGTCAAGACTTTCTCTCTAGTCAGTGGAGCACTCGACTTTACTGATACTGGACTCACACTGTTTACTTTTACTGTGTTTTAGATGGTAAGCTTTAACAGTCCCAGTTTCTCGCAGGTTTCAGCGGGTAGTAGTGGCTTGTTTGTTGTTTCGACAACCTGGAAATCCAACTCTTTGGCCGTGTCATTTTTGGTGTAACTTCAGGGTGGCTACCCCATAAGGCTTCATGAGGGAACCATCAAACAACTTAAGTTTCACCTTACTACTTCTGAGAGGGGAGTCGCCCGTTTGGTCTAGACTGCTAAGTCACGGAGCCCATCACATTGTACGTGGCGCCGATGTTTAACTGACGTCGTAACTTGGTGAAGTATGACTCTTTTAGGTCTGAGAAGATTATCTTGGGGTTAAATTGCTTGCCTGGTGTTTTCACGCTGGAGTCTTCTTCTATCTTAAAAAACGAGTCTTCATTATCGGTCGCTTCCTCCTCGGATTCATCCGTTTCCTCTGTGACTTGTTGTACTCTTTGCGACCTTTTTCTCCTGTGGGCTTGTTTTTCTGACGACAGACAGATGCAAAGTGATTTGGCTTCGAACACACTAGACATGTTTGACCATACGCTTTACACTCTTCTTTCTTGTGTATCCTTTGGATCTTTCATTTTGTCGCGCGGCCATTTGTTGTGGGGTCGTTTCGCTTGACTGCCCACGGCGTTGACGTGCTCGTCTATTAGGCTTTGATCCTGTTTCATGAGATCGAGCTGTTTAGTCGCCACCTCCTTCGATCTGCAAATGCTGAGTGTCTAGTCTTGATCCAAATTCTCTCCTATGAGTAGTCGTAGCTTTGTAGCCTTGTCTTGGATTTCTATTACGATCCTGTACTTAATCATCTCGTCCGCGAAGCCATCTTTCTCAGTCGATTCACGAATTCATCTATTCCCTCTTCGGTATTTTGCGGAGCTGAGTTGAACAGGAATCTCGCGTAGATCACATTTGTTTTGAATTTGAAATACGTTTCAACGGTGTCTTGTGATGAGTTACGACGACTTTTACTGCTTTGAAGACGTTTAATTCTTGCGCTTTTATCCTGACACCATGTTTACGCTTCATACAGTGAACACGCAATTTTTTGGAGGAAACCTTGTATATTTTTGATGGACAGTTCATTCACAAAAACACCACCGGAAATACATGTATCTTGTAACACCATTATTACTCGAAAGTTCCACAGCAAAATACTTATCCTAATACCATAGTGATGATAATGAAAATGATAACAAGTACAATAATACCCATTTATCTAGCGCCTATAAAATAAGCTCCAGGCGCTTTGCCACCGGTGATAGATAAACAAAGCGACAGAATGCCAAACTTCACAGAAATTTTTTTCACATTATTTCATTTTGACGGGCCAACCTTATACATATCTTGCCACGGATCTGAAAATCGTCACCTTTGACTTTATGTCTGGACAATTATTTATAATCTTGAAGCTTTTACAGTCTTTTTCTATAAGATTTATCGTGGCATTACTCGCTTTTAATTTTGATATGAGTAATACGATAGCAAAAGAAACCGGGAAAGGATAATATTTAACTTGTCATCACTTCATAACATTAGGCATTGCTGGCTCATTCCAACTTAATCTTAAGGACGCTCACAAGCACAGCTACTATGACGTCCAAGAACACGATGATTCTGGCATCTTTCGAACCAAGTATAAAGTTATGTCTGCCAACGACACACACGCGCATCTGCATCGTACCTGGACGAACGTAGACTATCGAAAATTCGCAGACGGCACTCCGGCCAAGGCTGAGCATAAGGTGCAGTCCGAACACAGTGCTCATGTTCATTTAAAAGATGGGAGAGTGGAAAAGGTTGAACGCACTACAAGGGCGCAATTCAAGCCTGCCCATGAACATCCCAGAGCAGAGAATATGAAAGACTTCAAAAAGCAAGATATAGAAATATCAAGCAGTGGATACAGCAAGCTCGTCTTAAGGTCATGTTTTGGAACTCAAAGTCATCGTTCTAAGCGCTCGACGGTCGAAAAACGGCATGACTTCAAATACCTAACCAGTGACAGTTTAGTTTTTGACGACACCGAAAAAATTAAATGGTCGAAGATCGGTGGCGAAAAGAAGAAAAGAAGACCTCTTCATGAAGTGCTGCGCTGTTTTGTGGACAAGAGTGTTAAAGAGCGTGAGGTGGGTTATTGCACTAAAGAGCTACACAACATGGTACAAAGCGATCAAGGCGCGTTCAAAGAGGTCAAGCGATTTGTTCAAAATCGAAATCATCAAAACCTAACCTCTTGGACAGTCTACGTTGGTGCACTTGCTGCAAATGGTGGAGGCGAAGCCCAGGTTGCCTTGGCGGATGCTGTCAAGACAGATAGCCCACGACCACTCACCAGCGAGGAGTACGAGGCTTTGTTACTATCAATCTTCTACTTACCGGAGGGACCATTGCACTGTGATCTCGTTAACGCCATTTTGGATTTGACGTTAAAAGATGAGAAAGGTGAGGATATAACTGATACTGCGATGCTGGTATTAGCTGGATTAGCTAAAAGAGCGCAGAAAGCAGGGTATAATGATTCTTTAAGCGATAGCGTTGCCGAGTTGATCCACCACAGGTACAGAAACAGGTCAAGTCTCTACCATCCTGACAGTGATGAATACGAGTCTCACTTGAGAGTCCATATCTGGGCGTTTGGAAATCTGGGCCACCATTCTGGTTTTCCAGTTATTCTCCAACATATAGATCATGACAACTCAGACATTCGATCAGGCGTGATTTCGGCTATGCGGAAACTGTCTCCTCAGTACACCGATAGTCATCTCTTAAACGCCTTGTATCACGATGAGCACAGTGAGGTCAAGGCAGCAGTTGTTAACGTATTTATACATCGGCACCAGGAACTGACCGATTCAGTTGTTCAAGGCTTGGAGCACGCAATGTGGCACGCTGTGAAAGATGAAGCCTTGGACTGTTCGATACAAGAGTTTTTAGAAAACCATGGCAACCATACTAAAGCTGTTTACTTACGCACTACGCGTAACTTTATTCATCGACGCAAGCGAGCGTTGTTCCCTGTGCTTCGACCTCGAGAATACACCCTCGGCAAAGGAAAACGCTGGCGTAAGGGTCTTGGAGGACGATGGTTAGGAGCCGAAACTGGAATGCAATTTTTAAACAAACTTCAATTACAAGTTGGATTATTTGGTGGGAAGTTTGAAGTAATTTTTGATAACTATGCATTTATCCGAGGCCACATTCTCACGATACCATTTGATGTGGTAAACGGGAAGGCTGCATTTAAGGCAGCAGCAAGTTTCAAGAACGACTTTCCAAAGGATCTTATTCATAACTTTGCAGATGTTGGAGACGAACTTCTGAGACAATTCGATAGTATTACAAGTGTCATCACGGAACAAATAGCCAAGTTCAAAGAAAAGCTCGTCGGCCTCTTGCCCATTAAGATCGATAAGTTTGTCGAATTTGTGGGGAAGATTGATCGGTTTTTAAAAGATCTAGCGCTTCCATTACAAGCCCTAAAAGGTACCAGCAAGATAATCAGCTTCTCAAAAATTTTAAGCCTTCGCATGAATCAATGGGCATCACTTATGGATAGAAGTAAGAGAATTCAGGAAAAGTTTGTGACACTAACCGATCTTGATGCAGTTCTCCTGAAAGCTCTCGGCACAATGGATACAATACTGCACTATATCGATGACATAAGTAAGTACCTGCCCCACGATTTGCCGGAAGACTTTATAATCAACAATCTTCTTCAAACCCTACAGAAAGTCACAGTAAAGCAACAGACTAACGAGATCAAGGAATATTTTATGGCTATCAGATCGACTGTACCAGACGGATTTCGCCTCCAGTTCCCTTTCAAGTTTTCGATTTACTTTGTCGGTTCCTTAAACACGTTTCAAGAAGTCCTAACAAGACTTCATAGGTTTAGTGACGGGTTTGTTGAAATGACAAGCCTTCTTGACACACTGGCAGGTACACATTTGCCGGAACTGAGTCTGCCTTTTCTTAAACCTCATTCGCCAAAATATCAGGGCAGAATGTTTAATTTTGGCCTTGGCTTTCATTGGAGAGTCAGCCTAAAGTTTGATCTCAAATTGAAGTCTCAGGATTTTCAAGAATTCCTTGCTCTTCTGAAAAATGTTGGAGACTTTTTCAGTCACTTTAAGCTTCCCGATTTTGATCTAGAAACCTTCTCTCGAGAGATCTTTCCAGGGGGGAAGTTTGACTTAAGAGTGAAATTTCCATTGGTGCTAAAAGGAGTTAACGTAAATTCATCCGACCCATCCGACCTGTTGCGAGGATTTATTTCCAGAATCAGCGATATACTTGACCTTCATCTCTTAAATGTGTCTGCTATCAGCCACATGACAGATTTCTTCCGGGAACTTGGACCTGCTGTTAGCCAGTTTGCAGAACAGAACATCCAGAAAACCTGCCGAATCCATGAGGCAGCTCTGAACTTCTCCAGCACGTTTAAAGAATTTGGGGAAAATGCTGAAATAAAAGGAATCCATCCCCTTCAGGACATGTTAAATACGACCCAAAATGTTCTCTTAGAGCTTCTCAACCTCACGGTAATCTTGGACAATTCGTTAGATACTATGAAAGGGAATTTTGCTGCTTCTTCGGCAAACTTAGTATCAAATTCCCTGCGGGATGTTACAGATAAGATGAAGGGTATTCAAAGTCTAGCAGACGATTTTGCTAGTTTCTTGAACGGGACGTCTTCAAAAATGAATGGGGCATGTACCAATTCATCAGCATTCGCCGCTGATGTCATCGATGAAGTGCAAACGAACGCTCGTCAGACGCTGAATGACCTGGCCTCAGTGACCGGACCGGTGACAGCAAACATCAGAATTGCTGGGATAGACTTGAAGTCGGCAGTCACAGAAGTCGAAAGGTGGCATAAAGAGAATCTGGCAGCTCGAGTTGGAAAGATGTCTCGTGTTTCTCAGCTAGTTAGGGACTTTATATCAATTATAAACTCGAAAGAAGGATTTGGTGACACTGTTCGTGATATATCCACACGCCTGAATGAGGTCCTCGAGGAACTCCAACAACTTCCACAATACGCAGAAAAGGCAAGGAGAACGGCAGACGAGGTGATTAATTTTGCAAAAGACGCTCAGAATTACATGAAAAACATCGCGAAACTTGACCTTCGAAAACAGTTTGAAGTCGACTTTGATCAGCGCATAAAGAAAGTTTGTACCGATTTCAGTGCTGTGAGGGCCACAAGCTTAAGTAAAATACGAGGCTTTGACTTTGTGGATCAGTTTCAGGAGTTTTCGAGAAATGGAGCCGCCATCCTACTTAACAGAGCCTTGCCGAAATTCAAAGGACTAAAAGATTCTGTAGGCGAGATGGAACAGGAAATACGTAATTTTAAAATCTTGGTTTATGATATGATAGTAGTATTTCAAGATCTTAAACCTTTTACAAGCTCGTTTGCACCCATACTTGATACAGCAAGGAAGCTACCTGATTGCCAAGAGATGAAGAAGCTATTTCTCAGCAGCACGAAACCATGCTTCCGTAAGGCAATTGAGGTCGGTGGATTCATCAAAGATCAGTACCAGGACTTCAAGAGTGATTTAGCTGTCTTGAACGAATTGATACCTGAAACGTGGAAAAACTTCAGGCCACAGAGATGTGTAAAGGGTGTTACTTGCATTACAAAAGTATTTATTGAACAAGGAAAAGTTGTCCGAAATAAGGTGATCGCCGTTAAAGATAAACTTGAAAAAGCGAGTGAGTATACTGACTTGCTCAGCAACTGCAAAGAAGGAGTCAACAATATAACACAAGTGTTGGACAACATGAAACTACTCATGGAGCAAGTGCGAAACATTTCCTTTCAAGGTGATTTCATAAAAATAGACAAGATTTTGAAGAAAATCACAGGACGAAAACTTAACGATCAAGATCCTGGGATGAGAGTCAAAGTTCGTAAAAGGTCGTTAAGAGAAGAGAAAACTGATTTTAAAAGAATAGCTGACTATCAAATAAAAGCAAAGGAACTGGAGAACAAAATTCGAGATTTTCAAATTACCACTTTTAATTCACTGCGTAGTGTCTACGACGAAGCTGTACTTCGGTACCTGCAATCACTTAAGAGTTTGCGCTCGCAGCTTAAGACGTCCTACCAGCTTTGGGGTACTACGAAAAAATTCGACAGTTCCCTAAAATTATTGGATAACGGTACTAAAAGTGCGTTGGCATTCGCCGGTATGGTAGGAGATGTCACAAGTTTGTTCTCGAATCCAGTTTCTATCATTCTGGCTGAAATAAAGGATTTTGACGATGTGATAAAACCTCACCTTGTCAAGAACGTGCCATCAGTGACTAAAGGAATTGACCAAGTGAACAACTTTTTGGATAAAGTTTCCAATTTCTTGGACACAATTCAGACGAGGCAGAGAGGTTTGAGTGCGGGTGCCTACAAACCTTGGCAAGACATCTCTTACTGCTCTGAGGAAGTTTGCTTGCGATCTTTAAGACGATCATCATCAACATATTTATCAGAAATTTTTACTTGGAAATTTCCTCATCTCGACGATCTCTCCTCAATGCCAAAAAGTGGCCGCTGGCCAACACCAGGCCTTTTTGATGATTATAAAGTGGAGGGAATCACTCAGCTCTCCGATAATGAGATGATTCTTGGAATGCACGGTGTGGCAAGTAACAAAGGCAAAGCATCACTCCTTGTTGTTACTAACTTCGATAGAGGTGTTAAAAAGATTATTCTTCTGGCCAAACAAGGAGCCCCTCTGAATGTGAAAATAGGAGGAGTTGCTTTAGCAAATGATTACATTTGGATTAGTGATAGTGACGGAAATGGCATTCTTTCAGTTAGAAAAGACCACATTACGTCGACGCTTTCTTCCCCTCAACCCTCAAAGGTTAACATCTACAAGACTGTATCAGTCGAAGGAAAAGCTGGGTCTGTCTCGTATGATCAACAGCATAATTTTCTATGGGTAACGGACGGTATCCAAGGTAAAGCGTATGGGTATAAGCTCTCGTCTAACGGAGATCTGGCTCTCGCAGGTATAGCCCCAGACAGAGTCATAAACATTGGCAAAGATGCTCAAGGGATGACAATTGTGAGACAGTTCGGTAAGGAGTACGCGTGTATTTCAAGATGCGCACTGATTGCTGGGTTTCAGTGTAAGCTTGAATTTCATGACCTATCTAGGGGTGACGAAACAGGAGAAAATACCATGGCAAGGGTTGTTCGAACTCCCTCTGGTTTAGAATCAGTCACCAGAGTTGACAATGAAGTGATTGCGGTGGCATTTTCGAGTGGAACGTTGGCAGAAAAAGAAAACGTCGAAGTCATGGGCGGTGATTTTGAAGACAGATACTTCAAATTAAGGCTGCCGATACTTAGCACGACGTTTAGTGTAAATGAAAACTGTCTTTACTTTAAAGTTGTTTTCGACTATGTCATAAGACCTCGCCGGATCTTTCCCGTTGGAAATATGATATGTGGAACTAGCCGTAAACGAAGTACCTCAAAGCAGCTACTGGAGACAGATGTGTACCACGAGAATCTTGAGATCATTCATGAGGACAGAAAACGAGTGCGAAGAACTACGAGGGGTCCTGATTCGTGTTTCTCTCACAGAGGAACATTATTGCGAGGCTTTCACGAGTTCTATCGCTATAGGACTGTGATTCTAGTCTTTGGAATACCCGTAATATTGACAGCAGGAGTCACTGGACATTACAGTGTAGGATTTCAGGGAAGTCTGTGTCTGGCTAATAGGAACTTTGCTCTGGGCTTGATACCTGGAGCATGGGTTACTGCTTATGCCGGTGCAAGTGTCAATCTAATAGTCCTTGAAGTTGGAGTTACAGTGGAAGCGAGGATCCTTGAGACCTACCTCGTCCCTGAGTTACGTATCTCATTCCAGAGGTGGCCATTATCAGCATGTCTAGAACTGAGACTTCTAATGACGCCGCTGAGCATCAGAGTTTACCTTTGGTATAGATTTGCTCATATCTATATCAAATGTTGGCTTTTCGGTTGTCGCATAGGATTCCGATGGGGTTCGATGAGAACATTTAAGGAATGGTCGTGGTCCGCGCATCAAATAGACAGAGTTCTGTTTACCAACTGCGAGGATAACATCGACAGAACACCACCGATGGCTGGAAGATGTCGAGCACGACAAGTAGCAGATACTAAGTACTTTGTGCAGTGGGATGGATTTAAAGAGGACACCCAAATCAATGCCTATCAAGTCATGATAGGGTCTATTAAAGGTTCTGGGGATGATTACTCTTCCTGGGTGGGTACGTCGCTCAGCAAGGTCGTTACAAGCTTGAAAATCATGCATGGTAGAGACGTATTTGTAAGTGTAATGGCAACAAATGATGCAGGCATAGATAGTACGTTGGCCTTCTGTCCCTTGTTTCAGGCAAGACGAAAAGGACCGAAAATTCGTTTTGTTTTTGACGGTTCAGAAAGAGGAAAAGATGATGAGTATCAGTTGAATACTTTTTCGATCGGAATGAACTTTGCTTTTAAAAGTGATTTCAATGAAGTCGTGAGTATAAAGTGGGGAGTCTCATCCAATCAACCCTGTACATTTGATGAATCTGAAGCAGACATCGTTCCTCTGACATCTTTAGGAGATTCTAATTCCATTCAGGTTTCTGGTTTGAAACTGGAGCACGGTAAAAAGTACTTCACACGTTTATATGCTATGGATACATTTGGATTAAAGACAGTCATGTGCAGCAACGGCATAATGATTGACAGAACTCCACCTCTACCAACATATTTCCAAGACGGAGCAGGTGAAGGTGATATCAACTTCACACTATCGCTAAAACGTGTTAGAGGCAAGTTTCATTCCTTTGTTGATCCCGAGAGTCCGATTGTAAAATATGAGTGGAAAATTGTTAAAAAGGAAACTGACGAGGATATCACTGGTTATGTCAATGTGCCCTTGACCCAACGGACGCCACTTATAGAGGGTCTTTCTCTTAAATCGGGAGTCAGTTACAAGCTTGTACTCCGTGGAACCAATGCAGTTGGTCTTCAAGCCGTTATTGAGACAAACGGATTCATACCTGACAATACGCCCCTGGTGTGCGAAGGAAAAGTGATTGACGTGACCAGCGCCAGCGACACGTCCGATTTCGACTTTGTTCAAGTTCTAAACAGCATTCAAGCAAAGTGGAGATGCTTTGACCCTGAAAGTGGCATTCGTTCACAGCTTGTAGGTTTGGGAACGTACCCTGGCGGAGTTGATATTCGAGCGTTTGAAGAAGTTGGTTTCTTGTCACAAATTAAAATGGAAGATGGGATGTCTTATGTGCAATTTTCAAACATAACAGTAAACGAAAGTATTCGATACTATGTCACTGTTAAAATTATCAATGGAGCAGGTCGTAAGAGAACTGTGTATTCTGATGGAATCATGATTGATGTGACATCACCTACAGTTTCTCCAACATATATCAGAGATGGACTAAGAGGTAAAGACACGAATTACAGTAGTGAGCAGTTTTCTTTCAGTGCTCATTGGCAACAAGCTTTCATGGATGCTGAGAGTGGGATAGATGAGTTTCGCGTAGGGCTTGGCACTAAACCTGGACTGGCAGACATAAAGGCTTTTACTGCAGTGGGCTCGAAAAATAATGTAACAATCACAGGAATCCTCTTAGTTAGTGGACAACGTTATTTTGTGACTGTTGTGGGCTGCAACGGGGTAGGAATGTGTGTCAACGGTAGTAGCAATGGTGCTATTGTAGACTTCGTTCCTCCTCATTCTGGAAGAGTTATCACTGGGTTATTAGGTCCTCCAACGCTTTATCAGTGGGAAAACAAAGCAGTATGGGCGAGGTGGAATTGGTGTCTAGCGGATGAGAAGAGACTTCAACCATTTCTAAATCTCAGCCAGTGTACCAATAACAGCTTCTACGATATCCATACCGGAATTCGTATGTTTGGTATTTCTGTGATGTCTCAAAAAACAGATCAGCTGCTAACACCATTCAAGAAAGCTGGACGTCAAAGATTCGGCAATCGTATTGTTAATCTTCAAGATGGAATCTACTCAGTGGCAATCGAGGCAAGTGACCAAGCTGGTCTCTCTGTCCGTGGTCTCTCGCACTCTTTCGTTGTTGATAGCAGTCCTCCAGCGATAAAGCTCTTACAACATGGCCATTATGGTGAAACAATAGCATACACAAATGCTTCGTCCATAAGCTTCCGTTCCTATTTCATGGTGGAAGACAATGTCTCCAAGATTAAAGCTTACAAAATTGGTGTTGGGAGTTATCCCGGTGCAGATGACATCATCAAATTCCAGCCCCATTCTTTAACTCTCCTTAAGACATCAATTCAAGCTAACTGGACGTCGCCTATGCAGACCTCATTAAAGAATAACCAGCGCTATTTTATTACTTTACTCGCTATAAACAGTGCCGGTCTCTTCACAATTAAATCATCTGCTTCTCTTCTGGCTGATTTCGATCCACCCGTAAATGGAGTCATATTTGATGGATGGGGCCCACAGGACGCCAGATTTCAGAGCGTTACCTCTCTCTTTCGTGGACACTGGTATGGATTTACAGATTTTTCAGGAATCGAAAAGGTGTTCATGGGACTGGGCAACAAATCTGTTTCCAGTGAGTGTGATTTTAGAAAGGAAGAGATTGTACCGCACAATACAAATTTCCATATGTTATCTGGGCTATCCATGATATCAGGGCAAAGATACTATGCATGTCTTAAATTGGTAGACAGAGCAGGGAATTTTGCATTCTTTCTGTCCAATGGTGTTCTTGTAGACTCGACTCCTCCTCGTCCAGGGTATGTTACCGATGGTAAACCAGGCTTAGATATCGACCTACAAATAAATGACCTAGTTCTTACTGCTTCGTGGGCAAATTTTACCGATCCAGAAACAACGATTCTGTCATACCAACTTGCCTTTGGATCGTTCCTGGGTGGGAACGACGTTCAAGAATTCACCAACGTAGGAAACGTGACCACAGCTACGAGTTCGACTTTGAAAGTGTCAGAACTTAAGACTGGCATCCGTTATTATGCAACTGTAATTGCATATAATTTTCTTGGAATACCTAGCATCAAGGTCTCGTCGAACGGTGTATTAGTAGATGTTACAGCCCCATTCTTTTCACAGCCAACCCGCGATGGTGATGATCATATCAACGACTTGAATTATACGTCTGTAAACACCTTGAAAGCAACGTGGAAGTGTGAAGATCCAGAGGCTGGCCTTTCCAAAGTTGAGATCGCCTTTGGACTTCAGCCCGGAGACACAGACGTTATGAACTTTAGAAGCCTACCAGTTGATCAAACGTCCTTCATTATTAACTACAAGCTCAGATTGTCTCATCGCTATTTTGCTTGCGTTCGATGCACCAACAACGTTGGACTCACTACTGTCTCCTTCTCAGATGGCGTTGTGTACGATGATACCCTACCTGTTCCACTTTATGTTCAAGATGGGCACTACCAAGACTCAAACAAGACGGTTTTTGTTACTTTTATGTTTATCGATGCTGAAAGTAGCATTCAGGCCTATCGCATCAAGATTTGGAGGGGTCCTCTTAACAATTCCAGCATCATAGCCTCCTTTAGTTTTGATGGTAATGTTACAAAGGCAACTTTGGATCTGTCAGAAGAGCTTAGTAATGGAAAAACATACTATATCAATGTTACAGCAGTGAATAATGTTGGTTTAGAATATACCTCAAAATCGGATGGATTCGCTGTCGATACAACTTCCCCAGTGTGCTCCAAGGTCTGGGATGGCAAGAGTCACTATTTCAATGACATGGAATACGCCTCGAGCTCAAACGAATTTGCTATTTCATGGGATTGTCATGATAGTGAGTCCTCAGTAGTCCAGCTTCGGCTTGCTATCAAGGACTTACAAAGAGACGAGTACGTAGTTCCATTTTACATCTTTGAGGCCCCGTTCAACTTGTCAGGCACTGCGGTAATTACAGGCAATGGTCGAATTCTATTTAAGTTGGAGGAAGGGTATAAATATGCAAGTGGTATTGAAGTCGTTAACGCCGTTGGTTTGAACGCGACATATTGGACAAATGGTGTGGTGATTGACAGTACGCCCCCTTTTGTGAGAAATCTGAAGCTGCAGTTTTATCCTGAGAAAGATGTTCTTTCAGCAGAATGGTTAGTTTTTGACGACGAAAGCGGCCTTCGATCTCTTTTTTGGGGACTTGGAACAACACCAGAAACGAATGACATTAGGAACTTTACCGAAATTACACCGTCGAAACAAAAGATATCCGTCTCAAGTTCCTCGTATCGGCATGGGGTTATTTGCTTCTTGAATGTTTATGTTCTGAATAGAGCAGGATCATCGAGCCAATCATCTTCCAATGGAATTGTTATTGATCGATCGCCACCAAATCCTGGAATTGTGAATGCATATTACACCTTTCCCAACAGTTTTAATCAAAGCTTAAATACAGTCCGAAACTCATCCTTTGCTGTGACATGGACAGGATTTACCGATTCTGAAAGCGGTATCAAAAAGACCGCCTGGGCAATCGGAACAGACTGCCAAAAGCTGAAGCAAAAAAGTATGGACATGTACTCCGAGGTTGCAGTAGAGGACTCTGTCGGTGGATTTATCATTGGAAATCAAACCCTTGTGGGAAACAAGACTTATTTCGTTGCCGTTCGAGTAACTAATGGCGCTGGATTGTCTAGGACAGAGTGCTCCCCAGGTATACTTGTAATACTGGGGAAACTTTCTGCTGGAGTGGTAAGCGATGGACCAATAACCCAAGAAAACGATATTGACTTTCAGCTTAATGACAAAGCTATTTGGGCACACTGGCACGAGTTTAAGGACCCTTTATTTGGTATCGCAAGATACGAGTGGTGCATTCGAGACTTACCGCCAAAACCAAATGGGCCTGGTCCGTGCGCATGGCCATACATGGATGTACATCATTTGAAGACTAAAGCCAGTCGCTTTTACAACTTGACTCTTATACATGGAAGGAAATATTACGTAACGGTGAAAGCTGAGAACACTAAAGGTGATACCGTGATGTCATCCTCAGATGGAGTTCTTGTCGATCGAACCCCTCCGATAGGAAAGTCACTCCAGATCTCTCCGTCTTTCGGAAAAGAAACTTTTTTTATAACTTCATCCTCTCCTCCCGTAGTCACGTGGACAATTGATGATATTGAAAGTGGAATAAGCCATTTCCTTGTTGGTGTTGGAAGTTTTCCATTCCAGAGTGACCTTTTAGCCGGTCAGCGCGTGGACAGTCTGAGCCGTTCCCTTGATTTAGACCAGGTAAACTTGACGCTTACCGAAGGGTTGATGTTCTATGTCAGCGTTACAGGCGTCAATATGTTGGGCTTGGAGACTACTCTGACATCAAAGCAAATAGTGGTTGACTGGACGCCCCCGAAATCTGGTAAAGTTTTGGATGGTAATCGTACTTTGCTTAGAACTGAGGTATTTATCGACACGGACTACCAAAAAACAAACGGGATGCTGTTTGCTCGTTGGAGTGGCATTCAGGATGTTGAAAGTGATATAATTGAATATCGCTGGTGCATTGGAAGAGCCCAAGGTAAGGGTGTGTTTAGTTTTGTGCACTTCTAGAGTAAGAAGGCAAATCTTAGCTTTTTCTTCCCTATTTTAATAGGCTTCATTAAATTTCGAGACGCTTATCGCGCAATCCTTTTCATTTATAGGTACGTGCGAATTAAAAAGTATGACCTCAGCTGGCCTGCGCACAAGCGTTTATCATTCCATTATTCCTCAAGAGGGCTTGCGGTATTTCATTACGGTGGAAGCAACTAATGGAGCCGGCTTCAAAACAGCAATCTACTCCGACGGTATCATTGTCGATAGCTCACCGGCTGTTCTGAAAGGGGTTTACTTTGAGGCAGAGAAGAAAAGTATAGGCAAGTCTCAGTTCATCGTTCAGACGGATGACAGATATTTAGAATTCTACTGGAATAAAGCAACTGATGCAGAAAGTGGTATTTCGTCTATTGAATGGTGTGCAGGTACCAGCAACAACTCGTGTGATATCGTCGCTTTGAATCCTATTAGTTTAGATGCCACGAATGTAAAACACTACTTGTCTGAGCCATTAGCCTCTGGTACTCACGTGTTTGTTCTGCTAATGGTTACAAACAGAGCCGAATTAACAACAACAGTGGTCACCAAACCTCTATTAATTGACACAACTCCACCATCAGTGGGAAACGTGACAGTTGGAACTTTTCCAGGAACTGTGTATTTCAAAAAGGGGGATACTGTGAAGGCCAAATGGTATGGGTTTAAAGATAACGAGAGTGCTCTAGACCATTACGAATGGGCTGTATGTCAAGCAACTACCAAAGGTATCTGTTTTGGTCCATATGTAAACGTTGGCAGCAATACGACATCGAATATCGACGTCCTAGGCATTGAATTTGGCGTTTCGTATGTCGTTGTTATCCATGCCTTCAATAAGGCTGGTTTATTTAGCGAGGCCACTTCCAATCCATTCATTGTGGATAATTTGAGTCCATCGGCTGGAACTGTGTATGACGGATTACACAGACGGAATGACATCGAGTATCAAAGCTCTGCTTCTCAATTGTCAGCAAATTGGTCTCCATTTAAAGACGTCAATGGGAGAATCGAAAAGTACGAACTGTGCATAGGAACAAACCAAGGATCGTGTGATGTAAGTGACTTTGATAGTGTCGGAACTAAGCTATCAGGAACAGTTATAGGACTGAGCTTGAATCACGATGCAAAATATTTTGTTACCGTACGTGCGACGGGTGTGTCCGGCTACAGCTCGATAGCAGCCTCCAATGGTGTCAAGATTGATACCACGCCACCAGAATATGGCCAAGTGAGAGATGGTGAGACGCTTGTAGACATTGATTACCAAGCAGATGACACCTACATCTATGCCAACTGGGATGACTTCCATGATAAAGAATCAAGCGTCGCTGGGTATACTTGGTGTGCGGGAACTGGGAAGGGCTTCTGCGACATCATTTCCCCTACCTACGTCATGGATCAGATGCGAGCTGGACAACAGGTTTTGGAACCACTTCCCGCGGGAATAGTAATATTTGTTACCGTTACAGCCGTAAACAACGTAGGAATTTCTTCCACCGTTTCTTCAGACGGATTCAAAGTTGACAACACGGGACCAATTCTTTCAGGGGTAAGTAAAGTAATCTTGATCGACATGGGTATCTTCATTTGGGTTAAGAGATAAAAAGTGATAGAAGTTTCGACGAGCTGAGCGGCAGTCCTCATCAGAGTCAAGTGAGTTGTTGAGCCAACAGTTGTTGTCGGTCGAATGTACTAAGTCCAGGTCGACGGAAAACAACTAACCACTTGACCCTGATCGTAACTTGCTCTCAGGTTGCCAAAACGTCAGTCGCTACTACCGACAACGGCCCTTTTCAGGGCTACCCTCTCCGGACGATCCAACACTATCAGTTATACTGTGACGAACATGTGATGATGACGACCGTGAAAGAGAAGTATAAGATCTGTGGCAGATCACATGCTACCTCCGAGTACAAACTATTTTCTGTAAATGATTTGAATTAGAAAAAACGTAGTAAGGAAATTGCGCTTTTTTGTTCAACGCGGTTCTATTAATAACGAGTGCGTGTTGCGAAAATAAATTTTGAGTAAAAATGAAAGGAGAGGGGATTAATTTTTCTTGTTCGGCCTTTGAACGAGTTTTATGCAACTAAAGACGTTTTTACCTGGCCATTAACTTTGTTAATGAAAATGAAATAACCCATAGATGTCAATTCATTAGGTTCGCGACCTGCAGCATGGCTCAAGTGATGATGACATTGATTTCCTCCTTTCGAAAGACAGTTACTGCACTCGCTGGGATGCTGTCGCTCCCGACAGTGGCATTCTGAAGAGCGAAGTTTCCGTCTGCTCTGAACTTGACTCCAATGACTGTTTGTTGCGTAACTTGGATGTAGGCAACCAGACATTTATTTGTATGGCTGATCTGGACTTTAAAGGAGGAATCAAATACTTAACAAAAATCAGAGCGGTAAATCTCCTCGGAGTCTCCGCAGAGGTCTTTTCGGATGGATTTGTGTTGGACTCTACACCTCCCTTAATGGGTGAAGTTTTCTTTGCAGAGATGTTTAAGTCAACCATAGAAGGTGATACAAAACATTACACTCGCTCCGTTATTGCTGCTCAGTGGAGGGGATTCTGGGACAAGGAGAGTGGTGTTCGCACTTCGTACGTTTGTCTTGGAACTACATCAGGGAAATGTAACACAAGGAACTTTACCATGGTTCAAAACACCACAGCTTACACTTTCGCGGATGCACCCCTAGTCCAAGGAGAAACCTACTTTGTATCAGTGAAGGTGGAGAACGGGGCAGGTCTAACTAGTGACATCCAAACATCTGAGGGGATTCTTTTTGACCAAACAGGTAAATTTTGATACTTACTTTGTCTCAACAAAATGAGATTTCATCAATGAAGATCGTTCTTTTTCTCTTCGGTCATAAATCAACCAACGAGATATTCGTCGTTATATACGTCAACTGCCCATGCTGACTCTGCTATTAAATTACTAGGTCCTACCAATGAAGGCACAGTACTGGATGGCAATACACAAGGTAAGGATGTCGATAATCAGCAGAGTAGAATCCTCGTCGCTGCTCACTGGAGCGCCTTCGACGACCTCGAAAGTGACGTGGTGAAGTTATCTTGGTGCGCAGGACTGTCCCCTGGTTTATGCGATCTCGTCAAGGAGACTGAACTGATCAACAATAGCACGTCAATTCGTTACTTTCTTTCTAAACCCATCATGAATGGTTACCGTTACTTTGTCACCGTTAAAGCAACCAACGGCGCAGGTGTTACATCGTTACTCAAATCTGATGGCGTCATGGTAGATGACACCCCTCCGACTTCTGGCTCTGTAGTCGATGGATTAGGGTCAGATAGAAATTATGTTAATGGCGAGGATGACGTTAGTGCAAGTTGGTCTGCCTTTATGGACTTGGAGTCTGGTATAGATTCTTACAAAGTCGCGTTATGTCATGAGAGGAACCTATCTAACTGCCCTCAGCCTTTCACTTCTACTGGGAAAACCACCAACGTCACCATCTCAGGTGAGGAATTGGTTTATGTTCGTGAGACATCTTTTTTTTCTCGTAGCGAGTATTTTCATGTATCAACTCATGTGCTCTACTTACTAATAACGAATAATGATGGTTACCTTTCCATCATTGTGTTGAATATCTAAGGAAGCCAATCTTTTTCAACTTTGCTTTCGAAAGCAAGTTGAGGAGTTGAAGGTGATTAACGTTTCTCCGCCATGATATGAGAAATAGCCTACCACATGTACGGTAGATAAGCCACCATCAAGCTGTTCTCTTACTGCAAACTTCATAGAGACGAAAAGGGAGAGCTCCGAACTCTTTTTTTCTTTTTTTACGATAAACAGCACATGTATCGCTTGAGAACAGGACACGAGGACAAAAAGAAAAGGATGATACGACCTTTTTAAACAAGGAGCCATGGCTTTTAGTTTCCTAAAAATAGTTGCTAGTTCTAACATACGATTTATTACAGGTTTGGATCTCGAACGTGGTTCACAGTACGTGTTTATTGTGCGAGCCATAAACCATGCTGGTCTTGCAAAAGAGACTTTCTCTGACGGGTTCACTGTGGATTTCAACCCACCGGAAAAAGGCAAAATATGGATTGGTGCTGGAAACGAACATATCATCTATCAAGCGGATCCTACAAAGATAGTCGTAAGGTAGCGTAAAACGTGACTGTTACCTGTTTGCTTGTGTTTTTACAATCGCTCTCTTTAGATGCTGTGCTAAGTTACGTCTTTACAAGTAATTTCTTTACAAATAACACGTTCGTTACCCATTGCTTTTGAGTAGTGTCGAATTATTTATCTACATTTCGAAAGTCATAAGAACGCCCAGTCTCTAAAACGTCCCCTCTCTTTAATCAGTAGAGTACAAAAAATCTAAAGGAATAATTTTGTTAATTAAATATTTTCCCCACGAACACCGGTAAAGTACTAGAACGGAAATAAATCGACCTTAAATTTACAAATAGAACCATTTTTCGTTGCTTTTTCTTTCTTACAGATGGTCAGATTTCATGGATGTTGAAAGTGGTATAACAAAATATGAGGTTTGTGTTAGTTCTGTTCCCCTAAATTGTTCAGTAACCACTTTCGTCGATGCAGGACTTAATACAAGCTTTACTGTCAATGGTCTTAACCTTGAGCATGGTGGGACGTACTACGCTATCGTTCGAGGGACGAATGCGATTGGCCTGTCAACGGAGAATACCAGTGGAGGTGTTCTGATCGATTTGACTCCACCCATACAGAAAGATGATAGTACCCTTTCCTCTCCGTCACCTGGAAACAGAACTGATTTGAATGCTTCCCTATTACAAGTAGACGTCTCTAATTCGTCAACAAATAATGCCAACGGCCCTTCCATCACATTGAGATGCTTGGAAGAATACTTAACTTCTAGTTGGGAAGAGTTTGAAGACCGTGAAAGTGGCATGCTGAAGTATGACTGGTGCGTCGGTACAGCAAGAACTTTATGTGACGTGGTGCCCATGAGGTCAGTTGGAATGAAAACAAGAGGTGCAGCAATTGTCAACAGTCTGAAGACTGGAACGGTTCTTTTCTCTACTGTGTACGCCATTAACGGAGCCAAGCTGAGAAGGCAAATGATATCAAAGCCATGCACAGTTATTGCTGTTGCACCAAAGTTTACCGAAGTGATTGACATCTCAAGCTTCAGTTCGAGCAATCTCACTGACACAGACTGGAAGGCCACTATGCAAAGTTTGTCATTTAGGTGGAAGGCTATTGGAAGCTATCTAGATGAAATTTCACTTTTACGCGTTCAAATAGCAGTAACCGAATTGTCTTCCAGCCTATCCGTACCTCGGCTACTTCAGGACAAGTCTTGGAATAGCGAGTCTTTAGAGCAGCCCTTCATGGATGTGCTCTCTGCTCAACACAACGTCACAGTACGAAGTATAACCCTAAATCCTTGGATGAGGTATCGTGGGATAGTTCGGTTATGGAACGAGGGTGGTATTTTCTCTGAAGCTTCTAGCGATGGAGTGAGAATGGAACCTAGTCCACCGGAAACCCGTGGTCTCACCATCCACGACAAAGCAGCCGAGAATGAGCACCTCCGGTGGTGGCCAAACCTGAGAATTTCTCCAGTTAATAAGAGTATTGTAAACAGTGATATCACTTTCATATCGTCTCCAGCGAAGCTAGAACTCACTGTTCACAGTGCCACGTCGAACTCCACCGCTAATTCAACAAACTTCATTCTCGAACATGATCTGTTTAGCCCTACAGCTGATTTTAAAATAGTCGTCAAGAGAGTGACAAGTGGCGGAAACGACACAAACAGCACAACTGATTCCAGAATAATGAAGGTCATCCCCGGCTTTGCTGACCTTGAAGGTCCGTGTTGTGCCAAACATCCCAGCAATACCCTGGATGCCTTAAGTGACACGCACTTTAAGCCCACCTCACCAGTCTATGAGTTTGGTGTCTCTTTGGCCATTCTGGCAGAAGATTTTTTAGCTGTAGGAAGTACTGGAAAAGTGCTTCTTCAGTCCTTGAAGAACAAAACAGCAAGAAACATCGTTACTTTGAGTGATCAGTCTGATTCAAATGCCACAGTAAAGATATCTTCTTACCGTAACACGACAGGCGTTCTTGTGAATGGTAAGCTCTATCTTTACAAGCGTACATCCGATGACCTGGATGGTGTGCTAGGCAAAAGCATCATAATTGGACATTGTAAAAATGTTCCATCATCAAATTGCCCTGAAAGTGAAGAATGGGCAGATTACCTGGGACAGTCGTTTGCTCTAAATGACAATGTAGTGGCCGTAAGAGGCACCAGATTAACCACTAATAGCAACGTTGTAGCAGTTTTTCGAAACATGTCAGGAAAATGGATTTTCGCCCAGACCGTTGGAGACAAAATGAAGCATCTAAACTTTGGACAATCCATTTCTTTAAATGAACACTTTATGGCGATAGCCGCCGGCGATGGAAGAAATTGCTGTGTCATGATATATTCATTAACGACTTTGACTCTTCGAAAGACAATTTGTATAACTGATTCCGCAACCAAAGTGGCACTTCTTTCTTTGTACCTCACCAAGACCAATGCACTCGTAGTATTATCCAAGACAGCAAGACTACTGAAAGTATTTCAGTTGAACATGACTTCAAATTCTCACTATGAAGTTTGTAGGTACCGAGCTGGGGGCCACATTGATGAATTGAGTGGACATCTTGATGTAAACACTCGAGAAGAAGGGTTCATTATTGCTTTTGGCTTCGAAGCAATGCGTGGTGGTGAAGGGTTACAGCTACTTGGCTTTCAAGGAATTTACACAACATCAGATAATTCCACTTCGAGTAACGAGAGCAGTGAATGTCTCAATCTAGGGTCGGTGCTTGCGCGGGAAAGTGGCTTACGAGCTGATAGTTATGGGACTCGAACATCTGTCTCCTTCAAAGGCGACATGATCCTATTTGGAATACCGGGCGTTCTTACTTGGCCAAAGAATGATCAGTGGCTAAGTACAGGAAGAGTTTACATGGCAACATATTGTCCCGTGAACCATTTTCGTAGTGCTATTTCTGAACTACAGAGCTTGCGTCCAGTAGCTTGTCTGCCATGTGAACTGGGAAGAAAGTCATTTGGAGGCTTTTCTAACGCTTGCTCAGTCTGCGACGAGAAGTTGTGCTTTTCCCCTCCTGACAACGAGTCCTCCAGCTTCACCACAGATATATGCGATGATACGTCCTGTCTTTCCACCATATATCTAAGCAACAAAACAAATGGAATAAACACTCACATCAGACGTGGCTCTTTGTTCGTTTCTGGACCCGAAAATGTCTACAGTGTCGAGCTTCTTGAAACAACACGGGCTGGCAAATCAAAAAGTTCATTTTCAGAATCTTTTGTGATTGATGCAACCGCTCCTGTTCCTGGCATGGTTTACGATGGACTGGGGACTGATCAAAACATGAACTGCTCCGAGAACTCAACCTTTGGCGAAGACAGCCAGTGTTCAACAAGAAACTTTGAAGATACGGATGTAGAGTTTACTAATAACACGCGGGAGATCCATGCCAGGTGGATTGATTTCCTGGACAATGAAAGCGATATCGTAGAGTACTTCTGGTGTGTTGGCACTCGACCAATGGCAGACAACATCCGCATGTGCGAAAGCACAGGAATGAGGCCAAATGGAAGTCATTTTGGGCTGAGCTTAAGTCATGGTGATTCGTATTACGTCACAGTTATTGCCTGCAATGGAGCCCGGATGTGTTCAGCCGCTCATAGTAATGGCGTTACAATAGACTCCACTCCACCTGTGATGACATATGTCAGGGACGGGATTATGGGACCAGATATGGACTATCAGGTGAGAAGCTGTCTTCTAGATCTGAAAGAGTCGGTATCTTAAATAGATAGTTCTAAACGGATACATGCAAGTGGCTACTGACAAGTCATATGGTATATATGCTAAGATTAATTTGAGTTTATGGACTGTTTAATGGGTGTCGTTTTGTTTAGTTTTGAAAAATAAATCCTTCATATTAGTGTAGGCGAAAGGGCACAGTAATTTCCTTAAGGTATTTCTCAAATCGTGATTGTTGGACTTTTCTTTTAAGTCTGTTCAGAATATATGACGGAATATTAAATCTAATTCGAATAACTTTCCTTTGGTAGGCTTTTGTCGATATCATCTTTGCTTACTTCGCCGCCAGCGACGAAGAAAGTGGAGTAAGTTCATATGAGGTAGCGTGGGGGACTGCTCCTGGTTTAATCGACATAACCGACTTTGAAGAGCTAATTAACGCCACCATATGGCGTGCAAAATTTAAAGACGACGCACTCGAGATTGGAAGAAAGTATTACGCAACAGTGCGTGCGACGAACGGTGCTGGGTTACTATCCGATCATCTTTCATCTAACGGAATCGTGGTTGGAAAGTCTGAATATGTCTTTGATAATTCATCAAAAGCCTCATTCTTCTTTGACACAGTAAACGTGAACGATGATGGATCACGTAAAGACGGGGGTGTAGGAAAAACCTACGGCACGTTGAGTGTCCCTGAAGGTGCTGTTGAAGAAGAAGTAAAATTACGATGTTACAGTTTGGACGAGAAAACGCTGGAAGAAAATACAACTGAAGAGGGTCCAGTCAGCGACCCGAAAAGAACTGCCCCAAAGGTACACTAATGTAACTCGTCATGCTATTGTATTATGTTACATACAAAGCATTAGTGGTAGTCCTTACTTGCCAAGGTAAACTTTTGTTTTATGTTTTATTGCAAATTGTACTCTTTGTAACCAAGAAAGATGTGATCAACACCCATGAGCCTTGGTTGTATTATAGGTTATGTGAGAGGTTTTTTCCATGAGTCTGAACAGAGTACATGCGCCGTAAGAATTTGGGAAATTTGGCGTATGCACTTGTGGTTCATCTTTCCAATATAGCCGAGTGTGGATGTTGTCTTGAATTTGGACAAAATGATCTTGTTCGCATTTCCATATAAATGTACTTTGCATGTGTTTTCTCTATCGTTTATTTTGCGCTGTCTCTTCTCCCTCTTTAGCAATTTATGCTGGGAAACTACAGCTTTCAGATCAAAGCCCTGGATCCTATTAACAATACAGTGAAGGAAGGTTTCCGGTTTGCTAAACCTATCAAGCTTGCCATGTTTTATGACGTGGACAACCTGGTAAAAGCCAACAAAAAGCACGTCAACAATGAAGTTACAAAGAAAGACATAGATCCTGTGTTGTTCTTATGGGATCCAAAGAATGAAACTTGGTGAAAATTATTAAATTATACATATACTTTTGTCGCATATTTCGTTTCTTGAATGAAACAAACTTAATAATTATGCTTTTACCTGGCTTTTTTTATATTAAATAACAATCTAACTTAAAGTATCTTACTTCTTTGTGATTTTGCACGGCCTGTCGTTGCGTTAGTGGTTGTTAAAGATATCTTAAGAGAAAACAAATTTGAAGTCCTCATTAGAAAAGGTTTTGACTCGACGCATTTCTAAGACGAGGCGTAACAATTTATTACCACCAGTACTCTTTCACATACACATCAGTAAATGTGCAAACAAGTAACTTTGAAAGAATACATGCATATTGGTTGCAAGGATTCAAAGCGTCAATTCTTTGTTTCAAATATGATCGAAATTATTGGAAAACTTAATCTTAGAGTTTAATGTATGATCTTTTCATTTAGGTTTGACGCAAAACTTACTTGTCCAGAGCCCTGGAGTCGAGTGAACCGGTCGGTCAAGCTTCTAGAAGTGAACGTGTGTCACCTGACTCAGTTCGCCTTCTTCTTCTCCTTCCAGGCACAGCATGGCTTACTTCTCTTTGGGAAGAATCACTCAAGTATGAAAAGTTCAGTTGCCTTCGAAGTAAATGAATTGTAGATTGATTCTTAGGTCTGTACAATATTTGCTCAAAGAAGCCTAAAATTACCTTTTCATTCCAAACTGTATTTCTGTGAATGATCTGTTCTTTGCATCCTTATGGACGATTTTTCATTTGGTATCAACAGCAAATATCTTACTCCCAAAATAGAGTAGAAAATAGCATATAAACGACATTATACCCCCCTCTCCTCATTTTAGAAAAATAATCGATCAGTTACTTTTTTTTAAGAAGACAGTGTTGATGACGAAAAATTATTGTGCGGTGCCTCTCTTTCACCCGTCTATAACATCTCTTACAATGCTCCGTTACCATACATAAGCCATGTTCGTTCTAATTGTTTTTCGTAAGTGGGTGTTTGTTTTAATGTTTCCTAATAGTAATTAATTTATTTCGTACTTCATCTGTGTATCAGTGGCGTGGTTTAATTCCAACTTCCTATAAAATTAGAAATAATAATGATGTCATAAATATGTGTCCTCTATGTGTTTGGTGGATTGATCGTCTTTAATCATTAGCTATACTCTATTTCATGAAATGAATGGTATCGAAATAGCATTTGTAACCGCTATGACATTCTTGTAATGCTTCATGATTTCGTTTCGATAGGGTACAACTTAGATGGAGGCATCCAAGTCTCTCGTAGGATGAGGGTCACCATGTTGGAGATTCTTCTACGAAGATCTAAAGGTTCGCAGGGTGACATTGCTGTACAGTGGTCGCTGTATCAAAATGATTCCTCGGACAGCCTCGACCTAATATGGCCAAGATCTGGGGAGGTGTCTATGAAGGACGGTCAGTGGAACGATTCTTTTATACTCACCGTAGACAATGACAGAAGGCAAGCGCCAGAGGGGGTTATCTGGGTTCAATTGGAAAATCCTTCGGGCGGCGCTTTGTTGGCGTCACCTGATGAGACCACGTTAAAAATCACGATTGCGTCAAACCACAGGCCTGATCAGGAAACAGGAATCATAACAACAGTATGTATAGGCGTGGTCTCCGTACTGGTAGTCCTTGTTGCCTCATATGTCGTCAAGAGACACAGAAATAGAAGAAAAAGGTAAGCACAATTGAAATTGAGGATGTTTCCGTTAAGGGCAAGAAAAGGCGTTTCACGGCAATTTTCACCGCACGTTCAAAAAGATTCACGCACCTAAAGGCATCACAGGAACAAAACTAATTTCACACCAACTTCCTTATAAAACGGTTTCTTTATCATCTTTACCAATCTACCAGTATTGCAGAAATAGAGTAGTGTATTTGGACATACGATTTGGAATATGCTATCCCTCGAAAATAATTTATTTTGCTTTTGCATCGCCTAAGTCCGGTGTTCCATATGTGATTTATTGTCTAATTAATGGATCGCTGTCGCAGCCATTCCAGCGCCAGAATGGTTATATCAGCACAGATGGATCTAGTCTAAGCTTTATCCTGGTTATTTAGAAGAGCTTCTTCTTGACTTTTCACCGGCCTATGGTCAAACTAACATCGTACCTTAAGCAAAAACACTAACCTGCCCACTTTTTTTGTTAGGATTGTTACCAAAATAAGTGGGCGCCAAGATACTGAGATGACTCATTGTAAGTAAAGCGTTGATTGATAGTTTGGTTTCTTGTCAATTTTGCTTTCTTCCTTAACTCTTCTCTCCGTTGAGTTTTGACTGGCTCGTGAAATGTCGTTTTACTTGTTAAAAGACCCTTCTAATTAAATGGCAATACTTTCCATCTGGCTCTGCTGTTGGATACACTGAGTAATCTAACGGTATGAAACCATAGCCATACGTAACAGATCACATCTTGGGTTGATGATGAAGGGTCAGGATATTTCCAAGCGACTGCGACACAACACGATTTCGGGAAATGAACCTAGTTAAGGAGGCTTTTAAAAAAGTCTGTTTACTTGCTGTTTGCGGCTAAGTTCATATTTCATAGTCTCTGTCACATCACTTGGGTTCCCTTTTGAGCTCATTAGAGAAGCATTAGTTTCCTTTGACTCAATGGCGTTCAATCAAAGAAATGTACTGAGATTATTGTTAATTATTGTTTTTCCAAGTCGCTTGCTTTCTTTGCCCTCTTCCTAGTGAGAGATGCTAACACCGGGCACGCCAATAACAGTTGGCGATCGTCTGACCCAGTAGACCATGACATGGAGACGGAGTTAAATTCCTCTGGATTCAAACCCGAAGTCGAAATGTTCACATCAAATCCACTCTACGAGTCACTTGGTCTGAGCACTGACCCAGATGTTTCACAAGTGGTAGCTAACCCTCTTTATGGGTCCAACAATCTTACAGACATGAGTGGTGCTTGCGTGATTGCGAATCCGTTGTGCAACTCAGCTTGTACCCTTCCAGGTGCTGATTCTGCTCCAGCAATCGAGAACCCCCTGTATGAAGCCACCTCCTGTATTGAAGGAATTACGGGAGAAGTGAATTATGGCGAGAATGTTGATGAAGATGGAAGTGAGGAGAGTTGCTTGGGGTGAGTACCGATAGTTTGTTTTTTGTTTTTGTTTCTTAACTGTACTCACAACAAAGACATTTAGAAAATTTTTATGCCTTGTTTAACTGTGTTTTGTAACGTCACCATGTACTTTAGACTTCTTGAAACTTTTGGTCTTAAAAATTTCAACTGATCGAGAAAATTTACCGAAAGAAATTTTACCAACCATAGCAAGAATTGTAGACTTGCTCAAAACACTAAATTATGCATAATGTGTTCTTAGTATTAGGTTACCAAGTAGACGATTTAATGACAACTTTCATTGTCTGCCTTTCTTTAGGAAGAAGACTTCAATGGTTGAAAAGTTGGACTGAATACAGGAACGAATAACTTCAAAAATTTTGCTTGGAATTTTTTTTTTTTTTTCACTTTGATCACATTAATCTAAGGGGTATACTGTATTTTAGGCAAATAAATCAGGTAGACGCGATTAGCTGTTCAACTGATACGTTTTCAGAAGAATGCGTGGGTAAAATTAGGTAAAATTTATGCTCTCTTTCGCCTGAAATACTTAAGTTTTGCACGCGCAGAGTGAATTTTAATAGTCGCTAGACAGATCTTTTGTTAAAAATCTCTCGCTGATAAACTCGTCCTGGTACTATTTCTGGTAAGATTCCTTTTGACATCTGGTTCTTCTTTTAGTCAACTGAGACAAATTTGATAGTAGACATGATGTCGCTGGTTCATAGCCGACCTTTTCTTTTCTGTTATTTCATTCTTTTTTTGCCCAAACAATTTTTTGAGAGCCACGGATCATTTAAATTTCTGATCTCTGACCATAACATGATAGAATCAACTAAATTGTTTTTCCTCCTTTATTTGTTTTTTCGTTTGATTTCTTTTATATTTTGGAATGAGATGGAAAGAACGGAAACATTGATTTTTCGAGGTAGAAGCACCATTGTCTTGTAGCCTTTTTGGACTGCCTTAAGTCATTATATAACAATTTGGTTTTGCTGGTAAATTTAGAATGCGACTTGAATAAAATGAGATTTTGAAAGAATATGTGAATGTGTTTAGGTAGTGTGGAACGTACATTAAGATGTTGCCGATACTTTTTTTTTTTGCAGTTCAGTCACGGCATAAGCGATTTCTAGGTAGTTGCGATATTTCGTCAGCTAAAACACCAACGTAGTTTTTGGAACTGACTCATAAAGAGCTCGAATCCTTGGCACAAATGATAATTTTTGAGGAAGGATAAATGAGAAACTTCGAGGATTTCAGCTTAACTCGAAAGGAACATCTCTCTACTCGTTGAATTTCACTTGTCTACCCCTTTCCAGAACCAATTATGCTTCTTTTGGTTTTGAAAAATCATAGAAGTTATGGAAATTGCATTATGTTAATCTCCACTCAAAAGCAAATGATTTATCACCTGGTTTATCCTGATCATCGCCATGAGTATTTTGCAGGATTATTAAGTTTCGAGGACCTTTCAATTGTCTTTACAACATGTGTGCTTGAAAATCTGGCACAATGCAAAATCCAAAGAATTTAAAGTGTGCACCTTGAGAGGCCTTGATTTTCTCGGTTTGCCATTTCAAGTGGTGTTCATGAACTCAAAAGGCTGGGGGTGTAATGGGGAGAATCGAAAAGTCCACTTAAGGTAGTTCTAAATTTGTCGCTTTAGAAGTCTCAAGATGCAAATTTTATCTTCAACTTCCAAGTCTCATTAATATTTCCCCTTACTGCCATACAATTCTTATGATGTTAGTTCGGATAATTTTGAATTAAATTAAGAAATGATCTCCTAATTGACATTTTTTTTTTATTATTTTCACCACCTATCTACTTGATGGTGTAAGGATATTGTAAAGAAGAATTCTGTCTTGGCTGGTCACTCATGGTAAAAGTCTTAAAATTCATCGTGCTGAATTCAAATTGAATCTTACATTTTACCTGCATGAATACAATTTCATTAAGTTTAAAGGAGGGTATAATTTTTTGAAGTAGTAATAGAACAAAACAGAAGAGAATATTCAGTCAAATTAAGAAAAAAAACGGAAGGGAAGTTTTTCGCAATTGTTTTAGGAGTGTTTTACATAAATTTCCGTTGGAAGTTAGGAGGGAAATCTGTCCAGCTCGAAAAAAGTTAAGCTATATTTTATTGGGCGTAAAGTAAACAACGCTGGGTATCTTATATAAATGTCTTCTGATTGTGATCAGGTTCTGAAAGCCATAATTCCAATTTTTCCTGCTTTTCACAGAAAACATGATTATACCTAATTCTTAGGTAATTCAAAACACATATTCTGTTTTCATTTAACAAATAGAGAATCTTTGACTGTGCTCTGTAAAACACGCAGGAAACGGCTAAAGCTAGCACGAAAGAAGTGTACTGAGAAACACGAGACGTACTCGGGTGTTTCTCACCACTTCTTGAGTGCTTCTAACGTTAATAAGTTTTTAAGAGATGATATATCTTTGTGGAAATAATTGCTGATTCCAGTTTTCTGAAAAAAGTGATAAAGAAATTGTTCAAAGACTGACATATTTTGACCACATCCGTTTCCGTTAAAACATTTCTTTTAAAAGATCTTTTTCGAAATTTAATAATAATAAGCTGGCCTTCCAGTTCTTTTTAAGTTGTCCAAAATTACATATTTCGAGAACAAAAGAGATTATTATTTTCGGCTAGGAAAAATGCAGTCTTCAATGCGGATACGCTCAGAAAAATACCAATATAATACTGCTCATGTATCTCAAGAGAAAGAAACAAATGATTCCTAATAGGTTGATTTTCGTTGATCTAGGTTTTCCCAGTAGAATCCTGTTCAAAACTTTACTTGGAGGAAATCACATCTATTACAAACTCTGCCATCAGGAATTTAGCCAAATAATACTAGAAACAAGATAAATTAGTAACATTATTTAAAAATAATTCTTCTTAAGCGCATAGTTCTTATATTTGCCTAAAGAAGCCAAATAAGTACGTATCTATTCAAATTTCATAGGGTTGCAAGAACATCCATAAGACCTTCGCTATGAAGACCTCATGGAAATTGAACGGGTCTCGGCCTATGTGCACATCTGACTTCGTCTTTCTGGAGAGTACAACTGTTTAGTCTCGTTAGTACACACAAAGGGCAACATTTACCATGCACAACTATTTTAGAAGCCCATGAAGATGATAATAACTACTCCTTGGGAGTGGATTTTAAGTTTTTTAGAGTTATTAACATATCAGAATTGCCAGAACGCCTTTTTTTTTAATTGAAATTGTTAAAGGCCAAACTTTGACAGGAAAACTCGCGGATGATTCTTTCTCTTTTACTTTTCTTTTTCAACGGCTTTGAGAGAACTTTCAATTGCACTCGGAAGTTATGTGGAGTGATGTTTAAGACATGAAACAATAAAGCAATTCAAGTATGTTCTCCCGTTTTTACTTTTATGTCAAGACTATACATATTTAGGCAGCTGAATCGTCCTGTCTATGGTCTTTGATTTTGAGCTTGAAGGAATTTTGGTGAAGCAAGACTCAGGACTCAGAAATTTATCAAGTGAACATGGGTTATAACACATTCCGTGTGAGTTTTCCCAAATTGCAAAATAATAATATTATTTTACAAGATTTGAATCTTTCTAACCAACAGAGGCTTGGTTGTCACAGACAACAGAACAAGAACGCAATAAGCTTAAAATGTTTTCATTGATTTGATTATAACTTTTGTTTCTCACAATCATGGCATATTTGACACCGTGTCTCCTAAAATAACATTCGTGAACATAAAGGCTTGACAAAGGCGTTCTGGCAATGTTGGCATAAGTTCTGAACACAGCTGAATGGTCTTTCTTTTAAAGTCAATATAATAATTCGAGAGCTGCTCAGAGAGAGGAATTAATTTGAACTATTATTTTAACTGCTATTCAAGTCCTAAAAGAGTCTAATGATGAGAACAAAGAAAGAGAGCAAGATCATCGACAAGGCAATTTTGGTTTAGTTCAGATAATTACTTTCCATTTTAATTTCGTTTTGTCTCTCTTATTATCAAAACAAGACAGAAGGTTTCTCTAGTCAAAGGATGTTTTATGTAATATTTCTAGACTTCAACTAAAGTTAGAAATAATTCAACTATTATTCTATCAGTAAAGAGGTTAGGTGTAGTGCTCATTTAGAGAAGAATTACAATTTCTTGAACTAACATAAATTATGGGGTGTTCTTTAGATTGAATAGTCCTCACGATCTTCGGTTTCTATGGTGTTTGAATTGATTTTAACAAAGCGTGTTGGATAAAAATGTCAGCCATGATTCTCAACCTTCAAAGAACTCTATCACAAACGTAAATGTAAAAGCGTATAGCTGGTATTCTTTTCTGACAGACTTATAAATTAAACAAGTCAGAAGAGCCTCAAAGCTAAATGATATCAGTTGAGGAAAACATGTGCTTACTGCATCATCACTGATTAAAAATAGTTCACGTGTGCTTCCTTATCCAATCACGCGCAATATGGAACTAAGTATTCATCCATTATTGCACTATGACGTGTTAAAGATACTCAGAGACATCGATTACAAAAGGGAAGGGCTGGCCTTTTGATCCATTCTTACTGGAGGTGTTAAAAGAAGGAGGTAAGATTTGTTTTCCCGTGTTCTCTTGTAGATTGACCTTTAGATGTCCTCAATCAATCTTGCGATACGCAGAACTGTAGTTTTTGCTTGCAACGTTAGATTCATTTAGATATGATGTTTGTGTATTTGCCTTTTTAATACCAAAACAAGACCATTTCTTGTTTGTACCTTTCTCATATATTGTACGCACAAATTAACGATAGGAAAATTAAATCTGCGAATTTGATGTCTTAGGCCTCTCTAACTAACACATACTGCCAACTCCTCGAGATTCCACCCTAAGAGAAAGAGAAAAGACAGTATTCATCGTTTGCTTTTCTACACATGCCCGTAGGGCAAAACGTCAAGTGTTCCACTACTTTGCTTCACACAAAAACGGAAGTTTTGGGCCCCCAAGACCCATACCCTTAGTTCCTTTACATGCGCTGTGCTCACGTCTACTTGTGGGCCATGAGGAAATCTTTCACCCCTTCTTAGGTGAATGGCTCTACTTTTTGAATTGGAATCTTTTTTTGGGGGGTGGATTAAGAACACTTCCGATTTACATTTTAAAACCCGCAGAAGAAAAAAGTTTGCACAAGTCAAAGACCTTAACGTAAGGTCGCAAGAATATCCATGAGACCTTCGCCACGAAGGCTTTAAGGTACTTTACGATTCTCGGCCTGTTTACCCATATCAAATTTGATGAAAACCTTGGAATTCTTACTTCGCGTTCTGGAGACTAGAACCGTTTGGGCTCACTAGTACAAGCAACAAGCAAATTTCCCAAGCACGAGTATTTCGTAAGTCTACCCAGAGAATAATAATTACTCCGAGGTAGCGGATTGCTGTAGTTGTGTGGCGTATGTAAAATCCTAGAATTTGCAGAACTACTCTGAAAGCTTAATTTTTTTTATTTGAAAAAAAGAAATCCTTCCCTTTTTTTAAGTGACATAGTAACAGGCCCAACTTTTTCAGAAACCTCGTGGATAATTAAAAAAGAGAACTTCAAGTTATTGTTTCACAAAAATGGACAAAAATAAGTTACACGTAAGATCCAATAGAAAATATTTAATATTCCTTTGGAAACACCAAGGTAGCTGGCGCGTGCTATTTAAAATATGATAATAGTGTTAGTGTAACAAAAGAATTGAAAATTTTCTCCTCAGGGGCTCTTTTTAAATTATTTGCGAAACGTATTTTTTAATGAGTCGGGCAGTTCAACAAACAAATACATTCTTGTCTGCGACTTTTCTCTATGTTTAACTGCGTGTTTTATCATTCATTTAGAACTTAAAACGAACAAATGATAGCTAAATCAGAAGAGCTCCCTCCCATGCCAAGTGATCATCTTGCAATATAGCTGAGGTTTTTTTTTCTCTAATGAAGTTGTTTTAGTTGCCTTGTGTGGAAAAAGTCTGGCTTCGTGTTCAGTCGAAGAAATGAAGTTCATTGTTCTTTCCTTGGTACTTTTCATTTTGGTCAAATGTGATGGTAAGTGATAAACTATGCTTTTTTTACTCACCTTTAACCTGAAGTTTACCGCAATGTAACCAACAGCACGGGTGCGGGAACAAAAATTTTTGTCATTTACGTTTATCACCTTTGAATGATAACATCTCTCTCGTCGTCAGCGTCGATGTCTATGAAATGTCATCAGGAGGTGTGGTTTTGATGTTCCTCCAGAGTAATTGCTCCACCCCAGTCTAAATTGTCTAGCTCTTCAGGGATTTTTCTTGAATAGCGACCCTCATCCATGTTCTAGCTTCCGATTTTTCTTAAGAGCCCAAAAAGTGTATGTCGTAGATAGGTCAGTATTGAATCACTACTGCTCTCTCGGGGTCAAGCATAGGTAAGTAAGGCACTTGTAAGACAATAATATCACGTCAAACTGATCTTGATGTTTACAGGTGGAAAACAAAAAGCTGCCGTGGATTCGCACTTTGATGACTGTGAAGATTTACTCGAGACCGCAACCTACCAGACCCACACTCTTATGGAGTTACTTTACACTTTCAATTGTAAGCCTCTTGGGTGGGAAGGTTTTTTTGATCGGGCAGACGTCATGCAAATGATGGAAGTCATCTCCAAGCAAATTCAGTACGACTCTCAAGTGGAGAACTATGGAATCAACCCAGATATAGGAAATGTTTTTAGAGCGTTTAATATGGTTTCACCCGAAGAACTCAGGGCAGTGATTTTAGGTCAAGATCCAGCTCCTCAGCCCGGTCTAGCGACAGGCCTCGCTTTTAGTTTGGATCCCTCGGTGGACCCTTCAGAGGTTCCCAGTGTGCAGAGAGTGATCCTAGAGGCCCGCAACGGGGGATACTGTGTTAATGCTTCAGATGGTGTCTTGGTTAAATGGGCCGAAGAAGGCGTCCTCCTGCTCAATACAGCGTTGACCCTGATCCAAAACGAAATTGGCTCTCACCTTGAGCTTTGGGAGAATTTCACTCAGGCAGCTATTGATTACACCAACGAAAACACCAATCCATCGGTCTGGATTCTCTGGGGATCTCATGCAAAAGCTTTTGAGAGCAGTATCGATAAGAGCAAGCACTACATTCTGAAGGGAGGCCACCCATCTCCAAAAGCAGATGGAAAATACTTCTTCTGTCATAATTATTTCGCCTGTGCCAGTGAGTGGTTGTGTGAGAAAGGGCGTGGTATGATAGATTGGAACCTACTTCCTCTACCTTGCCAAAAGCATGCAAGCCGTCTTTACCACAGGATATACGAAGACCCGGGTTATTGCAATGGGGATCTTTGTGAAATGTGGTACTGTCCATATTAACAAACAATATGTAGCACGCACAAGCTTGGAGTTCAAATAAAGAAAGATATGCGACGTTCAAAAATGTGTGCTATCTTTGTTGAGATTTGTGCGTGGCCGAGAATAATTCGTGATTAGTTGCTGCTGCATCCTTTACTTCTTAAAACAGTGATTCCAGTTGATTTGATTTATTTATATATTTTTTTCAATTTTAAAATTTAGGAAAGTTAGGGAACAGAAGTATAGCAAACATGAATTACTATTCAACACTAAATTGTTTCATTCGGATACTGATCAGAATTTTCCCTGGCAACTCGTGTCACCAGAACGATTCTTCGACAGTATGCTAACTATAATTCTTTCAAGTTGCACCGCGTTAATGTCTGATGTAAATCAACTTTAAACTTGCACAACTTTTACTATATGTTTTGCTGTGTAGGAAAAATGGAAAAAGTCGAACCTCCCTTAGCAACAATCTCTCGTGAGCGACCACCTCCCGTTAGCGACCACTTTTTCAAAATACCAAACGTTTTCAAGTCTAATCACTATAAATGGAACCTCTCGTAAGCGACCACCTCTCATCAGAGACCACTCTTAGGGATGCTTGCTTACAATTTTCAATTATTTTTGACCTCCCATAGGCGACCACTTGACAGACAATCGGCTTCATCTCTCACGAGCAGAAATTGAAAATTTTTACAACAATGTTATAGAGCCTCCAAAGTGTTTCCCGAAATAGCTTTACCGCGTGAATTTTTGCTTGTGTGGCGTCATCGGAAAGTGTGGACAGCACCATTTAAAGTAACCAACGAACCAAGTTTGTTTCATGTGATTTGTCCCATACTCTGTTTAGAATAATACGTGAAATACCAAAAAGAAAATTATCATAGATCGAAGTTTGACTGTATTTTGCGGTTGTTAGGAAAGACTTTGCCGAAACAGTTCTCAATACAATCTCCTCTCAGTTTTATTGTTCCTTCTATTTCAATACTAATACAATTCGTTCCCTCAAAATTATTGCGCTTCATTCTTGCTTATAGCAGACTTGCAGGAAAGTTACTTGTTTATTTGCAGCGAGCGTAAATGGAATAGGATGAGAGACAGAAAAAAAGAAGAAAATTGAGAGGAAAATGGAAATCAGCTGCCCACAAAAACCAAGCATGAGAAGTTTGGCATAATGTATTTTAGCTAGGTCTAATCTGGCGTTGCACAAAAAGAATCGTTTCAATGTAGTCGTAATAAATTATACTCAAATTTAAGTATTTGCTATTCCTTCACATTAAATTTAAGGAGAAGGTGATAAATGTCTCAGTATTTAGCCAGTGGAAGCTAACAGAACATCAGAATTTCTCATGAAACCTATGCTCAACGCACATGTGGCGATAATATGGTCTTCGGTGTTGCCATGTCCCTCAACTGAACGTTTTTTTCTTATGGAGGATCTACTACCTTACTAGCATCAAGTTGAATTCCATTTATTTTGTAGTAAGAAAAAAAGACCTACATACTTCGCTTTAAGTCAGAAGTTGGAATGGTATATCTATGCAAGCCGGGTGCTTAGGTCGGATTAGAGCTTTTTTTTTATTTGTTTAAGTAAAACCCTGTCAACAGGTAGTATAAAATAAGTGCGACCGCCAATTCGAAAAACTCGGAAAATTCTTGCAAATCGCCAAATTGTCGCCACTGTCCTACCTCGGAGGCTTCCAGATTTTGGCAGAACAAACACTCGTGTTTTTTTTTAACTATTTAGCTGTCATGATATGCAAGATATGTCTTGACAAAAATTCATTGGTTTGGCGCGCGATGGCATGGTCTGACTCTTTTTCTTTCGAGCCAAACGAATTTGAGCGCCGATTTTATTCAATTGTCTGTGACTTGTATCCTGGTTACAGTTATACTGGCGGCAGTTTGGCGGAAATATGGCTTCAACGAGAAATTCTCCTTCCGCTGCTAGTATTAAAGTCCGCACAAGTAGCGCAAGATCAACCAAAACGCAAAATATCATCCAGAAAAAAGGATCAGTTCTTCAGTAGAAATTCGTGCGAGAATTTTTCCACCTCCCTTCAGAGTGAGATGGGTTTGTGATTGACGTATGAATCAATTAGCGCTGTTTTGACGAGACCGCCGCTAAAAATTGGAAAGGGCGAAAATTTTGTGTTCGTGTAAAATTAGAAAATATTAGAATTCGCTGGTGCGACCCGATCCTAAGCTCTAATGTGTTTGTTAACTGCTTATGATTTGAATATTTAAAAAATACATACACAATGAACAAATGATGAACAAACGTTGAATATTGAAACTTCCTGTTAGAATTCTTATCTACAAGCAGCCGCGTAATATTCTCTGTAAACAGCTCTATTAGGCTACAAATGATCATTGCGTTCCGTCTAAACATTATAACAGAAAAAGTCTCCTTCCGCTATATACTCTTCCTTATCTGCTGAAATCAACCTTGTGGGAGGCGATGTACTTTGCGTTGCCAGACCTGCTGAATTGCGTGATTCGACTGTCACGTACACAATGCTACCTTCAAACAATGTGCTCGTGCCATTTAAAGGTAACGTGAAATTTGTGGTGACACCGACATCATGGAAGGAAAGGACGTCTGTTGCGTATGGATGTTTGCCAACTGCAACTCGAAATCCGCTTATTCCTGATTCTTCATCATAGAAGCCAAACCAGTGAGCCCGCAGTGTTCTATTGAAAAGGTGGCAGCTGGAGTGAAGTCCAAAAACGTCATGCGTGCGGTCTGGGCTTACTATTACCGAGCCCTGTAGAAGGAAAACAAACAAAAAACAAACAAAAACGTCAATCACACCTTATTAAGAGATCTTTTGGAAACGGGTACTTTAATTTTCTTTTTTTATCAAGCAGTAATTAAAAAAAAACAACCTCAAGATAACGACCTTTAATGCAACGAAGATTACTGCGTTTCTACGGTCGTTTAGCGAAAACTTTCTGATTACTATATCGGGATCAAAAACTACTAAATATTAGTTTATTTATCGTTGCCTAGACATTATTGGTTTCATACCATATTTCCTTACCTTGGTGGGTGGAGTATCATCAACCAGGACCGGTGTGGAAGATACTCTTTCTGTGACAAGTCCAACATTATTTTCGCATCTCACAACAGTGTAGTACCTTCCACCCGCCACTAACGAGAGCCCTGTTGCTACTATGGCCGTTTTAAAACCATTATCTACGAAATCGCCTATTAAGTGAGTATTGTCTCGAATAGCGTAACTGCACGATTTGACCCCACTTTCCTCATCCTGGAAGAAGGTGACGTTTGAGATCAGAGAACAGTTTGGTACACATGATATGACATCGGTGGCCGGCAGCACTTCGCCAACAGACGGCGGAGTGAAGTCCACTTTTATTTCGTCCGATGTTGCCAACGTAAAGAGCCCTGCGTGATTCTGTACTCGCACCGTGATGTAATAGGTCTCTTGGTGTCTTGTTTTACAGTCATTGCAAGTGATTTCTGTCGTATTGTAGGCTATTTTAGTAATGGATTTCACCTGGCAGCCATTGGGAACTGTTCCCACGCAGAATGCTGTTTTCGATATGCTACTCTCGAAATCAAATGATTTCCAAGAGGCATGAAGTTTCGCCTCGGGTCTAAGCCACAAACTAGAACCACGCGTGAGCTTCAATGATGAAAAAAGATCATTAGATGGAACATTCACGAATCAAGACTAAAAAGTATGTTAAATATTTGAATTGGGTAGCCAAACATTTTGTTTTGAATTGGTGGACAGGAAATATTTCTCTTGAAATTACAGAAAATATTACCATTAAAAATGATTTCCAGGAGATTGAGGGTAACACGTATGAAGCAATGAAGCAACCATTGCTCCAAGCTACTATGCTATCCACAAATAAGGTATTCATAACGCTACAGCAGGGATATTTACTGAAGTACAGACTAAGCGGACTTCTCATAGTACATAGACCATCCCATAGTTACTCCCATAAATAATCACATGCTTCATACCTCTGTTAACTCAGGTGGTGAAGTGTCAACGAGAAAGCCATCAGACCATCCATGCGACGTCATTCCAGCACCATTCGTGGCCTCCACTGTAATGTAATACCTTACTCCGTGTGCGAGGGTAAGATTCCCGGCCATCGCTGAAGTCATCATACCGACATCCGTAAAATGTATGACGTCATCATTATCAGGGCTGGTTCCAAGGCCCCAGCGATAACTTGCTATGCCACTCTCGTGATCGCGGAATGGTTCCCATAATGCCGCTACTGCTGTCGTGGAGAATTGAAACTGAACATCAAAGAGGAGAGATAATCCATCGTGAACTACACCAGCATTTGGTGCGGTAGCGTCAACAACAACACCATCCGACGATGAGGTGCTACTAAAGCCATCACCGTTTGTACAGGTTACTTGACTGGTGTAGCGAGCGCCAGGAACAAGACTGAGATTTTCTTCAGTGAGGTTTCCACTGCTTTCCACGACTTTCTGCGCGACAATTGAGTCATTTCCAAAAGAGGAGCTGTTATGTGAGACGGATTGCTCGATCAATACCCACGTGCAGCCAGCAACACCTGATTCTTTATCTTCAAATTCGTCCCACTGAAACGACAGGGTATTGGTCGAATCTATAAAGTCGACATCTTGGCCAATCCCATCTATTACAACGCCCAATGAAGGCGGTGTCATATCAAATATCAGTTTTTCTGACGACATAACAGACGTTAAACCGGCTTTGTTTACAACAGACACAGTCACATAATATGTAGCGCGGATTTGAGGCATAAATGGGCCAATCATACCCGAAGTAGACAAACCTGCAGGTATTGTTTCAGCCACACAAGTGAGGGGTATTGTTCCCAAACAGTACGCACTGCTTTTTATACCGCTTTCATCGTCTTTAGCTTTATTCCAAGAAACATCTATCTCAACGCTTTTTTGTTCGTTGTCCGTGACTCTGTGGTTGGTGATGACATCTGTTATCAGGGGGGGAGTGTAGTCAACAGTAAAGCCATTAGACGAGCTTACACTGCTGAGTCCTTTAGAAGAAGTGGCTTTTATGGTATTGTAATACTTCTGACCTAAAGTTAAGACTTCAAGACCTGGTACGATGCCTTCCAAGTCTTTCTGAACTCTTGTCCTCAGCCCAATGCTGGTGAAACGCAAAATGTCATCCTCACCTGGAGCTGCTCCTATACCCCACGCATAGTCAACGACTGGATCCACCATATCGTCCATAAAAGGATCCCAGTTGGCACCAACATTCTTTACACTGGTCAGATAGTCGACGTCAACACCTTCTATAAGTCCATCTCTAACAAAATTCGGTATGGGCCAGATAGACTTTACTCGAAAACCATTGGATCGAACAGTTCTATTCATTCTCGCGTTATTCCAACATGTCAGTACATTGTAGTAGGTTGCTTCTTTGAGGAGATTAAGATCAGCGTATTTCTGAGAATTCGAATGGGCATTTCTTTTCCCATAGGTTGAGTTATTTGTAACATCAACTTGAAGGATTTTGCCCTTCTCTCCACCCTCAATAATCCACATACATGATTGCACGCCACTTTCGGCATCTTCTACGCCAAACCAAGTCATGGAGACGTTCCACTCCTCAAGTACAATGTTATAGTCCACTCCTAATGCATCGTTTCCGTCAACGACATTACCCATCAGTGGCGGGCTTGTATCCAAAAGCATTCCATCAGAGCTGCGTGTCACAGAAATACCAGCTCCGTTGGTAACGTGTACCGTTACATACACTCTCTCCCCCGCATAAGCACGACAGGTCGGACAGGTAATTGACATGTTAGCTCCAATATTTGTCATTGCTTTTATTTGACAACCGCGAGGCTTGGTTCCTAGACAATATTTGCTGTTTACTATGCCACTTTCTGGATCTCTTATGTTCTTCCATTGGGCCTCAATGGCCATCTTTGGTGAAAAGTAATCGATGTCATCCCCACTTGGGCCATCGTGAACGTCACTGTCAGCAGCTAATGGTGGAGTTGTGTCTATGACGAGTCCAAGCGAAGAAATTGTTGTACTTAAACCCGCTAGATTTGTTGCTATAACTGTCATGTAATAGACGTTTGCATGGGAAAGGCCGAGGTCGTTTTTGGTTACCTGCGTTGCCAGATGCACGTTCGCAAAGCTGACGATATCGTCTTGGTAAGGCCGAGTACCAATGGCAAAACGATAATTCTGGACAGCGCTCTCGTATTCGGCAAATGGAGACCATGTGGCAACAATGGATTCTGTGTCCGACTGATATTGGAATGATGGATTGCGTGATACCCCGGCTATAACGGGACCTGTCTGAATAGGTGGCGTGTTATCGATGGTAAAAATGACAGTTGTCAAAGCTCCGAGACCTGCATTGTTCATACAAACTACACTGACATTGTAACTTTCACCGTGAAGAAGACCTGTCAAAGACAGAGAAACATTACCCGAGGATGCATTGCTCTTCTCAAGAAATAAAAGTTGTTCCGCTTTGTCCCTAACGGAGATGTTGCAGATTTTTATGCCACTTTCTATATCTTTAAACTCGCCCCACGAAACGGCGATGCTGCTGTTGTTAACAAACATTTTTCTTCCATTTTGACGTGATGATTGTCCAACTTTGACTTCTCCTGGATTCGGTGGTGTGCCATCAAAGACCATTGCATCCGAACATGATCGCGAGACGAGACCAGCTCGGTTTCGAGACGTTACAGTGACGTAATATTTTACTCCGGGCGTAAATATTAGGCTCGTCATCGTAGTGTTGGCGTAGTTGGACCGGCCAATGTTAATGAATGTTTGAACTTGAGTTCCACATCTACTCGTACCTATGGCCCACTTGTAGTACCAAAGTTCACTTTCGGGCTCGGAGAAGCTCTTCCAGTAAACTGCGATGTTAGATTCAGAAGCCGAGTAGAAAGTATTGTCTTGTTCGTTATACCTCCATTCAGCCTGTGACTCGAAGCCTGGAAGAATTGTACTCGGTATTGGTGGAGTCCTATCTGGAATGACACCATCCGAAACCAATTCCCTGACAGAGCCAGCCTGATTTGTCACTTTTAAATGCACATAGTATTTTGTTCCACTGAGTAAAGTAAGGACTCTCTGACTTCTGACATGTGTCGAAAGACCAACATTTGTGTAGTCTTGAACACTGGTTTTGTCGCTTATGCTTGTACCGATACTCCATTCAAATTTTTCTATACCACTCTCTAAGTCCCAGATCCCTTCCCAGTTAGCGGCTATTTCTGACAGAGACGGCTGATACTTTAGATCTGGTTCAATGACTCCATCGTGCACAATACCTTCGCTTGGAGGACTAATATCGATAAGCACTCCGTCAGAGCTCATGCAGTCGCGTAGTCCAGCATTGTTCACAGCACAAATAATGAAGTAATAGACATCATCAGCTAAGGAAAGACCGTGGACGGTAGCTGAGTTATTTAGTCCTGCGCTCTGAAACGGAGACACACCTGCAGTACTTCCACGAATTCTGCTTACTGCATACTCATAATACTGGATTCCAGACTCGCGATCCTCAAAACCATCCCATTCTGCTGACAATGCTGTGGTATTTTCTTGATGGTCGATGTCTGAACCTGAACTTCCGTCACGCACTTGCGCAGCTCGTAGGTTCGGAGGAGTCCCGTCGGCGATGAAGCCATCCGAAGACACTTCGGAGCTTATCAATCCAGCTCTGTTTTCAGCTTTGATTTTGACACAATACTTTTGACCATTTGCCAGTGTGATGTTAGTTAGCATAAATGAAGTAGCCTCTGGAGGTTCAACTCTTAGGAAAGTATTTCCCGTTACATGATAGTTACCAGGGACACAGCTACCGACAGCAAAATAGTACTGCTTGACTTCAGTGTGAGGTTCTGGGAACTTTGTCCAGGAACCGTAAACATGCCTCACGTCTGCTTGATATTCGATATCTACATGAAATTTTGGCCCATCGTAAACGATTCCTTGGAACGGAGGTGTAGCATCAGGAATGACAATGACTGAATGAGCATCTTTATACAATAAAGCATTATTGTATGCTCTTATGATGACTTGATATGCCTTTCCTTCGGACAGTGCAAGATTGTTAAATGTTGCAGAAGTCGGCAGACTAGATCCTGACACTATTTTGAAGTCTGAGTTTGATGGCGACGTGCCCAAGGGCATAACAGCCCAGTCGTAGCGCTTGAGACCACTGTGGGCATCAGAAAAACCAACCCAGTCAACTGATATGGACGATACACTTGGCACGTATACACATTGTGTTCCGTTAATGAAGTCATCCTCACCGGTTACTTTGACATGACCAGTGAACACAGGATGAGTCGTATCCACGGTAACACCATCAGTAGTGACGTCAGTGGTTAGACCAACTGCGTCGATTGCTCTAACAGTCACGAAATACTTCGCGTTGTTTCCTAACATCAGTTTGGTATGTGTGATGTTTGTCGCATTTCCTACTGACGTCCAAGAAACAACAACGCGTCCACTGCTATCCGTTATTCTGTATTTGTACTCTACGATTCCGCTACCTTTGTTCCCGTCTGCGAAACTCTTCCAGTGTGCTGCAATCAAGGTATTGTCTGATTGGTAGTCTACATCACTTATGTGGCCATCACTAACAACACCAGCTTGTGGAGCATCATGGTCTATTAGCACGCAGTCTGATTTGACTTGAGTGTACAGACCAGCTTTGTTATAGCCTCTGACGACCGCGCAGTAGCTTTCCTTAGAAACAAGATTCAGGTTTGTTGCAGTTGAGGAGAGGTTCAGAGCTGCGGACTGGAATGACGTGATTAAACCAGCACCTAGCCGCTGTATTGCCGATGTATAAAGTGAGATAGGGGAATGAGGATCTGTAAAAAGGTCCCAGTTTGCGGTAAACGCGGTTGTCCATTTGGCGTACTTGAGATCTATACCAAGTTGATTGCCATCATAGATCCTGCCCGCTATGGGTGGGGAAGTGTCAATGATGACTCCATCGCTAGTGAGGTCGGAAAACAAGCCCGCTTTTGTGAACGCGCGAACGACGAATGTCACCTTTGAGCCATCTGTAACGCTACTGAAGGTCTTGCTTGCACTGGTGTTTAAATTTGCGTTGGTAAATGACTTAAGCTCAGTTGTCTGATTGTTGTTAAAAGAAGTTAGGAGAACTTTCCACTCATACTTGGCAACACCATGTCTTGTTTGGAATCCTCCCCAATTTACCTGCAAGAACTTGGAGGCTTGGTAGCTTAGGTCAGCTCCGGGACCATCGTGGATCCACCCAACTTTAGGCGTCGATGTGTCAATTGTGATCTCACCGCTGCAGATAAGCTGTGGAATGTTATTTCTTAAATCAGAAGCTTGTATTGAAACTTTGTATTTGCTGTTATCTTGAAGATTTAATCCTGACAGCGCTTGTTGGACATTGTTATAAGAAAACGTTCCAGTCACACTAGACGCGTTGTTGCAAGCAGAGGATGCTGGTAAAAGAAACCATTGAAGTGTCAATGCGCCACATGAGACGGAAAATCCTGTCATCTGAAGGTAAAGTTTATCTGTATAGTACTGAGAGTGAATGACTAACTGAAATGTTTGGTCCCTAAGTTGTGCTGTGCCGGTTGTTAAGGCGATACTATCTATCTCAGCACCAGGGCATGTTCCAAGACTTCCGTCGCACCTGCGGAGAATTTAACCATTGAAGAATTATTTAACAGGATTGAATAATCTTTAAAAAAGTAATTATTACGGGCATTGGATGCATTGTGTTCCAAATAAAGTAGTGCCTTCACTCAACGGGGAAAAGATGTGTTTCAGGAACGACTGTAGTTAAAAGCTAAAGATTTTGAGAAGCTCCGCCCTGATTCAATGCAATGATTTTTTTTCCTTAAAGCTATAATTAGAAAAAAAAAGACAACAGTAAGAATTAAAAAGAAACTTAATTAATGCTCATCTTTGACTGTTGAATGCTCTTTAAGAGTACTTTTCTTGATTCTTTCTCATTTTCTTCAAGGATTAGCTTCCTTAACATGAATTCATGAAACCAACTTAGCGAGAACTCTTGCCTTTTTGTTTTTTTTTCCTCCTTCTTACATCTCGCATTAAAACTGAACTTGCTTCCACAAACCTTTTTTTTACCGTTCAGTTCCGGTGACCAAAATTGTCACCGTCTTGAGTTTACTCGTTGTTCATCCCCAGGATGTAGGGTGAAAAATCAGGCAGCAACTTAGCTTAACTTAGTGAAAGTCGATTCTCTCTCTCTCTCTCTCTCTCTCTCAAAAAAAAAAATCGTATTTTCAACTAAACAAAGTATGCTGATTTTTTTTGACATCAAATTGAGTTTATCTAGACTAGTCAATAGAGTTTGGGGGAATTAGTAACATAGCCGGTCATCAATGCTGGAAATTTTCGTAACAAATTAACTGTGGCTTGGCATGGCGTCTGATAGGTGAGGAGGTTGGCTTGCATACCAAACGAGTAAGGTTCTTCTAATAACAAATCAAGCAAAAAAGGATTTCGAGAAGTTAAAATTGCTTTCCATCATGAATGTCGTAAGATGCTGTCATCTCTCACCGTTCATGCCGATCACAAGCGTCTAAAGCTGGGCGGCAAATTGCTCCACTTGGCCTGAAGATCGCGTGGCAAGATCCGTCACCAACACACTTAGAGGTTTGGATACAGCTTGTGGCGGAATAAGAAGCTTGGCAAGAGTAACCTTGTCCAATGCACCTAATAAGGCAATAAAATTCGGGCCCCTCTCTTAGTCAAGTGTTCCTATAAATCCCTAGCTGTATCGCATCAGTTCTTTACATCGTCGGTAGTTGATACTCTAAGGTGTTGGTTGATGTTGGGGGGTGGCAGGTAAAACATTACAAGAAAAAAATGATAATTAATTATATTGTATACATAAATTAACTTTAAGAAGTGCTTTTCTCTCTAATACTAATTAAAATATAGAGAACTGGAAAGCATATCGACAACGTCACGGGTTTATTTTGTCAAAAAAAGGAATATAGTTTTCAGTTCCGTCTTGCGATTTGGAATGGCCTCCTATGTTTTGCCTCCATGAAAATTTAATGAGAAAAGACCTCGTAGATATTTGGAAGATCATGATTATCATCTCTAGTTCGGCTTTCAGCGATTGTTTAAAGAGAGCAATTTTTTTCGCTAGTTAACAGGCGTTACTCTTTAACCCTGTAACTCCCGGAAGTGACTAACATGTAACTTCCCCCTATGATATCCATACATTATGCAGCAAGCAGGTAATGAGAATACTCAAGCTTATCAGGTTGAAGTTGTTATCTCGATCTTACTCCAAATTCTTGTAACTAAGTTACAGGGGAATGTGAAGCAGCCAGAAGAGAGAATAAACAATCAGATCTTGGGAGTTAAAGGGTTAACGATACTAACTTGCCAAGGTTACACGTGTCTTGTTTTGTGCAATTGTTGCCATCATCACAAGAGATTGCAGGGCGATTACTCCAAGCACTATTGGCACGAGCTACTGTGTCGTATAAGTCACACCACTGACACTGATTTGATGGATTCACTGCCTGGTTACTATGGTCCTGGCCTGCAGCATGAGCAGAAAAGTTATCAGATAGTTTCATGTGCTCAAAAGATTGACAATGAAAACGAGATACCAGCCGCCCAGTGACATTGTACGCTTATTATTGAGATAAAGCTGCTATATATCTGGAAACTAGCAATTGATTCCAAAGAATAGCCATCAAGGATTGATACACCATATTTTGTGTTGGTATGTTACTCGTAGCGGGTATCAATTGCGAGAAAATGAGTATAACATGGAGCAATATGACTCACCTGCTATCTTACACATGCACTTGCTGTTCGCAAAACCAAATCCAGTTTTCATACTGCAATTCTTTCCATTACAGTATTGACAAACCGGGTCGCAGTTGAAAGGTGTGGCTGTGCACTGGCCGCCTTGACACCTGTCTGCACGTGTGCATGGATTACCATCGTCACATGCTACGCCGTCTCGATTAGACCACGTGCTGGTACTATCGCTAGGGTTACACCACTGAAAGAAACAAAAGAAATACTTGAATCTTATCTGCAGGTCACAATATCACTTATTTCATTTTGTTGCGATGAGATTCCTTTACACGAAAGAGGAACCTCTTTATCGACATTTGACTTTGTAGCTCAGTTGGAAGAAGGGCTCCTTTAAGTATACGGTAAAGTAAAGTAATGAAAAGTTTAGGTAAAATATGGAAACGCACTCTGTTTGTTTACACAAACGTATTTTCTACTTGAATTCTTCAGCCCGCCAAAGCGTGAATAGCCAATCATATCATGTCAATATGAATGACTCCCAAAGGGTTTCTTGCGGCACAACAGCCTGGTCGCGTAAACATCTCCTGATTTCAGTTGCACTTGGAGATCTTTGCTAATTGTCTGCGTTTAACTAGAATGTGAACGGAGAATGATAAAGGTAAAAGGCCCTTAGGTGAAAGTTAAAAAAAGCCTGGCCGCAGAAAAGCGAAACAATCCCACCGAAACGGTTGAAGGCTCGTGAATTAGGCTTGAACTCGACCAGCAACCATTAGGTTTTGCCGCGGCGTGCTGAAGCTGCTTTTAACTTGAAAAAAAAAGGGTTGAAATCAAAACTGCCGTTCAGCAGAATCTTTGAATTTTTGGTGATGGACACCCGCGAAGGCCTATTGTATCCTTACTATTTGTGGGACGGACAAATTCGAGTACCTTCAAAGCCTTATTTTTTCACATTTTTCTCTCCAATTTCTTTATTGCAGCTCACCTTTACGGATCATTTCTTTTTTTGAATAATATTCACTGGTCAAAATATTATTCATTTCAACTGATCGTAAACAAACAAACAAACAAAGTTCGTAGGTAATTTAGTGTTAACAACTGAGTTGAAAACGTAAATTAGCCACCGAAAAGGGTAAAAAAACTGACGTTTCGAGCGTTAGCCCTTCGTCAGAGCGATGGTGCGAAACGTCAGTTTTTGTACCCTTTAAGGTGGCAAATTTACGTTTTCAACTCAGTTGTTAACATTAAATTACCTGCTATACTCTCCCACCGACGCAGCACCACAGTTTCTTTAGAAACTTGCCCCTCTAAACAAAGTTCGTAGTCTGAACGGTGGCGTACCTGACAAGGATTTCCTGGCTTGTAGTGATACATTGCGTAACATGTTCCTTGGCCTCCCTGTTGTATTATGCAATATCCAGGCTCGATTGGACAGCCCCTGCCGTCATGTATTTCACAGGACAGGCAGTTGTAGGGCGTTCCCACGCACGAGCCACTTAAACAGCGGTCGTCTTTTGTCTTCAGATTGGCGTCGTTGCACTTAAGGTTATTGTTGTTGGTCCATCTATCATTGTGGTTACTGTTACACTCCTAAGGAGATCGGAAGTAGCGTGAATAAAACAATAACGATTTGTGTATATGTTATCATTTTAACAATTCATAAGAATCCTGATTATAATTACAAAGAGTTTCTGAAGGCGACGTTTCGAGCTTTAGCCCTTCGTCAAAGTGAAGGGCTGACGCTTGAAACGCCATCTTAAGAAATCCTTTACGGTAAACAATTTACATTATCAACGCAGTGGATAAAACCAAATTATATTGTAATACTGACACAGCCTCCCTCTTTTAGCCCTCTTAGATATACTCAATATTATTTTCCCTTCATTTGGACTTTACAAGAGGATTCAGTATTCATGCACATTTTTCACCTCTTCCTAAAGGGCTTCACCGTTATTCCAACAGGAAGTTCAATATTAATTTTATGAAAGATGCAAGGCTGCCAACCATATTACCTGGCATTGATGACCTGGTCGAAGTGCACCGTGATTGAAACACTGCCGCATACCACTTTCGCTGATTACACAGTATCCTGATTTTACGCGGCACGCGTCATTGTAGCACTCCTCGCACGGGAGGCACGAGAAAGGCGTGCCTGAGCAAACCCCATTAGAACAGCGATCGTTTTTAGTGCATGCTATGCCGTCGGTACACGATAACGCATCGTTGTTTGTCCAGGCGAACTTGTTGTTGTTATTACAATCCTATCCAACGAAAACAAACGATTCATCAACATTCATCAGTTGGATCACGAAGAGTTTGGTTATCTTTGCTTAGTGGGCAAGTAAAACACTGAGGAGTTCATGGACTTAATCGCAAGGTAGAGAGGGCAATATTTTTCCACGAATAGTTTTATTGAGAATAAGCAATTTCAGGAGCTATTAATGAAACTTTATTCTTTATTATGTAGCCTCTCACATTCTTGATTTGTGTAGACCTGTTATTGAAAAAACGGAAAAGTCCCTGGCGATGTCCTTCTCTAAACACCAGTTCTACCAAACCGTCAACCAAAAAGCAGTACTTTTTACAGTGTTTTCATTGTTAGAGCTGTTTTTTAGGTGCTGTGTTCGAAAGTGATTCCGACACAGACTGAACAATTCCTTGAACTGTTTAGCCGGACTCTGAACTTTTTTGCGCCTTAAAGATGGGAAAATATCATTGTATCCTATTGTTTTGATGGTACGTGGTTGTTTTGACCGAACACGCCGGTTTGAATGAACTATTTCTGCACTTGATACGCGCGCTTTGCTTCTACATAATTATGATAAGCTATCTCGTAATTTTCTTTTAAAGAAAACCTACTTAAAACGCCGGCCATTGTTTCGCTCGTAAATTTTTGGCGTATCCAAATGTTGCGACATGCAAGGTTCGCATTTGATTAGCTATTTGTGAGTTTTTTTGATTATTGACAAATCAGAATGTCTGGTTTGTTACTTATTTGCACTGAATTAACCCTCTTCTGCATTGAGCTACCTGAAAACTGCATTTATCTTAACCAATCAGTACTGAGTAACTTTTTTCATGTGCGTTGTTGCCAGCAGAGCTCGCAGCACGCGCCGCGTAACCCAATAATTATACGAAATAGTAGTAATAGTAACCCATCAAGCCAAAAAATTGAGACTTACGACCGTACGACCGTTCTACCGACCGTACAAGGTGCTTCTTTTAACATGTGCGGCCAAGTGCATTGCGGACACGTTCTTAGCCATTATGTAATGGAAGGGCAAAGGAGAAGATCTCAATGAAGTGTGCAATATATCGTGGGTGCGCGGTTTGGCATTATACGAGGGCTTTACATGAGCTACTAATTGTGACGCCGCGTAAGCTAATAATTAGTAACACGCGTTTAGAGCGTGAAATCAAACTGGTGAGGTTGTTCTAAGAGTAGCTCTCAGTGTTTTGAAATTTTTAATCAACTCGCAAAGCGACGATACCGGCAGAGCTAAAGCTTTGTCAACCGGAGGAAATTGCTATAATTCAAGCTCGCGGAGGAAGGGTTTTGAGTGAAAATAGGCTGGAAGGAAAGAGACAGAGCCACCAAAGAAAGCAAGAAGTAAAAGGCGTAAAGTAAGTCGAGAAAAAAGCGCAAAAAAGTTAGAAAGGACGCTAAAATAGGCAGAATTCGGCGAGAGGAACACGAAAGAGAACAAGAAAAGGCATTATTAAATAGGCGAATATCTGGCGAAGGAGAAGGAAATACAAAGAGCTCCAGAAAACAGACTGAAAAGGGGTCATCAACAAAGAGAAGCGAACCATAAAGGATCCTAGAAAGAAGAGGAGGTAAGTCGTGTCTTAACAGGGCTTTCGCTTACGCTAATGCGGAGAAAAATTCAAACCTTTTTTTCCCAATCTTCGTTAGATACTAGCTTTAGTTTATAATTCAAATCACGTCTTGGTAAAACAATGACTTTGCATTCATCGCTTTTAAACCCTCGCACGGCTTCATCTCTCGAATAACATTTCAAAGTGTTAGTATTCTTCAAATTATTTCTTGTCCTACCTTTTGGAATGTTTAATGCAGTAGTGGTATTTAGAGAAAAGAAGTTATCTTACGGATTATGTTTTGCCTAGGAAGTTTTAAAATGATAGCGAACGGCGTGAGCAAGTTTCTACAATTCTCTATTCAGCTGGTTATCGCGAGGTTTACGTTATTCATTTAAAAAAATCGCGCTTTGTCGAAGGTTTGTCGTTTTACCCTAAGAACGAAGTAATAGCCTTTCCCAAAATTGAATTATTATGAGATTGAGTCGGCGATGTTTATGTTTATATTAAGTCTGACGCAGCAATTTGATTTTGAAAATATCGTCATGTGAAATATTGAAATGTGAAGAGCAAGTAAATTCACGGGTAAAATGGTGTTAACCCTGAAGTGGGAAGAGTGAATTTCATTGTTTGGTCATGGTGCTTTTCAGCGCTATGTTTTCATGCTTTCTGCTCGATTCGTTCGAACTTGAAGAAGCGGTTTGTCTCACAAAACATGGAGCCACTTTCTCTTGGCTCAACATCTCGAGGCGTACTTAATGCTTGGGTTATGATGAACATACCTGCGATACGATAATTTTTTCCTAATTCTGGAAACTGAACTAATTTCTGAAACTGATAGTCATCACATTTTACAGGAAGCGTTCGAGCTGTGATCGTGTAATTAATCGGGGCCCTGGCAATTTGAGCTCACAAGCACGCTGGTAAACACATAGTTAGCGTACACAATTCTTGTTTACAATTTTCAAATTCTAGAGCGGTTTTTGAGAGTCCGTATCTGTAACCTTCCTGAATATTTTCTGTTGAATTCATTGAGGTACGATTCGGAATTTCATTAGTGATTATTTATTCGTATCGGCACCATAATTTTGGGGAGTTTTGTTGACACGAGTTTACAATTCGTGAACCATTTCTGTAACCTGCTTGGATATATTCTTGCAGATTAATTGAGTCACACTCTCGGAATTTTATAAGGAATTAAGAACAATAAATCAGTATATGTAGCCCAAGTGAAGCTCATTTTAAACTGTCCATACGATTTTAGGAAACTATACTTGAGTGACTCTCGAATTTGATCGTTGATTATTTTATTATTTTGTAGCCCCAAAAGCCCGGCTTACGACTCTGGAGGTATTGAACTTGATATATTTGATACATAAGTCACCCTATAAGGAGGAAGATTAGAATAAAATTGCTTTTACGACCGTGTATTGCACCCGGTTTACATATGTAGATAACTGCTTAAATTTACCTATTGTAGCTGTATTCAGAAGCATAGACATTTAGGTAATATGCATCTGCTCCATTTTTTTTTAAAGAGGTTTCCCTTTATGTAACATACATCAATTCCTTTAATTTCCTTCTTAACCTGCCTGCAAATAATTAAAGTTTGTGTTACAATTGAAGTGTGAGAAGATAAAACAGAAGTGCTGCAGAGTTCTCTTTCCAGATTGAATTCAGGTGAGAACATCAGTGTACTATTTAGTCTCATGGGCTTCTCCTGAATCTTAAATTTTGTTTCCCTGGTTTTTTCACAAAGCCTCTTTTTTATCTGTGTGCCAGCTAATGATTAAAATCTAAGTGAATAGATACGCCATATTTTAGTAGTTTTTTTTACTCCCAAGATTTCGTTAGTAATTCTCCATAGTGTCGCCATACAATTCATGTGATGTTAGTTTGGAACATTTGGAATTGGATCAACCAATAATCCTGTAATTGATATTTTTCTTTATTCTCATTTCTTGTCTGCTTTATATCATATTGATAGTGTGAGGAGAAATTCTGTGTAGGTCTCTAGTGGGACTTTTTAGGGTTAAAATTGGGGATTTCGTTATATTTTAATGATTAAAATATTCTCATGCTTTCAAATGTAGCAAAAAAATTGTGATGAGAATCTGATATTATGAAACACTTACAATGGGAAAACCTGCTGCTGGTAGCTTATGTCTTTAATATTAAAATTTTCATGGGAAATGCTTTTCTTTGAAAGTGGGGATACAGGAGTTTTCAAAGATGATAGAAATAAGCTCTTTGCAAGTAATGAAAAGCAAATTGACAACCATACTTCTTTAATTCGTGAAATGCTTTACTCATACATGTCAGTTGTGTGTATCTACCATTGTATAGGTGTCTCTAAAAAGCCTTTTTGGTGTGGCTGTTGTTCTTTGTTGATCTTTGTAGCCAAAAAAGCTACTAAAGGCGCTGAACTTAAATTTTTATGTCAAGGCACCCTACCAGGTGGAAGAGTAGAAAACCACAAAATGATGTTTATTAGGCACTAGCACTTACCACAATCACATATTCAAGCAAAAATCTACGTATATAAAACTAATCACCTGCTTTCCCTTTACACCCTAACATCAGTATGCATATTCTCCATACTGCTCTCTACACAATTCCTAAGGTGCTGGCTGGGAGGTTTTTTTTTAACAATCAAGAGACTTTTCAGTTGTTTATCATTTCCCTTATTCTCATAACTTAATGTTTGATTCAGTGATGATATTGAAAGGAGAAATTAGATGACTTAGTCACTCTCAGGGGTTAAAGGGTTAATAACTGTACACACTTTCTATGCCACTCCTTGCATTTGTCGGCAACAATACAGTGTAGTTAAGATTGTTAAGAAAACAAACAAACAAATGAGCAGAGCACAGTGAAGTGAGGGTAACTGTAAACTTTACCATATGATAACAAAAAACATAGCAGAATACTTTAGAAGAAGTTATGGTGGTAATTGACCTTTTCTTTGCTAGGATGCATAGGGTCTGATGATTATAATGCATATGTTTTGGCTTTCAAACTTTCAACTTTGTTTTAATTGTAACTCTTTGCCATATCCATTTCTCTGTACCTTAAGCCCTCAAAGTTGAAGGAGGTGAGTCAATAACCTGACTTCCTTTTTTTGGAATTGTGTGATTATATAATTTTGCTGTGTAAGTTACTACATTGTAACATGTAATGTTGTTATTTAGATTGCATTAAATACTCTTGCTTAATCTTTTTTTAATGCATAGTGTTTCTTATCAATACTTATACCCAAACAAAATGTTGATATACAGAACTTGTCACAAGACATGCAAGTTTTAAAGGGTTGGAATCTGGAAAGGAAAGGATCCTCCTCTAACTAGGACTGAAATTAATGGGGGCCCTCCTTTTTTAATTCATGTTTTTACTTTGACCTGCCTCCTTCCCCGTAATGTTTAGGGCTCATAGATGAAGAGAACATTGTTTATATTTTAACCCATGAAAGTTTAATTAATTGGCGTCCACATAATGCATAAAGCAAGAATATAAATGCCTTAGCTTTATAGATTGAAAAATAAAAATAAGAGTTGTGCAGACCATATCTTACTTTTTAGCCTCCTCTGAATATTTATTCAAATAACATACATTAGTCAATATCAGTCTCGTTCACTCTCACTCACTGCTGAGCTTGTGGAAAGATAACCTCAGTATTTCTTTAAATTAACAAAGAGAAGCATGCCCTCTCACCACAGATAGTTCTTTTGTGCTTTATCATTACAAACATGGCCCCGGTCGTTCGAAGGTTGGATAGCGCTATCCACTGGATAAAACTCTATCCCATGGATAATGCTATACGTTTTGCTATCACTTATCTGTTAAATAACAATTTATCTGTTGGATAGCATGATCCGCCCTTTATAAAACTGGGCCCTGGTCTAAATTGTAAATGAAGGTGATTGTTCCGGGTAGGCTAACCTTATAAATTAGTTGTGAAAATTTCCTGAACATGTCATTGTATGAATGTTTGACTCAATTTTACCTCACTAACCTAAACTGAATGAATAGAAACTTGAAATTTATTTGTTATACTTTTGAGGTGTGCATCAAGATTTCGAAGTCACAGCAGGCTTGAACTATGGGTTTACAGAAAATCTGCATGTGCTTGTGTTTTCAACATATAAAACCGGGATTATGACTACTTTGAATGATTTTACTACCTCCTGCTGTACAGTTACAGGCAGGTATTGTAAAAAGGTTTGCTTCGCTTTTTCATTAGTAAGCATTTCTTTTTCAAGGAATCTTGATTATCAGGGCTATGCTGAATTCTAATTTTTCAAACAAACTATATTCTTTTGAATATTCCTAGACTTCCTAGTATCAGTTAATATTAATGTAATTAAAATAATTGTATGAACTCTTGCAGATGTATGGCACATTATTTTTTCCTCTGATCCAACTGACATTTTATTATGTGTAGGGATTGGTATTGGCGATAAAAGTATAGTCATATCAAAGTTTTGAGCACAGCCTATGCATCGAATTTATGTAATAAATTATTGCATCCTTCTTAAAACTAGTTTATCAGAATAAGAATGAGGAAATTACCAGGCGCAATTATGGCTTTTGGGATACTAGTTTCCAGGTTTGAAAAAAGTCACTGCCTATTTAAATCCTCATTTCCTTTCCCCTGAGAGGCTAACCTTATCAAAACGTTGCCAACAGGAGTGATTAGCAAATTAATGATACCGACAAGAGAGCCTATTTCCTCATACACCCTTCTAAATCCTGATAGCTTTTTATGGACATGGCATTTCAAACATGTTGTATATGCCACAAATTTTCCATTTCCTTGACTAGTTATTTTGCAATAGTGTTTACAAGTTGTGGAAAATGGTTGGGTTGAAATATAATACAAAGACTTGCCATTAGATAGTCAAATAACAACTTTTTACATATCAATAACACTTATTGTTGCGTTTCATGTTGCAACAACTCCACCTTCCAGGAAATTCAATTGATTGCAAACACGAGGAAATACCACTAAAAATGTTCAACCTATTTAATATAGCCAATAACGATATCAACTCAACTTTTAAACTAAAGAGAAAACTTGATTGACGTTTGGAATTGATTTCTGTGATGGAAAAATGTAATCCAGGTACTATCTCAAGTTTTCCTAAAGACACCCACATGGAATGGAGTTGCAGCAGGGGTTACCGAAATGTTAGGGAAAACCAGTGGGGCATGCAGTCATGCCTGGCAACTTCAAGCGGAGATATAAGAGAAGCCCATACGATTCTGGTGTATTGTTTTACAGACCCACTGTTCTCACTCCTCAATCGACCAGTAGTGCCTTAACGCGAAGCAGTTTACCGTCGTTTCTTTCGATTTTGGCTCAATTTCCCCAACCGAAATTTGGAGTCACGTTCAATGGAATTTAATTTTCACTGATGCTGACATCATACACTTCATCTGAAGAAGAAAACATTCCCTACCTTCGAAAATTTGCTTTAAACACCAGGAACAACAATGAGGGTCCTAGGCTGTTTGATGATACCGCTGACTAGCATGCGTGTTGATCGCCTTGCAAGTTGTGAGAACATCGTCCCCAAGTTTCAGACCTCGTCAATTGTTCCCCCCTGCCCATCCCCCGGACTGGTCTCTAAACCTCCTTAAAGAAACTCTTCTACAGCCAGTGATGAAGAGTTTTATTTCAGTTTTTATTCAGAATAATAGAGGGCTGGAAAATAAACTAACCAGAGCTCCGCTTTTAGGCTTGGCTAAATCTATATGAAAGTCTTAGAAATGTTACCTGACACTGATTGCTAGGGTTCACTGTACCATACACGTGACAGTGGTTGTTGATCTTACATTGCCTCAAGTCACATTGTGTACCCAGCTTGGTGTAGCAAGAATAGCATTTGCATGTGTAACTGCCATATGTGTTGGTGCATTCATGTTGGCATGGACTGTTGATGCACTCATTATCGTCTGTTAAAAGACAGAAAAATGGAAATGTGAAGATCTTCAATTCATGAGCCATAATTTGCAAGCTACTTATATCTTGTAAAGAAATATTAATGACAGTAATAATGATCAAACACTCAAATTGGTGAACATTACAACTTGCTATCACATTCGATATAAAAATTTTCAAAAATTTTCATTATATAAATTTAAAACTGCGTTATTCAAGATGAGGTCAAGATGGCTGGATATTAGTCGAAGTCTCTTCTTCTTGTGTTCTTCTGGATCGAGGCTAAGTTGAGGTACATTAAAACGCAAAAAAGAGAGCAAGGCTGATAATTAGCCATCTTGACTAAACAATCATGATCAATAATGGAGTTATTTCGCGTGAATAAGAACCAAGAATGATTTGTTTATTTTCGAGCCCCGAGAAAGAAAGCTAACTTTGATGGCGTGTGCTCGTTTTTTCTTTTTTTTTTAATCGACACATAGAAAAAATAAATGGTTTAATAACTTCATTCTTCATTGGTCCCGAATTCAACTACCTTAGCTAGAGGCCAAATGTTTACCAGTCCTGGACCCTCGTATTCCGTAGATTTTTTCCTAAACAGTTGGGATAGCTGAACAGTCTTTTCTTCGAGTTCAATTTGTTAAATTCCAAAATTGAGGCAACATCTCAGTGAGAATATACCTTTTAAAATAAGAGTAATGTTGTTAAACAAAGAGGCATACGATTTTCGCCCTTCCAAAATAAAAGGATCTCTATGCGATGTTTTGAACAAAGTTTTGAAACAGGAAAGATACTATACAGCCGAAGAGGTACACGAAATGGCGATTTAATAAGCTAGATAAACACGCGTTTTAGAAGCAATTGTACACAATAAGGGATCAACGATGCGTCGAGTAGCAGAAAATTTCAACATGTCGCAAATTATGAGTTTGAGTAGTCTAAACTGAACTTCGCAGCCTGAATACGCCACCTTTTTCAGGAAGTAGACTCACCTTTCTCGCAACATGTTCCTCCGTATCCCAATCGGCAACTACATCCACCACTATTCGGGGTGCCGCCGTTTTGGCAGATACCCCTGTTACACGCTTGCGTCACTTTCAAACTATATGGACACTCTCCACCGCATTCCTCGGAAGAAGTTTTCCGTCGCGTGCGAGTTTGTGTGCCACTCGTTCCACAACGATGGGAGCAAGAACTCCAAATACTCCAGCTCCCAACCTGACAGTTTACTGGATTGCATGGAGGTGGAGGTGGAGGTGGAGGTGGACTTCTTCGTCGTCTTCGTCTTCGCCTCCAAAACAAAGAAGAAATCGGATTGATCCCAATGCACAAGAGCAGAAAGCAAATTGTCAAAATGATAATTTTCATATCGCGTTTCTCTCAGTTGTTTGCTTAGTAATTTCTCTTACTAATTTAAACCTTATCAAATCGTCTTGGTTTCTTTATGAGTTTCCTGTTCGCTCCTAAGGGAAGAAAGTTACTTCCGATAGTGCGTGGACTGATGTAATTTTTTACACAAACACTATTATGCTAATTTTCAAAGGGCAAAATTGCTCGAGCGTAGGAAAGTACTATTTTAGGATTAGTGTATGCTGAGACAAAAAGTTTCTCCGAATTTTCGTGTTGTTTTGGCGATCTCTCCGCAATCGAGACGTTTTTTATTTCCAGTGAATTCTTAATAAAGTTATCAAAATGCCCCTGCCTCGCTGTAATTTTACCTTTTATTAGGTCGCTCATCTTAACATGCACAAACTGAAAATAAGGAAATATTCGAGACTCGAAGTAGTGCTTTACAACTTCTAACGCGTGGACTGTTGTTGATGTGGTTTTTTGCTTAAACGCCATCATGCTAATTTTCAATGGTTCTAGAGGGAAAAATTGCTTGAACGTAGGAAAGTACTATATTAGGATTAGTGTATGCTGAGACAAAAAGTTTCTCAGAATTTTTGTGTTGTTTTGGCGATCTCTTTGCAATCGAGACGATTTTTATTTCCAGTGAATTCTTAATAAAGTTATCAAAATGCCCCTGCCTCGTTGTAATTTTACCTTTTATTCGGCCGCTCATCTTAACATGCACAAACTGAAAATAAGGAAATATTCGAGACTCGAAGTAGTGCTTTACAACTTCTGACGCGTGGACTGTTGTTGATGTGGTTTTTTGCTTAAACGCCATTATGCTAATTTTCAATGGTTCTAGAGGGCAAAATTGCTTGAACGTAGGAAAGTACTATTTTAGGATTAGTGTATGCTGAGACAAAAAGTTTCTCAGAATTTTCGTGTTGTTTTGGCGGTCTCTTTGCAATCGGGACGATTTTTATTTCCAGTGAATTCTTAATAAAGTTATCAAAATGCCCCTGCCTCGTTGTAATTTTACCTTTTATTAGGTCGCTCATCTTAACATGCACAAACTGAAAATAAGGAAATATTCGAGACTCGAAGTAGTGCTTTACAACTTCTAACGCGTGGACTGTTGTTGATGTGGTTTATTGCTTAAACGCTATTATGCTAATTTTCAATGGTTCTAGAGGGCAAAATTGCTTGAACGTAGGAAAGTACTATTTTAGGATTAGTGCATGCTGAAACAAAAAGTTTCTCAGGTTTTTTTTTTTTCAAGTGAATTAGGATGTTCATCTAAGCATGCACAAACTGAACATAAGGAAATATTTCAAGCTCGAAGCAGTGCTTTACGACATTTAATATGGAACAACCAAACTTTATTAAAGGAAGAACGAACAACTGTCTCCAAAACTACGGTTTATATCGATTTTTTTGACATGCATATGCATAACTAAATTTTTATTGATTAATGAACAAATATAATTTCCGATCCGACAAAACAGAACAAACCTACAGTGGGAAAAAACTGCTCTGTCGTGCCTAACTTTCTGCCAACTGAGGAAACGAAGATTAGCTTTTCTCATGTAATTAGTTCCCTAGGGCGATTACATTCAATAGTTAACCGCAAGATAGCCAGGATATGAAACATTTTCGGATTTGCATAGTGGTGTTTTCTGAAACTGGCAATAAAGGAATCCTTTGTAGGTGAATAATGAATGTGTGGATAGTGGTGTGAGCCTAAGCTAAGTGCTTGACTTCCTTGTTTCGATAAACGAGAGCGTTAGAAGTTACCGTACATCTAAAAGAATTCATCTGCTGCTTCATTGTGAACAGACAGTGAAAATGGCCTAACTAAAGGAAGTGTATCCATACAAAAAGTTTGAAAGAGAAAAGCGTAAAACGACCACAAAATGAGCCGGAAGTTCCTCTTTGCCTTCTATGTTATTTTACATGCAGAAAGTTTGTTAGGGAAAGCTGTCAATGACAAACCTCTACGACTAAAGCACCTCACCAAATGCACTTACGATTACGAAGTGACAGTTTACACCGCTCGAGGAGACAAGTCCACCCATAGCGAAGGGTACCAAGTTCACGCTTTGGTAAGTGTAGATTCATTTTCATTGAAAGCGAGTGATCTTCCCAAAATATGTTCTCTGATCCCCCTTTCATGTACTACCAGTGTTACAAAATGTTCAAATTATCTTCACTCTCCATGTTGGTCATATGTCACATCTCCGCTCAGTATATTTGATGTGGATAGTTCAAATCCAATAGTTATGCTACGCTGTGTGAAGGAGCAAAGTATTTTTCATCCTCGTAGTTTTATTTAATACCAAAAAATATCTGAAAAGATCTTTTCCTTGCGCTTCCATAGTAACATTGCTAAGTTGTCCTATTATGGAGTAATGTTACCTCATTTCTAGACCACCAAAGCTCTGTGTGGACTTGGGTGTCGTAAAGTATGTATATGTTTACGCAAGTTAATGTCGAGTCAATCGTGTTAAAGTCTTATTTCACTCGGGAATGTAATTATATAGAAAGTGGTCTGTTAAAGAAATGTGTGAAAATTCCCCTTTTTGCGTCAAAGAACGATCGATAGGATTGACTTCCAATAATTTCCTTTGATTTTCCTAACCACCCATAAGAAACGAAGAATTCGAAAGGCTAGAGACAAGTAAAATGCTTTTGCATGCCGATCTGAAAATCTTAAGATGTGCATCCCAGGTTTTACCTTTTGCACGGAAAAGCGGAATTCCAACTCATTGTGTTTAACTTTCCACTATGATATATTTATGGTTCGTAGAGTGTCAGCGCCAAATTAAAAAAAAAAGGTGAATTGACTTTTAGGTCGATGTATTCCAGCACGTACCTAAACACACTCTCAAAGTCGATCGATGAACTGGACTATACCTCCTATTTAACTTGCCGAATTTTTGCAAACTTCGATCTTGATCCAGAGAGCAAGTGGCAGAATAATCTGGAGTTTAGGAATTGCATATCACACTTCATTCATGCTAAGAGATGCCGACCTTCTAAGAGATGCCGACAATTGTCTTAGAACTTTCCTCTTCGAAAGAGCAGAACAAGGGATAAAACACTAACTTAGACTTACAGGAATCAAATATTTGTGGACAAAGTCTCTTTTTGAGGATCTGAAAGTGCCTTTTGAATATATGCAAATTATATTTGAAAAAAATTCTCGGAAAAGAACGCGAGAAGCATACTAGTTTAGTTTGCCGCGGATTTTGGTTACGCACTCTCGCGTGAATTCCAAAGAACTCACTTGAAGCAATTGAAACGAAATCTATTTTAAGCAAATTTCTATCCTTCTCGCAACATGCACTGCGTAATTGGCAAGAAAAATAAACACATGTTTCAATGACGCATTGCAGTTAGAAGCCTGCTTTGTATCTCATACTTTAGAAAAATGAATAATCTTAGAAAAATTTCATTGAGAAAAAGGGTTTTTACGTATGTATAGCGATGTAGATCTTTGAAAGTTATGGTGTATCCGGCTTTGATCACATATGCTTTTGAGTTGTATTTTGTGGTTGGGTCTTACAGCCTCCATTTTTTCTAACCTGATTATTTCTAATACTCATTTAAGACGAATGCTAATATATAGATTTAGCCAAGCCTAAAAGCGGAGCTCTTGTTAGTTAATTTTCTAGCCCCTCATTATAATAAAAAACTGTAATAAAACTCTTGAGCACTGGCTGTAGAAGAGTTTCTTCAAGGGGATTAAAGAGACCAGTCCGGGGGGTGGTTAGGGAAGGGAAGAATTGAGAGGTCTGGAACCTGGGGACGACGTTCTCACAACTTGCGATAAAACGCATGCTAATCAGCGGTATCTTCAAGCAACTGAGGACCTCGTTGTTCCTAATGTTTTGAGCAAATTTTCGAAGATAGAGAATTCTTTCTTCTTCTTCAGAGGAAACGATGTCAGTATCAGTTGAAATTATATTCTGTTGAGCGTGACTGATAATTTTGGTTCGGGGAAATGAGCCAAAATTCAAAGAAGAGACGACGGTAAACTACTTCGAGTTTAGACATACCAGCCGATTAAAGAGTATTCACGTGATAACAGTGAATTAGTAAATCATGACGCCAGAATCGTATGGGCCTCTCTCATATATTCTCTTGAAGTTGCCAGGTATGACTGCTTGTCCCACCATTTTTCCCCTAGCGTTTCAAACCCCTCTGTTTCGCGTAAAAATTAAAAAGTAAAGTCATTTTCAACTCGTGTTTGAAACTGTAATTTCTTAAAACTTTTCCTCTTTTGGCTATTGCTTTATGACTGTCCTCTGGCTGGAAATACACGGCTTCTTTTTGAGATTCTTTCTGTTATTTGATTCGGTAACCTCTGCGGTAACTACTTATAATGTAGGTTTCTTTAAGCCAACTGCCCACGATCTTAGCAACTCTAGCTAATGAAGTACGAAATTTGTCTAACATATTTCTTACGTTGCAAAAGTTTGCTTTAAAAGAAGACAAGCTAGAGCTAAAATGTCATGATTAAAACTTGATGACGAAGAGAGACTTAGGATTTGATCATGAGACATTAGTGGAAAATTTGAGGTAATACCTGGATTTCATTTCTACATCACAGCAATCAATTTGAGTTGATGTTGTTATTGGTTGTATTAAATGGGTTGAAAAATTGTTGATGGTATTTTCTCATGTTTGCAAATAGTTGAATTTACTGGAAGGTAGTGTTATTGCATCATGTTAACATGAAACACAACAATAAATTTTACGGACATGTAAAAAGGTTTCATTTGACTATCTACTGGCAAGTCGTTGTATCATATTTCAACCCAACCATTTTCCACAATTTGTAAACACCATTACAAAATAATTAGTCAGGGAAACATACACCATGTTTGAAATTTCATGTCCATAGTAAGCAAACAGGATTGAGGAGGGTTTATGAGGAAATAAGCTCTCTTGTCTGTATTGTTTATTTGCTAATCGCTCCTGTTGCCAATGTTTTGATGAGGTTGGGCTGTCAAGGTAAAGTAACTGAGGATTTTAGTAGGCAGTGACTTTTTTCAAACCTGGAAACTATCATTGTGATAGCCATACCTGTGCCTATAGTAGCTCATTCTTATTGTGTTAAACTAGTTTTAAGAAGGTTACAATCTTTTATTACAAATATTTGATGCATAGGCTGTGCACAAATATTTAATTTAACTATACTTTTGTAGCCAATTCCAAACCCTACACATGATGAAATGTCAGTAAAATCAGTGGAAAAATGTACCAAAAATTTGCAAGATTTGATGGAACTATTTTAATTCCATGAATATTAACTGATACTAGGAGATACCATATTAGAATATTCAAAAGAATGTAAATTTCTTTGAAAAATTAGAACCCAGCATAGGCCAAATAAACAATCTTGATTCTTAGTAAAAGAAATGAGTACCAATGAAAAAAGGTAAGCAACCTTTTTACCAGTTTTATATGTTGAAACACAAGCCTGCCATGACTTCAAAATTTTGATGTACACTTCAAAAGGAGAAGAAATAAATTTCAAGTTTCTATTTATTCAGTTTAGGTTTGTCCGGTAAAATTGAGTCAAACAAAGAAATTTTCACAACTAATTTATTAGGTTAGCCTACTTAGAACAATCAACTTGATATACAAATAAGACTAAGTATGTACTGATGATGCGCAAAAGAACTATCTTTGGTAAGAAGGCAGGCTTTCCTTTATTCATTTAAAAAAATACCAAGGTTATCATCTTTCCACAAGCTCAGTGGAGAGTGAGAGTGAGACAGACTGATAGTGACTATGTTATTTGAGTAAAATATCCAGAGAAGGATAAAAGGCAAGATATGTTCGGCACAACTTTCTTATTTTAATTTTATAACCTGTTAAGCTACATTTAAGTCATTTATATTCTTGCTTTATGCATTATGTGGATGCCAATTAATTTCACTTCCATGCAGGTCAAAATAAACATATGAATTAAAATAGCAGAGCCCACTTTAGTTTCAGTCCTAATTAAAGGGGGATCTTTGCTTTTCCAATTTCCAACCCTTTAAAACTCACATATCTTGAGACCAATTACTTATATCAATGTTTAGTTTGGGTATGAGTATTGGTAAGAAACACCATGCATTAATGAAAGCTTGAGCAAGAGTATTTAATGCAACTCAAATGATAATATTACATGTTAAGATGTGGCAACTTACACAGCAAAATTATAAATCAATCAATAATAAATAAATAAATAAATCACACAATTCCAAACAAAGAAGTCATATACTTGACTAACCTGCTTCAAGTTTTGAGGGCTCGAGGAACAAAGAAATAGATATGGCAAACAGTTACAATTAATAAAATGTTGAAAGTTTAAAAGCTAAGAGATATACATTACAATCATTAAATCCTATGCATTTTAGCAAAAAAGGGTCAGTTACCACTATAACTTCTCCTAAACATTAGTACTTACAGGAAATCATTAATTTTTGTCACTAGGTGGTACTGTACTTACAATAGTTCTACTGACACAAATGCATTTTTCTAAAGTTATCTCATAGCTTAAGATTGTGCAGGTCATGTGGATGGTTCCTGTTTGGGAACTAACATTTCAACTACCTCAGCAAACTGTAATCATCAGAATTACAGGCCAATGTGTATTTACCAAGTGCTCAAGTTTCAAAAGTAGTGAGCTAATTGTTACAGTCAAGTTCACTCCCTTTTGAGGCCATCTTCCACTTGATCATCCTGTTAAATGTGAAAACATCAAATGTTACTCACATATTCAAATACTTGCTTGAATCAAAGTTATAATTTTTTTTAGTAACCTGCATCCCTTAACCCTTTAATCCCTGATAGTGATTAGCATCTAACTTCCCTTTTCAATAACACCCCTGAATCAAACATTAAGGTTATGAGAATAAAGGCAATGATAATAAACTGAAGAACCTCTTGATTGTCAAAAAAATTCTCCCTGCCAGCAAGTAAAGAAATTTATTGAGAACAGTATGGAAAATATGCATACTGATGTTAGGTTGTAAAGGGTTAATAGTGCTCCAAAAATAGTAAATAGTATTTGAGAGAAAGAGAGAAAGTTCTTAAACCATTCTATGTTAAATGAAATTGTCATAAATGTTAGTTGCAACAGCAATGAAAACATCTGTGAAGCTACAATAACAATTACCTTCCCATGTATACAAACCATAATAAAGCATGATATGGATAAATTTAATCTCACCCAGTTTGAATTTAGAATCCAAAATCTAATAAACTTACTTGTGAATAGGAAAAAGCTCAATGTGTCTTTAATGCTTCTGTCATTCTAAATATCACAAATCAATCATGCCACCACCTCAGTGTAATTTTTTTTAAGATGAGTTATTTTTCTCATGGTCATCTATTTTTAGTATCTATCTTTTACCAGCCCAGGTAAAAATATAAGGTGGGATCCCACCTGGGATTATGGAACATCCTGCATGGGATCACACATGGGATCCTGGCAGTTGAAGTTGGGATCCTGCCTTAAATTCCTAATAGCATCCCACCCGGGAAAGCACATCCCAGATGGGATTAACCATAGAATCCCACCAATCCCTCTTGGGATCCTGCCTCAAACTTAAGATAGTTTCCGACCTGGGAAATCATATCCTAGGTGGAATCGCACCTGGGATCCTGCCAATCCCAGTTTAGACCCTGCATAAAATTTCAGATGGCTTCTCACTTTACGAAAAATCCTTAGAGGGATCCTGTCTAACACTGGAGACCACAGATTTATGAAATGTACCAGATGGGATATCTTATCAATCCCTTTTATAACCTAATCCTTCAAATTAAGAGGATAAAATTTCTCTAGGTGAGCTATAGACCCCATCAATCCACTGAGGGTCCAAAACTTTCCAACTACCTATAGAAAACATTGACACCTCCAATGGGATCCCATTATCTTAGCCAAGCTGTTGATCATAAATTATTCAAACAGTACATGAATACACAGACTATATGAGATAAAGATCTCATAATTTATTTGCAATGAACCAGCATGTGTTTGACGTTGTTTCATTAACAAATTTATTAACTGAACAGTTTTAAAGAATAACAGCACAGCTCAGCATATTCCTTTTTCTTCATTTATTTATGTAGTCCACAGTGTAATATGGCTCAACATTTAAAGGAATTGGCTGTTGTATATCAAAGAATAGAAGAAAGAAAAAACCTCAATAATTCATGTTATCAAAAATTTGACAAAGAAGGTAGTGATTTAAATTCTGCTCCCTCTTTAGTCGAATTTTTCAAAGCAAAGCAAGGTCAGAATGTTCCCAAACGTCTTTACATTGCTTTGAAATGGTATAGATTAGTAAGCTGAAACGAAAAATTAATCAGGGAAGTTTACGAAAAATCCAGCAAACAAGCTTAAAAAAGGCTTTTATTTAGACTTCATACTTCAACGAACTTCACAAATCTTACTTGTTTATCTTCTAAGTAAACGATGGCAGGTTAATTCCCGAAGCGCTTTCTGAGTTTCCCGATCCCTCTCCTACTGCTTTCACGCTTTACAAAACAGGAAAAAATCAAAAGGAGGAAGATACAGCTGTTTTGAAACGCCATTTGACGAGGGTAAATCTGCTTTTTGTCCGACACTTTACATATCAAAACAAAGGAAATTTGTTCCTCTTTTTGATTCTGGCGGTACAGTTTTAATTTGCGCCTGCGTAAAAGAGATATCGCCCGAGACCCTTCGCTCGGTCGTGTTTTGGTCAAAAACGCCTTGTTAATTTCACGCAACCGCTCGGAGAAAAGGTAAAAATGACGAGGGAGAAACTTTACCTTCAAGTTAGAAAATTAGCAAAATAGAAAGCCACAATATTATAGTTTAATATTTCAGAGGTACATTGAGCGCTTTTTCCGTAGAGAATCCGCACGATGGTAAAACATTCGAAAATTACACTCGACATATCAAACTCTTTCCCCAGTGCGACGAACATTTGTTTTTCTCGGTTCCAGGTGTACGCAACCACTAACCCTACGTAATACGCATGCTCTCCGTTACGAATTTTCAAAATGGCGGACAAGCCAAAGAATGAAAAAAACAAAGCGATTTTGCAATGAATACTCAACATAAACCCTCGTTAGAAAGGCGAATCCACGGAGGAAAGATACAAAACTGTATGATACTGAGATCGATATGATATTAAATCGACACCGAAAGCCCGTTTCCAACTTGCTAAGAAGCGCATTTAATTGCCTTCCGCCACGATCACTAGCTTTCTTGACAGCTTTCTGAAGACAGAATACTTTCTTTCTGAAGACTTATAATGTGCGGCTATTGATTATTACACCTCGTATACCTGATTGCTCAAACACTTTGTTTACGATTGTTGAAAGGACCGACTCATGGTTCTCCATCTTCGTCTTTACACTGCTTTGAAATAGTATAGATTAGTAAGCTGAAACGAAAAACTAATCAGGGATGTTTACGAAAAATCCAGCAAACAAGCTTAAAAAAGGCATTTATTTAGACTTCGTACCTCAACGAACTTCACAAATCTCACTTGTTTATCTTGTAAGTAAACGATGGCAGACTAATTCCCGAAGCGCTTTCTGAGTTTCCCGATCCCTCTACTGCTTTCACGCTTACAAAACAGGAAAAAATCAAAAGGAGGAAGATACAGCTGTTTTGAAACGCCATTTGACGAGGGTAAATCTGCTTTTTGTTCGACACTTTACATATCAAAACAAAGAAAATTTGTTCCTCTTTTTGATTCTGGCGGTACATTTTTAATTTGCGCCTGCGTAAAAGAGATATCGCCCGAGACCCTTCGCTAGGTCGCGTTTTGATCAAAAACGCCTTGTTAATTTCACCCAACCGCTCGGAGAAAAGGTAAAAATGACGAGGGAGAAACTTTACCTTCAAGTTAGAAAATTAGCGAAATAGAAAGCCACAATATTATAGTTTAATATTTCAGAGGTACATTGAGTGCTTTTCCGTAGAGAATCCGCACAATGGTAAAACATTCGAAAATTACACTCGATTTGAGTGGGGTGTTGAAGTGGGCGTGGTCACTACATTCATTTTAAGACTATTTGTACCCCATGAGTTTGATATGTTGAGTGGGGTCTTGAAGTGGGCGTGGTCACTACATTCATGTTAAGACTATTTGTACCCCATGAGTTTGATATGTCCCAACTAGGATCCCGGGTAGAATGCATAAGTCCTGCCTAAACTCCCGGGTGGGATGCAGAAATCCCTCCTAAGATCCTGGGTGGGATGCAGGAATCCTGCATTAAATGCGGGATCCCAGGTGGGATCAAATTTTCAACCCAGGTGGGAAAGGTGGGATCCCACCACCTAATTAAGGATTGCCAGGATCCCGCTTATATCCCACCTGACATTTTACCTGGATCTGAGAAGAATCAAGTCCACACTGGTGATTTGACACATTGTAAGCAAACCCTACAACTGAATAAATTTTATTTGATCAAAAGCATGAAGAGCAATAGAAGAAATTGGCTAGCACAATTCAAGTTTCCCTTCTTAAGTATCCTGTGATCGTTTCTTCTACCAAAGGGAAATGTTTATAGTTTCCCTCATTTCATTGTCTTCTGTTCATCTGTTTGCTTTCCTTGCGATCTTAACTATTTGTAGATAGAAATAAGAGAGATGAATTGAAAAATATCAATTAAGGGATCACTAATTGATGCGGTACCAAATTCTCCAAGCAAATATAATAATAATTCTTTGGCAGACAGTGAGGAGAATTACCCGTGAGATCTTGAGAGTTAAAGGGTTGAAACATAAAATTTTATTATTTGTAGGCAGGTTAAGGAGGAAATTAAAGGAATGGATATATGTTACATAAAAAGAAAACCCTTACAATAAAAATAAAGCAGAAGCATATTACCTACGTGTCTTTGCTTCTGAAGAAAGCTATAATAAGTATTTTACAGCAATTAGCTACATAATTATGTAAACGGGGTGCGATGTGCAGTCATAAAAGCAATTATTTTATTCTAAAATTCCTCCTTCAAGGGTGCCTTGTGTATCAAATATATCAAGTTCAGTACCCCCAGAGTCATAAGCCGGGCTATTGGGCTACAAAGTAATAAAATAATCAACGCGATATGGCAGGACAATTTATCGAGAGTCAATTAAATATAATTTCCTACAATCTTATGGAAAGGTTAAAATGTTCTTCACTTGTGCTACATACACGGATTTATCGTTCTTAAGTGCCTCGCTAAGAGCGGTCCTCTTGACTTCCCGTCGGAAAAAAGTTTTGTTTTATTTTTTGCCCATGAAAAGGGTTTAGGACGCATGTTTCAAAAACAGTTAAGTTGTTCTCCAATTCTCTTTTTTTGCGTCTCCACAAGTCAAAAATGAGTTTTGGCCAGACCACAAAAGTGGACAGCGATAGAAAGTGTAAATTTCAAAGATTTTGTCCAGCGCAGCGATTGCAAAAATGTAGCTCACGGAATTCTATCTTGCTACAAGTTACAAGATGTGTTCAGTTAGTTCATAGACAAAGTATGAAAACTTAAGCTGAAATATTTTTCATACCAGCGTGATCAGAGGAGACCCTCTTCCTTCTTCGATATTTAATTTGCATATTGTACGAAAGAAAAATGCAGGCGTAATCAGGGGCTATTTGTACCGGTAACGAGGGAATTAACCATCATGGAGTTATGACGCAGGCGTTAATCGGGCTGAAAAAGCATATCAGTGCATAGTTCATACACCAATGAGGTCTCGGATTGCCTCAAACCCGCGGGTATATCTCTAGCTTCCATCCACCAACTTCTTATAAACAACGCAAATCCATGTGGTTGCTCAATTGCGTACGTGTCAAAGATCATTTGCATGATTCTGAAAATTGACCAAGATCTCCTTTTGACCGTTCAAACTTCGTTCTTTTATCTTCCACGTTGAGGACTCTAGGTTTTCATAGCAACTGAATGGAGATTAGATGCCGAGTTGTCCTAAAACGTTGCGTAATCGTGTCAAAACGTGATCTGTCGCAACGCTTGCGCGCTTGCGCGCTTGCGTGACTTATATAGTAGACAAAGGTGATCGGAAGACGCCTTCTCGATAATTTACGTTGAAATATCAGGTCATGAATTACGCACAGTGTAGAGAAGAGCAAAATTAAAGAACAAAATTTGGCACTCTGGTCATAACAGAGATATCGCGTTGCTTAAAAAGGACACAAAAACAACTTAAAATAAGTGACTGTTTTTATTTACAAAACAACACGCACACACTCTGAAACAATTCTTGCAATTTCTCCCGAGATTTAGTTTACGGAACCCGATGAAATAGCCCTCCTTTCTGCAAATTTGTTTCTATCGTTAATGATGTTACGCTCTAATGGACCACAGCGGTTTTGACCGACAAACTCGACATTTCCCTGCGACCATCAAAATCAATTGGACAAACCCAGCTTGATGTATTGCGTGACGCGATTGTGCAAACTTTTCTCTTTGTCATGCGACCTGTTTCGCGGGTTTTACAAGTTGGAACCAAAATTAGTAAATGTAACGAATTAGAATCGAAAGTTATTAAATTAGACTAAAGAATTTTACATTTTAATGAGAATTTTAACTTTTAAAAATGTTTACTTGAGTCATGGAAAGCAAAGATCGGAGTAGCTTTGGGTATTTCAGCCATCATTTGGAAAAAATAAAACAGTTATTAGTATGTTTTAAACATCAGAACACCTGAGAAGACACTGGAAATATTGTAAAAGTATTTTTTAGTACCCAGAGCAAAAAGAAGAATGTGAGCAGGGATAGGAGACTGAGTTTACAACGCCATTTGTCGTAAAAGCTGTCACCAGCTTGTTATTGAACTCATTAAAATTTACGCGGAAGGCTTTAACTTTCTTTTGTCGCGAAACTCGTGGATTTTAAAACTTTGAAACGACGCACGATGAATCCTGAAACTGGAGTTTGAGTCCATTGGCAAACTATGCCAGCTGGTCTCATGAGCAGATCAAGCGCTGACGAAATTTGACAGTTTGGAAATTTAAAGCGGATGCAAAAATCGAGACAAAATTTCGTCATGACACAACTTGTCCTTTGATTTTGCCAAGAGAATTCTGGTTTTGTCTGCTAGTGTAGATTGCCCAGATAGACACTTACGAATCAATTTTTAGTTAAATAATAACCTTCACTCTCAAGAAATTGCAAATATATTACCCATGTGATCCGACTACAACTTTAATTCCGAAAACTTCGAAAACATCTCCAGTTAGTCTGGCTTTCTTTTACTGCCTCACATTTTCCCTTGTGATGTGGCTGTTAACAAGTGTTTTCAAGTGTTCGGATATTTAGAACATACCAATAACTGTTATATTTATTCCATGTCGTGGTCAAAATGACCAGAACGAAACAAACTTAACTTTTAATCGAGGATTTCGCTGGATAGCTGGTAGTACTTCAAATGACTCGATACTTCGTCCTGTTGTCACAGCGGATTTAGAGCTCCCCGATTCAAATCTGCCAGCAGATATGGATCCCCCTTCGCAGATTTGGACTCCCCCCCTCCTTTGTATCATATTTGGTAACTAATTCTATTTGCAAGCTTTCTGTCGATGTTATTTTCAATCACAACACAACATTCCTCAATAAAGGTAAAAAAAAAAAAACCCAGCCATTTCGTTCCAATTCTACCGCATTTATTATAGCGAGCCGTACAGTATACGCAAGAATTAGATGTGACCAAAGTACTGCATTCGAACTATTGAAATTGTTACAATAAATCTTTGCTTCTTCTGATGCGAATCAACATTGATACGAAACGTCAGAACAATAGTGGAGACTATTGCGTCCAGTCACAAATGGCGTTGTAAACTCAGTCTTCTTTCCCCGCCTCACATTCTTCTTTTTGCTCTGGATACTAAAAAATACTTTTACTATATTTCCAGTGTCTTCCCAGGTGTTCTGATGTTTAGAACATATCAATAACTGTTTTATTTTTTCCAAATGAGGGCTGAAATACCCAACCCAAGCTGGGTTTGTCCAATTGATATTGATGGTCGCAGAGAAGTGTCGAGTTTGTCGCTAAAAACCGTTGTGGTCCATGAGAGCGTAACATCATTAACGATGGAAACAAATTTGCAGAAAGGAGGGCTAGTTCATCGGGTCCGTGAACTAAATCTCGGGAGAAACTGCAAGAATTGTTTCATAGTGTATGCGTGTTGTTTTGTAAATATAAACACTGTGACCTATTTTAAGTAGTTTTTGTGTCCTTTTAAGCGACGCGATATGTCTGTTATGCCAGAGTGTCAAATTTTGTTCTTTAATTTTGCTCTTCTCTACACTGTGCGTAGTTCATGACTTGATATTTCAACGTAAATTATCGAGAAGGCGCCTTCCTATCACCTTTGTCTACTTTGTAAGTCACGCAACCGCGCAATCTTTACGACAGATCACGTTTACGAAACGTTTTAGGACAACTCGGCATCTAATCTCCATTCAGATGCTATGAACACCTAGAGTCCTCAACGTAGAAGATAAACGAGCGAAGTTTGAACTGAAAAAAGGAGATCTCGGTCAATTTTCAGAATCATGCATATCTTTGACAAGAGCGCAATTGAGCAAACACATGGATTTGCGTTGTTTTTAAGAAGTTGGTAGATGGAAACTAGAGATATACCCACGGATTTGAGGCAATCTGTGACCTCATTGCTGCATAAACTATGCACGGATATGCTTTTTCAGCCCGACTAACGCCTGCATTATGAGAATTCTTTCGTACAAAGTAGTGCATTTTTGATATGCAAATTAAGGTCGAAGAGAAGGGTCTCTTCTGATCACGCTTGTATGAAAAATATTTCAACTGAAGTTTCCATATTTGTCTGTGAACTAACTGAATACATCTTGTAACTTGTAGCAAGATAGAATTCCGTGAGCTACATTGTTACAGTCGCTGCACGCTGGACAAAATCTTTGAAATTTACACTCTCTATCGCTGTCCACTTTTGTGGTCTAGCCAAAAATCGTTTTTGACTTGTGACGACGCAAAAAAAGAGAATTGGAGAACAACTAAACGATTTTTGAAACATGTGCCCTAAACCCTTTTCATGGGCAAAAATTAAAAGAAAAACTCTTTTCTGACGGGAAGTCGAGAGGACCGCTCTTAGCGAGAGCGGCACTTAATTACTGATGAAATTCCGAGAGTCACCTTAATGAATTCAATAGAAAATATCCGAGAACGTTACAGAAACGGACTCTCAAAAACGGCTCTAGAATTAAAAAACTGTAAACAGCAATTATTTACGCTAACTATGTGCTCACCAGTGTGCTTGTGAGCTCAAATTGCTAAGACCCCATTTAATTACACGATCACAGCTCAGACGCTTCTAGCAAAATGTGATGACTATCGATTTCAGAGACTGATTCTTTAGTTTCCAGCGTTAGGAAAAAAATATCGTATCGCAACCATGTTCATCATTACCCGAGCAGTAAGTACGCCTCGAGATGTTGAGAGAAGAGAGAGTGGCTCCATGTTTGGTGAGACAATTGAAATTATTTCCTGAAGTTCGTACGAATCGAGTATAGCACTGAAAAGTACCATGACTAAGCAATGAAGTTCACTCATTCAGCGGTAGAACTAATTTTACCCGTGAGTTTGTTCGCACCACACATTTGCGGTCCGTAATTTATTCCCAGATGTTTGATGGGTTCTCACATGACAATATTGTCAAAATCAAATTACCGCGTCAGGATTAATGTAAACATGGACATCGCTGACTCAGTCTCATTTTATTTTAATTTTGGGAAAGGCTACCACTTCGTTCTTAGGCTAAAAAAACACTTCTTTTCAAAGCGCGATTTTTTTAAATGAACAGAGTAAATCCTGCGATAGTTGACCAGAGAGAGAAAGAGGTAGAAACTTGCGCTCGCCGTTCGCTATCATTTGAAAGCTTTCTGGGCCAAACAAAATCCGTAAGATAACTTCTTTTCCATTAACACCACGACTGCATAAAACATTCCAAACGACAGGAAAAGAAATACCTTGAAGAATACGAACACTTTGAAATGTTATTCGAGCGATGAACCGGCGCGAGGGTTTTTAGGCGATGACGGCCAAAGTCATCGGCCAAAAAAGATTTGAATTTTTCTGGGCCTTAACGCTAAAGAAAACCCAGATAGGACACGACCTACCTCCTCGTCTTTCTCAGATCCTTTGTAGTTCGCTTCTCTTTGTTGATGACCTCTTCTCAGTCTGTTTTCAGGACCGTCTTTTTATTTCCTTCTCATGTTCCTACTCGCTACATATTTGCCTTTTTACCCATGTCTTTTCCTATTCTTTTTCACGTTCCTTTCACCGCATTCTGCCTATTTTGGTGTCCTCTCTAACTTTCTTGCCCGTTTTTCTCGACTCGCTTGTATATATATATATATATATATATATATATATGTATATATATATATATATATATATATATATATATATATATATATATATATATATATATATATATATATATATATATATACACACACCTAAATTTTTTAACCTTCCTCTGATATGTAAGTCCATGCTATTCCTTGTTTTTTGATCGGGATCATTTGCGGTCATTGGATCATTTGCGGACCCATACATATTTCTCGTTCTTTACATGTGTATAAGTGAGTCAGTAATAAAAACAAGTTTGGCTTAAAGTCTTCAATCTTCTTTTTCAGCGCACTAATGAAGGAAAGCTTTTTAAAATATAATTTTCACTAACTTTTGTCCTCGTGAAAGTGTATACATCTCCAATATATATATATATATATATATATTGGTTCTTTACCCGGTCAGTATTTTTCCTATATGTATGTATGTAACGCTTTCGTGAGTCGCCGAGTAAATCCCAATTTCGTTGTCATTTTATAAACATATATATATATATATAAACACATCGGTCACTACCTCAAGCCGATAAATAACTTATGAAATAATTTTTTTATCAAAACTTTTTTAAAAAAATTGTTTAAATGAATTTTTAAACAATTTTTTCAAAACGTTAGTTGACAAGCGGCCAGCAAAAAACCTTCTCAATTTAGTTTTTATCGTTCAAAAAGTACCCAGAAAGTTGAAACGTGACTTCATTTGGTTACAGTTAAACTGAACGATGGAAATTCATTTAATATCTGAATTTTTCGAGCAATCTGTTCATAGTGAAAGAGCGAGGAAGTTTTAATTTAAGTTCTACAACAAATATACGCTCCTGGTGAGTCTTTCCAATTCCGTTCAATTTGGACATTTGTACCTTAAATTGCACAACAGAAATTGAAGGAATTTTTTTTGAGAAAACCGCATTACATTCCCTTGTGTCTCGTTGGAGTGTGCCGTTCGAAAGTTTTTGTGAAGGAAAGATCAGAGTTAAACACGCCATTACAGCAAACAAACGAGCAAACTCTCACAATCAAAAATAAAAAATTGAATTTACTCACAATTACTTTCCTCGCCGTTTACTTAATGAACAGAGGTAAATCTTCGTACATGAATGAATGGTCGATGAGAGTGAATAATACTTTCCGTTAGATCATTAACTGATTTTGAAGAAAACATTGTCGTGACAGTCCTTGCCAAACTTGTTCTGTTTGTTTTCAAAATAATGTTTCAAAGTTTGTTTGGAAGCCTTTTAAATCACCTTTATCGTTACGGAAATGAAAATGTTCCGCTGAGGCATCTCTCCTAAATTTGCATCACCTCTATTTTAACTACCATTTACCCACTCAAAAATTGTTCAGTTTAAGGAAGATCTTGCCGTATTTACGGCCCTAAATCATTCGGGTTCTTTCGGAAAAAATTTCGTTAAGTTTAAAAACAATAAATATGTTATTTACCGGCTAAGGCTCAAGATTGTTCATCCTGTGTAAATCCCTGATGACGTCTGTGTGATCAGACGAAATCGGTCGGATAATAAACTTAGTTTACAAGATTTGTTGCTGTGTGCTGCTCACAAGTTTTTTACTTAAAAAAACTTTAAAAAAAAAAAAAAACGATAATTGCTACTCACCCCAATTCCCTATCCTCACCATTCCCACATCCTTGCTATTCCTTATCTTTTACTCGGGATCATTTCCGGTCTCCATTATGCAAGGATCATCTCCGGTCCGGGATCATGCGCGGTCTAATTTGGGGATCCTTTGCGGTCCGGGATCATTTGCGGTCCTAAGATCATTTGCGGATCCGTACAAATATCTGGAAGAAATGATAGCTACATCATGCTCTCCTAGAAAAGTGTACATACGTGTATGATTAGAAGGTGGAGACAAAACTGTGAAAGGAAATTTAATCAGTCAATTCGCAATGTTATGAAATAAAAAGTCAATCTCCATAATAATTATAGCTAGTATTTACTTCGGTGGCCCTTCACATAAAGCAATGTTTTCACTTAGGTCGACTTAACACCAGCGTCATATGACTTCAGTGAGAGACAACAATCGTATCTGATCAAGCTCGACGTGCGGGAACCCCGCTTAAAGCGTGTACGTCAGGGGCGTGTTTTTGCTAACCACCCTGTAAATGAAGACTTTGAAGAGCAGCTCTCAAAGCCGTTTTACTTCCAACAGGAAGATCATGGAACTATTAGTGGCGTCCATTTCGCAAAGAGGTCTGAGTCACCCGAAATTGCAGCCTTCAAGAAAGGTAGGGAACAGTGAGACAAAGTATATTGCCAGATTTTGCAGCGGTATTAGCGTTTCAGATATAATTTTTGACTAGATAACTACTGTCAAAGCCATTCACGAGTAGCAGAGAAAGCGCTAAAGATATCCATAATGATAAGCCATTTTTCAGCCACATTTACATGTAAATGATTGTGGCTGAACGACGATTTAAGAAAGAGATTCGATTTGCTACCTCTTCCTATCTGTCTGAAATGGAATTTAAGGGAAGCAAAAAGCAAAAGAAAACAACTGTTTGCTCAAAGTGCACAGATTTTTCCTCATCTGGAGACTTGTTGGGCAAGGTAGAGTGCTCAAATTATTATTATACGTTCGACGTAAGCATGAAAATGTATGTTTTTATAAGTTAGCTCTTGCTCATGCTATGCAAGAACTCAGTTTAACAAGAGAGGAATGGTAACTCGGCCCAGCTACATGCGATTCTCCTCCTCTTACTCATTGTTTGATCACAGGTATTACAGGCGCATTTCAGCTTAATCTAAAAGAAGTGCATAGATCTAACATCTATGAAGTGCAAGAACACGATGATTCTGGAATCTTTCGAACAAAGTACAGGGTGATTTCGGCCAACGATACACACGCTCATCTTCATCGCTCTTGGACGAACCAAGATTATCAAATATTTGCGGACGGTACCCAGGCCAAGGCAGAACACAGGGTGCAGTCTCAACACAATGCACATATTCATGTGAAAGACGGAAAGATAGAAAGAGTTCACCGTACTAATAAAGCATTTTTTAGACCTTCCAATGGTCATCCTAGAGCAGACAATTTCGAGGGTTTTAAAAGCCAAGAGCAAGACATTGAGATGTCAACAAAGGGATACAGCAAACTGACGTTAAGATCTTGTCTAAGACCTAAACACCATCAGTCCAAACGCTCGGCATCAGAGAAACCGCATGTGAAGATAGCTCGTACTCTCAACGAAGACAGTCTTTTGTTTACTGATACTGAGAAGATAAACTGGTCCAAGATCGGTGGAGAGAGGAAAAAGCCGAGGCCTTTCTATGAAGTGCTGCGCTGTTTCACCGACAAAAGCATGAAGGAGCGTCAAATTGCTGATTGCTCTAATGAGATGCATCGTATGGTTCGTGAGGACAAAGAAACTTTCCGAATAATCAACACACTTGTTCGGAATCGAAGTCACCAAAACATTACGTCGTGGGCAATATATATAGCAACACTTGCCGGAAACGGAAACTATCACGCCCAAAACACTTTAGCGGAAGCGGTTAAAGAAAATTACCCTCGAATCCTTACCAGAGAAGAGTACGAGACACTTCTGACTGGAATATTCTTCTTACCAGAAGGTCCACTTCATTCACAACTTTTCGATGCCTTGCTAAATCTTGCATTACGAGGAGAGAAAGAAGACGAAGTTACATCTACAGCCATGCTTGTCTTAGCCGGACTAGCTGAAAGAGCAAAGAGATCGGGATATAACGAGACCTTATGTGACAGAGTCGCTGATATGATCCACAGCAGATACAAAAACAGATCAACACTGTTTCATACCGACAGCTTGGACCACGAAATACAGCTGAGAGACCACATCTGGGCCTTTGGAAATCTTGGTCATCATTCCGGACTTCCCGTCATCTTGAAACACATTGACCACAATAACTCTGGTATTCGATCAGCGGTGATCTCAGCCATGCGCAAGCTTCCCACGAGAGATACGAATCAACACTTGATGCAAGCGCTATACGTAGATGAACATCCTGAAGTAAAAGCTGCTGTGGTTGATGTTTTGGTTGAGCGTCATCAAAATTTAAGCGACTCAGTGGTACAGGGGCTGGAACGTGCGTTATGGCTAGCCGCAGAAAGTGAGACTCTAGATTCTTCGATTATTCAACTTATTGAAAACCATGGGGATCATCCCAAAGCAGTTTATTTAAGGAAGAGACGAAGAGCAATTCATCGCCAAAAACGTGCTCTCTTCCCATTCCTTCATCCAAGAGAGTTTGCTCTTGGCCCTTCAAAGCGATGGTTGAAGACCTACGGTGGTAAGTGGATGGGAGCCGAATCGGTCATACAGTTCATTAATCAAGTAAAGCTAAGAATTGGCATTTTTGGTGGAAAATTTGAGGTGAATCTTGACAACCAAGCTTATATTCAAGCTCACATTCTCAAGTTTGGATTTGATGTCGTGCGAGGTAAAGCTACTTTCAAGGCTTCTGCCAGTTTCAAGAATGATTTCCCGAAAGACCTCATCCACGCCATTGCTGATACTGGCGACAGCCTCCTTAGGCAGTTTGATAGTATTACGAGCGTGATTGCTGAACAGATAAACCAGTTTATCAGCAAGCTTGCTGGTTTTTTACCGTTGCAAATAGACAAATTTATAGAGTTCGTCAGCAAGCTTGTTCAATTTGTGCAGAACCTGGTGCAGCCTTTACGACCGATTAATCTGATCGGAAAAATCATAAAGTTTACCAAAGATGTTCTAAGCCGCCTTAAGGACTGGAAGTGGCTAAGAGACATGATAAAGAAAATACAGCAAAGTCTCGGAAGGCTGACTGCTATAGACTACGTTTTTCAAAAAGTTATTTCATCTCTGGACAACATCCTCAGCATTGTGGGTAAAATAACCAACTATTTGCCTCATAAACTGCCGGAAAATTTCAATATCAAGACACTCCTGCACATTCTTCGCTCGGTCTCTGTCGACCTGCATTTTGACAAAATCAAAGAGTATTTCAATTCCTTAGGGATGTCTGTTCCTGGCGGTTTCAATTTCCAGCTTCCGTTCAAGTTCTCCATCCGCCTTTCGCTTTCTCTGGAAACACTTCAGCAAACTTCCTTAAATCTTTTACAGTTTGCCAATCGTTTCCTGGATATGTCTTCTTTGCTTGATTTTCTCCAAAGCATTAGATTCCCAAGGTTACAGTTACCAGACATGAACCAACGATTCCCTTCTTTTAATTTGAGTGGTTTTAACTTTGGTCTGCGTTTTGATTGGCGAATCAGCCTTAAGTTCAAGCTCAATCTGAAATCAATGGGCTTCCAGAACTTTATCACTATTTTAGATAAACTTGGAGCCTTTCTAGTACAGTTCAAACTCTCAGGTTTTGATCTCGAAAAGTTTTTTGAAGAAATATTGCCTGGCAAGAACTTCGATTTTGGAACACTTTTTAAAGAAATTTTGGGCCGAAACTCCAACTCGAATTCTTCAAATTCGGCTGCAGCTCTGCAAGAATTCCTAGAGAGTCTTTTTGAACTACTTGACGTTCAATATGAAAATGTGTTAGCAATAGCTGACATCACAGATTTCTTTCAGGAGCTTGGGCCGGCAGTGGAGCAGTTCACGAAGAAAAACGTACAGCGTATATGTGGAGTGTATAAATTGGCTTTGAAAAAGGAATTTAGAGAGTTTGGAGTAAACGTTGAGCAGGAAGGAATTCAGGTGCTTCGGCTCGTGGAAAATACAACCCAGAGTGCACTAACGGAACTATTAAACTTTACTGTCCTTGTAGATTCTCTAATAGACGAAATTCAGCGCAACTTTACCACAGCTGCAAAAGGATTCGTTTTAGACTCGCTGCAAGAGCTAACCGGCAAACTGAAAGATATTCGGAATCTTGCAGATGATATAGTGAACTTTGTCAACGGGACAGCCTCACAAGTCAATGGTGCATGCACCAAAGCTACAAATTTCTCCGCTGACATAATAGATAAAGTACAAGAAAACGCTCGTGAAGCACTTATCGAGTTAGGATCGTTCATTGGACCTGTCGTCATTAACATAAAAGCAGTTGGAGGACAATTAAAATCCGCCGTGTCTAATATCGAGACTTGGCATGCAGAGTATATGGCAGCTCGTGTCGGGAAGATTTCTCGCGTTGCTCAGATAATATCAGATTTCCTTTCAATTCTTAATACAAAGAAAGGGTTTCTCAAATCCGTCCGTGAAATAGCTATGAAAATCAACGACGCCCTCGCGCATCTCCGAAATCTTCCAGAGTACGCGACTAAAGCAAGGAAAACAGTAGATGATATACTTAACTTTGCAGACAGAGCTCAAGACTACGAAAAAGAGATCAAGAAGCTTGATATCAGAAAGCAGTTTGGACTTGACTTTGATCAGCGAATAAGAGATGTCTGCAACAAGTTTAAGACCATCGCTGCTGAGACGCTCGATAAGTTTGGAAACTATGACATTGTCAAAGAAGTTGATACGTTTTTCAACAAAGAGGCCGATAAGCTCATCAGCAAAGCCGTGTCAAAGTTTCTTATAATTAAAGAACCGATTGACGAGATGCAAGACGAATTACGAAATATCAAAGCCATGGTGCGTGAAGTGATGGGTGTCTTAATTGAGCTTAAGCCTTTCACCAACAATTTTTCGCCTATTCTAGATACGGCAGGTAAACTACCCGACTGCAAGCAGATCAAGAAAATACTCGAAGACAGCACCAAACCATGCATCTGCAAAGCTTTTGGGGTTGGAAGATACGTCATCGATCAGTACAAGGACTTCAAGAAGGAAGTGAGAGTTCTATATGACATGGTTCCGGCTACATGGAAGAACTTCAAAATACAGAAGTGTGTCAAGGGTGGAGGTTGCATTTCCGAAGCTTTTATCGATCAAGCTAGAACCATCAAAGATAAGGTTGATGTGCTTAAAGATAAGTTTAAAGAAGCGAGTGGATACACTGACCTGCTTGAAACTTGCAAACAAGGGGTTGATAACATCACAGCTGTTATCGACACGGTGAAACTATTAGCGGAGCAAGTCCGGAATTTCTCCCTTAAAGATGATGTTCAAAGAGTAAAGGCGGTTTTCCAAAAGATCACTGGCCGACAGGCTGAGAACAAAGAGGGGAGTGGCATTCAAAGGCACTCCGTAGGAGAAGTAAAAGGACGAATCGAAAGAATTGTGGACTATATACAGAAGGCAAGGGAAACTAAGGAGAAAATGCAAGACTTTCTCGAAAACACATTCAAAGCAATGAGAAATGTTTACGATGATGCCGTTCTAGAACATATCGAAGCCGTTGAAGATGTGCGTTCCAAACTTAAACTATCATACGAACTGTGGAAAAAGACAAAGAATATCAACCACGTCCTGGGAGGACTAGGTACTGTGACCCAAGGTGCGTTACAATATGCTGATAGCTTAAAAGGTGTAACAAGTTCAGTCTCGAGCCCAATCATCGACCTCTTATCTGAAACAGGAGAACTCAGTGATGTCGTGAAGCCCTTTCTTGACAAATATGCCACCAAATTCACTGATACTGTAACAAAAGTCAACAACTTTATGGACAAGGTCACAGACTTTCTTAACAAGCTACAGCTGCGACAGAGAGGACTAGACCCCAGGGCCTACAAACCGTGGGAACAAATACCCTATTGTTCGGAGGAAGTTTGTGTACGATCAATCCAACGATCGTCATCACTCTATCTAAAGACTATTTTCACTTGGAAGTTCCCACATCTAGATGACCTTTCCTCCATGGACAAGAGTGGGCGTTGGCTGATCCCAGGTTTGTTTGATGACTATAAAGTAGAGGGAATTTCAAGGCTCTCCCAAAGCGAGGTTATTTTGGGTATGCATGGAGTCTCTAGCAACAAAGGGAAAGCATCACTTTTAGTGGTAACCAACGTTGGTTATGGAGTTAAAAAGATAATTCAACTTGGTAGTCAAGGAAGCCCTCTAGTTGTAAAAATAGGAGGAGTGGCTGTTGCTCGAGATTACATCTGGATCAGTGATAGCGCGTCAAACAAAATTTATTCCCTAAAGAAATCTAGTGTAACAAGTTCGTTCTGGCCGCCAAAGCCATCTTGGGTTGATTTGTCCAGATCTGCATCAGTTGAAGGTACCGCAACCTCTCTTTCTTACGATGAACTATTCAATGTCCTGTGGGTAACAGACGGCAAAGGTGGAAAGGCCTACGGCTATAAGCTATCTGCTAATGGGGATCTGTCTCCTTTTGGCTTAACACCTGACAGAGTAATCATCATCGGAGCAAACGCACAAGGCATGGCTATCGTCAGACAGTTCAGTACCGAGTATGTTTGCATCTCGAAATGTGCCATGATTTCTGGTTTCCAATGTAAGCTCGAGTTCCATGACATCAGTAATGGTGATGAGACTGGAGAGGCCACGCTTTCTAGAGTCGTCAGAACCCCTTCGGGCTTAGAGTCGGTCTCCAGAGTTGACAGTGAAGTAATCGCAGTGGCGTTCTCAAGTGGTACTTATGCTGAGAGAGATAATGTAGAGCTTATAGGTGGTGACTTTGAAGAAAGATATTTCTATCTCAGACTTCCGATTTTGAAAATGACTTTTGGAATCCAAGAAAACTGCCTTTTCTTTACGGTTATGAAGGACTACATTCTGCGACCGCGGAGGTTGTTTCCATTCGGAGACATGATGTGCGGAACTACACGAAAGCGAAGCACCTCCCAAGAGCTATTGGAGTCTGATGTTTATTCGGAGCAACTGGAAGAAGATCATAAGAGCAATAGGAGAATGCGCAGGCAAACCTCAGATCTCGGCTCGTGTATGACCTTGTTCCGTGGAAATGTTCTTAGGGGATATCAGCAATTCCTCCCTGAATATTCACAAATCATAGTTGTGTTTGGCATACCAGTAAAACTGTTTGCTGCTGCTGGTGGCTATTATAGTGTAGACTTTCAAGGACAAGTTTGTTTAAAGGACAAGGTTTTTCGTCTTGGTCTCATGCCCGGAGCTTGGATCTCTGTCTACGCTGGTGCCGCTTTATCACTCTTTGTTGTAGAAGCTGGAATTACAATTGAGGCAAGACTTTTGGAGACCCACTTTATACCAGACCTGTTTATCAGGATTGATAAGTGGCCATTGAAAGCGTGCATCGAGCTAAAGATGCGAATGACACCGCTTCGCATTAGAGTTTGGCTTTGGTATAGATTCCGTCTCTGCTTCCGGTTAAGGTGCTGGTTATTTGGCTGTAGTATAAACAACGGATGGTGTGGAAAAAATACCATCTGGGAGTGGTGGTGGTCAGCGAGAATGATTGACCAGACGCTCTTTACAAATTGTCACCAAGATGTTGACACGACGCCACCTATCGCTGGGGAATGTACGGCAAGGCAAGCTGCTGACAAAATATATTTCGTACAGTGGCATGGATTCTCCGAAGATACTAAAATCAGCAACTACCACGTTAGGATAGGATCCATTCAGGGTTCTGGCGATGACTACTCTGCATGGGTGGGAACATCTTTAAGCATAGTTGTCAATGATCTTCCAATAATGCACGGACGAGATGTGTATGTCAGCGTATTGGCGACAAATGACGTGGGGCGTGATAGTAAGTTGGTTAACTGCCCTAAATTTACGGCGAGACGTAAGAGTCCTCAGATTCGGTATGTCTACGATGGTGTCAATGAACGCCAAGATGTGGATTATCAGTCAGATACATACACTTTAGGTATGAATTTTGCCTTTAGGAGCAATATAAAGAATATCGCATACATAAAATGGGGAGTATCGTCCTCTACCAACTGCACGTTTGACGAAGCTGAAGCAGATATCGTTCCCTTCACCACTCTCGGTGACTCAACTATTATCCAGACTTCTGGCCTGAATTTGAATCACGGAAAAAAATATTTCACACGCCTTTATGCGATGGATTTGTTAGGATTAAAAGCAGTCATGTGCAGCGATGGTATCGTGATTGACACAACTCCACCTTTTCCTGGACATTTTCAAGATGGTGCTGGTGAGAGCGATGTGATGTTTATCCCATCACTGAAGCGCATCCGTGGTAAGTTCGACCCTTTCAAAGATCCCGAGAGCCCTATGGTGAGATATGAGTGGAGAATTTTGAGAAATAACACCAATAAAGATATTACGTCATTTGTGGATATTGGACTCACTCAACAGACACCCTTCATGGATGGCCTTTCTCTTGAGGCTGGTTTAGCTTACAAACTAGTACTCCGTGGAACAAACGCAGCAGGACTTCAAACGGTTATTGAGACAAATGGGTTTGTGCCAGATAACACACCGCCGCATTGCGAAGAGACTGCTATTGACGTAACGAACGATGAAGATTTGTTTGATGTCGACTTTGTTAGAAAATTAAGCAGTATTCAAGCAAAATGGAAATGTGTTGATCGGGAAAGTGGCATTCGCGCACAACTGGTGGGAGTTGGTACTTATCCAGGAGGAGATGACGTGAGAGCATTTGAAGATGTCAACTTTGTTACCCACAAAGTCATCCAAGGTGGAATGCTTTTTGCGAGTGTCTCTGATGTCAACATTCTTCCGCGAGTTAGATATCACGTCACCATAAAGATCATAAATGGAGCTAACCTTAAGAAAACTATTTGGTCTGATGGCATTATTATTGACAATACACCGTCCTCAGTCGCCTCACAATACATTAAAGACGGCGTAGAGGGGAAGGATAAGAACTACACCAGCGAAAGATACACCTTCAGTGCGCACTGGGAACAAGCATTTGCAGATTCAGAGAGTGGCCTGATTGAGTACCGCGTTGCTTTAGGGACTAACCCTGGATTCAATGACATTCAGAATTTTAAGACAATTGGCTACCAAACCGGAGTGACCATTTCAGGTCTTTTCCTAAGCAGTGGTCAGCGTTATTTTGTTACAGTTGTTGCCTGCAACGGGGTTGGTATGTGTATTAATGGCAGTAGTAACGGAGCCATTGTAGACTTTGTTCCTCCGCACACTGGAAAAGTAATCACTGGATCAACTGGTCCTCCACTTTTGTACCAGTGGATGACTAAATCAGTATGGGCAAGATGGAATTGGTGTTTAGTGGATGCGAACAGAGTATCTGGACCACTCGATCCTAATCAGTGTAGAAACGACAGCTTCTATGATGTACATAGTGGCGTTGCGGGTTTCGCTATTTCAGTGGCCTCTTTGAAGAATGATGACCTATTAGCAGCGCTTAAGACGGCTGGACGGGTTAGGGTTACTGGGCGTAACATTGACCTCGAAGATGGAGTTTACTCAGTTGTAATCGAGGCAAAAGATAAAGCAGGTGTTGTTGCTCGTGGTTTGTCAAATACATTCATCGTTGATAGTACTCCCCCACTAGTTACGTATGTTCAACACGGACATTTCGGCGAAACACTGTCAGCTATCAGGAAGTTACGCATTACTTTCAGAGCTTACTTTGAAATTGAGGATGATTTATCAAAAGTTGCGAAGTACAAAGTGGGAGTAGGAAGTTATCCTGGGACTGATGACGTCATGAAATTTCAGTCAATTCTATTAAGTACACCAGCTTCTTCACTGCAAGTCAACTGGACAGCGTTAAACTCGTTTTCCGTGGAAAACAACCGACGTTATTTCATTACCGTTTGGGCCATCAACAATGCTGGACTGTTTAGCATCAAATCCTCGTCCCCTCTACTCTCTGACCAAGAACCCCCAAAGGGTGGAATCGTCCTAGACGGATGGGGCTCAGCTGATGTCCAGTATCAAAGCTACTTCACCCTTTTCCGTGCCCATTGGTATGGCTTTACTGACTTCTCTGGTGTTGAAACAGTACTATTAGGTTTATCGTGCAAGGCAGACTCAATCAGCTGCGATGTGAGAAAGGAAGAAATTGTTCCATCCAATACCAATTACTATCTGTTATTCGGGCTGAATTTGACTTCTGGTCACAAATACCACGCATGTCTCAAGATGATAGACAGGGCTGGGAATCAAGCGCTTTTCCATTCTAATGGTGTGATTGTGGATAGAACTCCTCCCCTTCCAGGCTTTGTGACCGATGGAAGACCTGGAGCGGAAATTGACCAACAAATCGAGAGTTCAGTTCTTCGAGCTTCATGGTTTAACTTTACTGAACAAGAAACAAGAATATTAACTTATCAGCTGGCATTCGGCACGTCTCCTGAAGCCCAAGATGTGCAACAATTTACAGATGTAGGGCTCGTAAACACAGCTTCAAGCTCTAGATTACAAATTTCAGAGTTGGCAAGTGGCAGTCGTTATTATGCGACAGTGATTGCACTCAATCTGCTCGGTATGCCCAGTACGATGGTTTCTTCCAGAGGTGTTTTGGTCGATTTCACACCTCCCGTTTTCTCAAAGCCTGTTCTCGACGGTGACAATCCAAATCAAGACTTAGGTTTCACCACTGGAGGTTCCTTGGCTGCCACATGGACCTGCGATGATCCAGAAACATCGTTAGCGTCCATAGAGATTGCTTTTGGCTTACAGCCTGGAGAGGTCGATTTTATGAACTTCACAAGCTTGCCGATTTCCAAAACATCGTATACAGTAGCGGGCAATCTTCAACTGGGATATCGTTACTTTGCAACAGTAAAATGCACAAACAATGTGGGTCTGACAGCCATTGCTGTCTCAAACGGCGTTGTGTTTGATGACACTCCTCCAGATTTAATTTATTTCCAAGATGGGGAATACCAATACTCTACAAGAAACTTGACAGTAAAATTCAAATTTGCTGACGCGGAGAGTGGTGTAAAAGAATATGCAGTGAAAGTATTCAGCTCAGTCGACGACGGTTACGGGTCCTTTAGTTTCAACGGCAATGTTTCTATAGCGGCTTTGATTTTGGCCAAAGATCTTGATAGTGAGAGAAGGTATTTTGTCAATGTGACAGCAGTGAACGGTGTTGGGTTGGAAACTACCGTGAAATCAGACGGATTTACCGTTGATATTTCACCTCCAGTATGCCTACATGTATGGGATGGTCAGAGAGATCTTCAGCAGGACTTAAAATACGCTCCAAGCTCAAGCAAACTAAGTATTTCGTGGGTGTGCTATGATAATGAATCTCCCATACTTCGATATCGTTTCGCAGTTAAAAGCTTGCGCACAAGCGAATACGTTATTCCTTTTTATGCTTTGAAGACACCCGTAAACTCCACAGGGTCTGTAATAATAACGGGAGGAGGTCAAATTTCAACAGGATTTCAAGAAGGGGAAACGTACGCCGGTGGTATTGAGGTTCTTAACGCTGTCGGCCTGTCCTCAGTACATTGGACGGATGGTGTTATCACTGATAGCTCCCCACCTGAAGTGAACGACTTGAAATTAACATATGACCCAAATAATGATTCTGTGAGCGCTTCATGGGCTGCGAAGGATGACCAAAGTGGACTCGAGTTTGTCGCATGGGGATTGGGAACTAATCCAGAGAATAACGACATAAGAAACTTTTCAAAAGTGCCAATATCCATGTCGACCGTTTTGATTTCCGATATCCCTTCGTTACTCGGTTCGACGTACTTCTTGCGGCTCCTTGCTGTAAATAAAGCCGGCTTATCTAGTGAGACAGCATCAAATGGCGTCGTAATCGACCGAACCGCGCCGAACCCTGGCGTTGTGGTTGCTCAGTATGTTTTTCCGAGCAAATATGATCGGAACAAGAATGAAGTACTAGGATCATTGATGGTGGTAAGTTGGACAGGCTTTACAGATCCTGAAAGTGGCATTAGACAGACCAGCTGGGCCGTTGGTGAAGATCTTCTCTCGCTTAAATTAAGTAGCGGTAATTTTTATACCGAGATAATCGCAGATGACTCAGTAGGCGGAGTGGTAATCAATAATCAAACTCTAGTCGAAAACAAGACTTACTTCGTCTGCATTCGAGTCAGAAATGGCGCTGGACTTCAAAGAACTGATTGCTCGTCTGGATTGTTTGTCATAATTGGAAAGTTTTCTGCTGGGGTTGTGAGCGATGGCCCAGTAATTTCAGCGAAAGATATTGACTTCCAACTAGATGACAAAGCAATTTGGGCGCACTGGAGTGGCTTCAAGGATCCAGCATTTGGTATCTTCAGGTATGATTGGTGCATTAGGGATCAACCGCCTAACCCCTCTGGTCCTGATTTTTGTAAGTGGCCATTCTTGGAGTCATATCATCTGAAAACGTCCACTAACAACTTCCACAACCTGACACTCGAACACGGCAAGAAATACTATGTCACAGTGAGAGCTGAGAATAGCAGAGGAGAGCAAGTCAGTGCTTCATCGGATGGTGTTGTCGTTGATCGAACGCCTCCAGTAGGAAAGTCACTCCAAATATCCCCCACAACTGGAAAAGGAACTATGTATGTGAACACACCTTCTGCCCCTGTAGTCACGTGGTCCATAGACGATCTTGAAAGCGGTATAAACCATTTTCTTGTCGGAGTAGGTAGTTTCCATTTCCAAGACAACTTGCTAGGGTTTCAACGTGTAGACAGCCTTAGTCGCTCCATCGACTTGGACCAACTTAATTTTACTCTACACCAGGGACTTGTGTTTCACGTAACAGTTATTGGAGTCAACATGCTTGGCCTGAAAACCACTCTGACATCACAGCAAGTTGTAGTGGACTGGACGCCACCACAACCTGGTCTTGTAATTGATGGTAATCTAACCTCCACGGGTAGCCAAGAATTCTTCGACATAGATTATCAGCGCGAAAATGGGGTACTGTCTGCTCACTGGAAGGGATTTCAAGATACTGAAAGCAGTGTTGCTGAATACAATTGGTGTGTTGGAACGACGCAAGGTATGCAACTGACTATTTATATTTTTAAAACTACTTTGTATTCAAAGGGATCTCGCCAAAATAGGGCGATATTGGGATCCGTGAAGTTTAATTTAACATTCCTGCATTATCGTAGATATGAAAGAAACCACGTTTCTTTCTGTTCCGGCGTTCGGTATGAATCGTTGTTGGCGCACAAGGGTGATCACTTGAATTATGTTTCATCAACTCATATTCTGAAATGTCTTTCCTTCCGTGGAATGCCTGTGGCAGGCTCAGGCAAAGGTTTGCCTGGTGTTCCTTTTTTATCATCAACGTATGTTTCGCGAACTATTTATCCGTTCGCTATGAACTATATGAAATAAGAACACCTCTTTTCTGAGCACTTTCACCATCAGTGTGACTTATGCAATATTTGTAATTTTCATATCACGCAGGAGCCTGTGACGTGCATAACATGACATCTTCAAATCCTCTAACAAGTGTGCATCCTTCCATCATCCTAAAGGAAGGCCAACGGTACTTTTTTACAGTGGAAGCTATCAATGGTGTTGGCTTAAAAGAAACAGCTTACTCTGATGGTGTAACACTGGATGCCACTCCACCCAATGTAGGGAAAGTTTTAGTTTTCTCCTCGTCTTTCCATCGGTGTGATGATTATGATAATTCTTCTTGCGATATTAAGCAACGTAGCAATCGTTTGTTGTCGTTTTCCTGGGAAGCACCTTCCGATGAGGAAAGTGGAATTTGTTTTGTTGAGTGGTGCGCTAGCTCGAGAGCGAAATCATGTGATATAGTCTCGTGGTCAGCTGTAGATACAAGTATAACGTCGATCGAGCACCCTCTTCCTCAGCCACTCGCATCGGGAACTGTAGTATTTATTAGATTAAAAGTTACAAATTGCGTAGGAGTAGTAGCCACCGCCATCTCTAAACCGCTGCTTATTGATAATACCGAGCCAACAGTCGGTGCCATTATAGTTGGAGACACAATGAAAACTAAGTACCTGCGGAAAGACGACCCCATAATAGCAGAATGGAGTGGATTTGTTGATCTCGATAGTGGATTAAGTCACTTTGAGTGGGCTGTATGTCACGCGGGTACTACAAAAGACTGCATCATTCCATTTGTTGATGTTGGACTCAAAACTAGCATACATAATTCTGCTCTAGACATCAAACCTGGAGTTTCCTATGTTGTTATGCTTCGAGCCCACAACAACGTGGGGTTGTTCAGTGAGGCTGTGTCTAACCAGTTCATACTCGACGTCGCGGCACCGATTGCAGGCAACATATACGATGGCTCGAGCGAGAGAAATGACGCAGCGCTGCAGATATCAGAAAGTGATGTCTCCGCTAATTGGTCACCGTTTATCGATCCTAACAGCAGAATAACCGAGTACGAGATGTGTGTGGGAACAGCACAAGAGAAGTGCGACGTGAGTGCTTTTATCAGTGTGGGAACCGCCCTCAAAGGTATAATCACAGGTTTAAGTTTGAATCACACCGGAAAGTATTTTGTCACCGTAAGAGCAACAAATGAAGCTGGTTACAGCAACATTGCGGCCTCTAATGGAGTTAAAGTCGATAGTACTCCCCCTGTTGGGGGCAAAGTAAGAGATGGACAAACACTTGAAGACATCGATTTCCAAGAGAGCGGTGCGTTTATTTATGCTAACTGGGATGTTTTTCAGGATGTAGAGTCTGAGATAAGCAGATACACATGGTGTGCTGGAACAAGAAAGGGAAGCTGTGATATCATCCCTGTAACGGATGTCGGTGACAGCACAAGCGCTGGCCAGCAGATTTATCCATCCTTTGGGACCGAAATGGGCGTGTTCGTAACAGTAAGCGCTTACAACGGCGCAGGAGCAGTTACAAGAGTGACTTCGGACGGCTTTGAAGTAGACGGCACTCCACCTGTCATCGCAAAGGTAACTTACTATTCAAAGTCAGATTGATTCTTTTTTTTTACATGCAGGTCTTTCATAGAAGGATCGGAAAAAAAATATCTTTTTCTCAAAGTAATGTATCTATTTTCGTAATGTGTAAGTCAATGTATTAGGTTCGAGCTTCTCCAAATTCGATTTGTTTGTTGAGACTTCTTTCTCTTTCATCGGATCAAAAATTTTCGAAGAAAACCAGAAAAATTGTTTCTTTGAGTTAAAGTCTTTCATGTAACTGAATTCCTTATTTTGGTTTTGCATACTGAAAGTATTTAGAAAAAGTCCACTCCTTTCGTAAATTTTAACATTTTCATTCAAGTATCTTAATGCACCTTTACAGGTGGTTGACTTACACCGGGGATCATATTTTGTCGACAAAGACTATATCAGCGCCAGAGACGCTTATTGCGTCAGTTGGGAAACAGAGGATGCCGAAAGTAGTGTTTTAAAGAGCGAGGTCTCCATTTGTTCCGCTATCGACGTGAACAACTGTTTAGTAAAAAATATGGATATTGGAAACCGCACATACATATGCATTGCCGATTTAGAATTTCATGAAGGAGTCAAGTATGTAACAACGATTCGTTCTACGAACACTGTTGGTAGAGCGAGCGAGTTGTCATCGGATGGCTTCGTGGTAGACTCGACTCCCCCAATAGTGGGTGAAATCATGCACGTTGAAAATCCTCCGGTAGGCGAATCCCCTGAGGTGTTCACTGACTCGGAAATATCTGTAAAGTGGAGTGGATTCTCAGACATGGAAAGTGAGATTGAGAAATACTTTGTTTGTGTTGGTACCCAACCTGGGGAATGCAATATAATGAGCTTTGCTGACCTTGGGAACGCCACTAGTTGCATTTTGCAAAACCAGAGACTCGTTCATGGCGAAACGTATTTTGTCTCTATAAAGGCTGAGAACAAAGCTGGCCTTGTGAGCGTCAACGCGTCCTCCAGTGGAGTTACTGTTGACAATACAGGTAACCTATATGAATTGTGGTTTTTTTCCGGATATAAGGACGAAATTTATGGATCTAAAGCAATTTTTAGAAGTAAAATAAACTTTAAGAGATAGGTCTTTCTTTGTTGCCTTTTTTATGCATGTATTTCTTTTCGACGATTTGTAGGGCTTTGACACACTGGGTCAACTTCATTTACAAATAACGATATCAGTTATATTCAATGGAAACATCTGTCTCATTTCAATGAGAACATTAAGCCCTCTTTAAGTCTATCAAATGCTGGTCGCTAAAATGTCACCTTTCGCTAGAAATTTCATCGGCACTATTTCTCTTGTCGTTATAGAGACCAACACGGCCGCATCTTAAAATGATAGACTGTTTTTTGTTATCGTTGGTGTCGTTAAAGTGATATGTTTTTTTCGGAAGGTCCCACATCTGAAGGAAAAATTTTAGATGGAGCAAAAGAAGGTGAAGACATTGACTTTCAAAAAAGCAGGACTTTCATCGCAGCTCATTGGAATGAATTTGCAGACCTCGAAAGTGACGTCAAAAGTATCAGGTGGTGTGCTGGCTTGTCACCAGGTTCATGCAATCTTGTTCAAGAAACCGAACTTACTCCATCGAGTACCTCCACACGTAAGGTTCTCAACGAGCCCGTAAAGAACGGTGAGCGGTACTATGTCACGGTGAACGCAGTTAACGGAGCAGGCGTTCAAACCTCATACATGTCAGATGGAGTGACTGTTGATGAGACTCCGCCAACTTCCGGGATTGTGATCTACGGAAATGGCATAGAGAGCAGTTATGTAAATGGAGAGGAAGATATTCGTGCACATTGGATTAACTTTGAAGACTTAGAGTCTGGCATCGAGTCCTATGAAATAGCTTTATGCGACGCCCAGAACGTGTCCTTCTGTCCACAATCTTTTACTGGAGTGGGAAAAGCTACCAATGTTTCGATAACAGGTAAGATAAAAAGATGTGTATGTTAATATTTTCACGTCCGTTTAGGTGAGCCTCGGCGGACAAATTTTACAGCAACATGACGGCTTACCAGAGCAAGTTGTAGCGCGAAGTCCAACTCAATTGCAAATTTGTCTGCAATAATTCTCAGATGGCCATGAAAATTCCCAAGGTGGGTTATCTAGGTTCACCATAGACTACCATGGGTGCATTCCTTTGCAAAAATCCAAGGCCCTTCATATCACGACCATATTGAGTTTATTTCAGGAAGGACCCATCATAGACCTCTTAGTGACGAAAACCTTTGACCAAGACAATTAAAAGTATTTTCAAGGAATCACTATAAATTATATTCTCTTGTACTAGTTTGTCTTATATAAAAGTCAAATACACCAGTGATAGTGCATTTGATAAACAACCGACATGCTCATAGCCAAGCTATGAGTCAAACTTTAAGGGAGTGATCGATTTCTGTAAAATATATATTTGGTTATAAATTTCTGTGACTTGCAGGAATAGACCTTGAAAGCGGCGGTCAGTACTTCGTCATCGTTAGGGCCTTCAACTTTGCCGGTCTCTATGCTCAAGCTTCCTCTGATGGATTCACGGTTGATTTTACCCCACCCTTAACAGGCAAAGCAAGGATAGGAACTGGACTCGAGCCAGCCAAATACCAATCAGATTTGACGAATTTGACTGTCAGGTGCAGTACAAAATTAGTCTTTGGTTTTCAAAATCGTCATTGGCTTGTTTGTGGATAACACAATTTTTATGCACTTCGTAAATCGATGAAGTAAGAAAACATTAAAACTATTTTGAAATTTATAAGCAACCGTTGCAACACAGCACTTACACAACCATTACGCGAGAAGAGGTAACTCAGAACGCTACAGATTCCTTAAAATTCCTTTTCATCCTGACTTATCTTCGTTGGCTACCTTAATTTGATAATGCGCTAGTGCGTGATCATGGAACTGGGCTGTAACGGATATTATTAGAACAAATATTTCCTCCTCGAAACTCAAATCTTCTGCACTTGTAGTATGAAGACACTCTTTCTTTTTCTAACTAGAATTACAAATTTTTTTGCTCAGGTGGGATCAATTTATTGACCCCGAAAGTAGAATATCTCTATATAAAGTTTGTGTCACTACTGTCCCTGGGAATTGTACAGTCACCAACTACATTGACGTGGGTATGGATGTCAGCTTCACTATTCATGAGTTAAATCTACTCCATGGCGAATCATATTTTGCTATTGTAAAAGGAACAAACCATATCGGAATGTCCTCGGAGATGGCAACAAACCAAATATTGATCGATTCAACACCGCCAGTTTTGAAATATCCCGACAACAGTCTGATCAACACTACTAGAGAAAATCCTACCGGAAACATTTCTGTTCATCAGGGGCTTCAGTTTCCGACCAAAACGACGATTCAAGGCAGCGATCACGTGCGTTTCAAGTGCACTGAAGAATTACTGACTGCTGACTGGGATGAATTTGAAGATCCAGAGAGCCAGTTAGAGCGATATGACTGGTGTGTCGGAACATCTCAAGCACAGTGCGATGTATTAACTTTAAGGTCGGTGGATAAAAGAAGCGATGGAGCAGATATAACAAATAGAATATCTTCAGGGACGCTACTTTTTGCAACAGTATACGCCATAAATGGAGTAGGATTAAAAGCTCGTTTGGTATCTGAACACTGCAAGGTCATATCCGTTGCACCTATGGTTGTGGAAGTTATCGATATTCCCGCTTCGAACGGAACTACTCTCACCGACATTGACTGGAAATCTATGGCCCAAAGTTTGTCACTCAGCTGGGAGATATTTGGAAGATATTTTGAAGATATTTCACGTTTTCATATTCAGGTAGCTATCACACAGCCTTCTTCGAACCTGTCTTTGCCACAGATTGACTCCGCGAAGTCCTGGCGTAGCGAACCGCTAGTACACGATTTCATGGACGTATTGAAATGGCAACGAAATGTGACTCTTCAGGGCGTGACTTTAGAGCCATGGGAACGTTACCGAGAAGTTGTGAGGGTCTGGAACGAAGGAGGTATTTACAGTGATTCTGCGAGTGATGGACTGAGAATCGAGCCTGCTGCTCCTCCAGAGCGTGGATTATTCCTCTCAGATAAGGCAGCCAAACAAGAGCCCCGACGTTGGCTCCCAGATCTAAGATTGCCTACGGTTAACGAGAGTGCATTAGACTCGGAGATAAAATATATATCTTCCCCTGGAGAGGTGGAATTGATCGTGAGAAGTGGCTTAAATGACTCCAGCAATAGAACAGCTTTCATTTTGGATCACAATCTTTTCAGTCCGACTAAGGAATTTAAAATTATTGTTCAAAGAGTTGCATCAGACACGAATGAAACCAACACCACTGAGGAGTTGCGCGTAATGGAAGTCTTCCCGGGTTTTGCCGATCCCGATGGTCCATGTTGTACCAGGCGCCCACTTGATCCCCAATCTCTCTTCAGTGACACTCATTTTAAAACAACCATACCCTCTCATCATTTTGGTGTTTCTATCGCTAGGCTACCAAACGATCATTTTGCTGTTGGTTCTGCAGATAAGGCGTTTGTTTTGCCCCTTCGAAACAGGGCTGCCAGCCACATAACATTGCCAGATTACATTGTTGGTTTTCCGACAACACCCATCACTGTGGTATCTCACGGTAATAGGTCCGCATTCATGGCCAATGGTAAAGCCTATATTTTTCAAAGTGAAGTCAATGACACCGGCGATCTTGACTTAACTAAGACTGCAATTTTGGGAAATTGTAGGACTGTATCAACCGATATGTGTGACGCAAACAACAAGTGGGCCGATAATGTGAAACATGTGATAGCCATCAATCACAATACAGTCGCTATGACAGGAATCAACTCATCTACGAACACCAGTGTTGTGGCCCTTTTCCAGGAACGGAATGGTATGTGGAAGCTTGCAGAAGCTCTGGGAAAAGAAAACAATCATACTAACTTCGGACTTTCCTTGTCTTTGAACAAGCGTATCTTAGCTGTAGCGACAGGAGAAGGGAAGAATTCTTGCATCTCAGTGTACTCTGTTGAGAAGTTTACATTGCTCATGACAATTCGCATTTCTGACCTCGGAAAAATGACTACTCCTTTTTCACTTTATCTCACGGAGACTGACGCGCTAATAATGGTATCTGAGGACCGCAAGTCGGTAGATGTTTTACAGCTCAACATCACATCAAGTTCATACAAAGATGTATGCGACTTTCAAATCACACAAAACGAACATCTTAGTGGACACCTCGATGTCGATGCTCGAGATGGAGGTTACATCATCGCATTGGGTATGCAGACATCAGATGGCCGAGAGGGTGTGCTACTGTTAGGTTTTCATGGAATCTTTACGGACAATGAACTTAAAAAATGTGCCAACCTAGGACGTGTGATCGCACGAGAAAGTGGATCAAGAGTGGATGATGGAATTCCTCGTACTTCCGTTTCCTTTATCAATGATACAGTTTTGTTTGGTGCCCCAGATGTTATCGCATGGCCAGGACAAGGTGAAAATTCAGGTACTGGAAGGATTTATATAGCAACTTATTGTCCTCCTGATCATGTTCGGGTCAGGGTATCTCAGATAAAGGACATTGGGTCGGTGCGTTGCGTACCTTGCGAGACTGGACGGAAATCATTTGGCGGGTTCGCTGACATGTGCATGGAGTGTGAAGGAATGTCATGCTTAACACCTCAAAGTGACGATCCTTTCAGTTTTAAATCAAATATTTGTGACGCAGTTTCTTGTCTCTCTCAATCGATTTTGAATGCATCAACAAACGGCTTGAACTTCTCCTTCGCGAAAAGATCATTTTTCGTCCCTGGCCCGGAGAATTTGTACACGGTGCAGTTGCTTGAAACAACACGAGCCGATCTTTCAACAACTTCTCTCTCAGAGTCGTTCGTGATCGATCCGACCTCCCCTGAGATTGGACTTGTCTATGATGGACTTGGGAGCGACCCAAACAAGAACTGCTCGGACAACTCGACTTTTGGCGAAGACAGTCAGTGCTCTTCTCGTGACTTTAAGGAAACGGATGTGGACTACACCAATAATACGGGAGAGGTACACGCCAGATGGCTTGACTTCCTCGACGAAGAAAGCGACATCGTAGAGTACTTCTGGTGTGTAGGATCTAGGCCCATGACAGATGACATTTGGCAATGTGAAAGTACGGGATTGAGGCCAAACGGAAGTCATTACGGTCTTAACTTTGGGCAGGGTGACTATTACTACGTAACAGTTGTAGCCTGCAATGGAGCTCGCAGATGTTCTGCCGCTCACAGTGATGGCGTCACCATAGATACCACACCACCTGTGATGAATTATGTCAGGGATGGAATTATGGGGCCTGATATGGATTTTCAGGTAAAAAAGAGGTTGATGATATGTCATACCAATTCACCTTGTAACTCATGTCAAAATCCGTCTCACACTTTCCGAGTCTTACTCAGCCGATCGTGCTAAGAGGATAAAAAAAATCCAGCTTCAAGTAAATTTGTGCTTCTTAAGCCATATCACAAAATGCACCTTACTCAAAATTACTCAAAGTTTATGAGAAGTTTGACTCTTTATTTATTTCATCGCTTATTTAGGCCTATACTCTGAAGTTAAGGCAGCACGAAGAGTTTGGTTTATTCTCGCTCTAATTCTTGTCATACATGTACGTAAGGACACCTATGCACGGCTTTCTTGTTTGACTGAGAGCAATTGTCTGATTTCTCAAAGAAAACAATATTACTGAAATAAATAAGAAGTGTAGATATTAAGGTGCGCGAAATCGTAAACTATTCACTAGCCTATCGATTGGTCACAACGCTTGCCACACTTACACCTGTTTCCTTTCCAGGTCTTCGTTGATATTATCTTTGCCTATTTCTCTGCAAGTGACCTTGAAAGTAATGTGACATCATATGAGGTTGCTTGGGGAACTGCCCCTGGTTTAACGGATGTCAAGGAGTTCGAGGAAGTTACGAACACTACCATATGGCTAGCTAATTTCAAAGACGACGCACTTGGCGTAGGCAATATATATTATGCCACTGTTCGTGCTACAAATGGAGCTGGCCTACTGTCGGAAAGGCTGTCGTCCAACGGAATCGTCGTCGGCAAGTCGGAATATACTTTTGATAACGCAACTAGTGCTGAGTTTTTCTTTGATACTGTGAATGTTAAAGAAGATGGTACTCGCAAGGATGGAGGAGTTGGAAAGACATACGGGACATTGACTGTACCTGAAGGTGCTGTCAAGGAACAGGTGAAGTTGAGATCGTACAGTTTGGATGACAAAACAATGGATACAAATAAGACCGACGAGGGTCCCGTCAGCAACCCTACTTACACCAGGCCCAAGGTATATTTTGGTTACTTTGTACTGTGGTTTTGTTTGTTCTTCTCTCTTTCTTCCTCATCTTAGGTTATTTTCGATCACAATATTTGATTTAAATTTGGAAGGACATAATGACATATTAGTCTGTGCATTGATACTTGCATCAGTTGCCAATTGCCACAAGAGTGTAATAGGTGTGTTTCGCATGAGAGAAAAAAGCTCACTAATTTTTTTTTATAATTGAACAGCAATTCATGCTTGGGAATTACAGTTTCGTCATCAAGGCGTTAGACCCACAGGACAACACAGTGAAAGAAGGCTTTAAATTCTCTAAGCCAATCACAATTGCCATGTTCTACGACGTTGATAACCTGGTGAAAGCCAACAGTAAGCACGTCAACAATGAAGTCACCAAAGAAGACATAGACCCTGTGTTGTATTTGTGGGATTCGAAAAATGACAGCTGGTGAGTTAATCGCTGGAAAGATTTTAAAAACGAAACATTAAAAAAAGAAAATATACATGAAAGGACAATTGCGTTTAGAGAAGAAGTATTTGTTTACAAAGCTTTTGCGAACACTTTCAGGTTTTGTGTAACTCGGTACTGAGTAAATGATGGCTTTATTGATTGATTAATTAATCTATTTATTGATTGACTTATACATTAATTGGATTAATTTATCGACATCAAGGCAAATCATTATCATCGTCATCATTCTTCTCGTTGTTTGCATAAGAGAAACTTACCCTTGCTGTTTGCCTTTTTGCTTTCATTTTGATGCTTAGGTTTGATGCGGCTCTCACGTGCCCTCAGCCCTGGAGTCACGTGAACAAGTCGATCAAACTGCTAACAGTGCGAGTCTGTCACCTGACTCAGTTTTCATTCCTTTGGTCATTCTACGCTCAAAATGGTTTGGTGCTACTTGATAAAAACAATTCAAGTAAGTGTTTCTGCTAAGCTTCAAGTGTTCCTTCGGAATACAAGATAAAGGCAACGAGTCCTATCGTAGTAATTTATTCCTGGTGGACAAAATTCATAACTAATTCATCAAACAGATGATGATAATTGATTAAGGTTGTTAACTTAGAATACTTTCGATGAAAAAAACGTTGACACCTACAAACCGTTAGCAATGAACCATGAGACCTAACGGTTTTTTGGATACACATTTACATGATAACCACAACTGGTTGCTCATGGTCAGTGATAATCCAGTGAATTACCAAATTTTCCTTCTTAACTACCGCATAGGAACTGTATGGCAACCAGAGCGGTCAAATATGATTCAGAACTTGAAAGCTGTACCCATTTTTGATTCATTGACATCTATACATTAATCTTTAAAAGCTTTATCTACATATATCTAAGCTTGCAGTTCTTCGAACTAGCTACTAAATACTTCTGGATACCTGAATTTCGGACAGTTATAAAGCGACATTTGACTGAATTACTAACTGGTGAATTTTAATATCACATTTCTCATTTTTCTGTCGTTTGCCTTTATCTCCAAGGCGAAATGACAAACTGATATTTGCATCTCGTGTCAAAATATCCTATCTCTTCTCCTTCTTATCCATAGTGTATAACGAAGATGGAGTAGTAAAAGTTACCCGCTCCAGACACGTCAAAAAACTGGAATTTCCATTACGAAGAGCGAAAGGTTCCCAGGGCGACATAACAGTACAATGGTCTTTGTACCAAAACGATTCATCAGACAGTATGGAGATCGTGTGGCCGAAATCTGGAGAAGTGTTTTTTACAGATGGACAGTGGACTGACTCGTTTATCATCAACATCGACAACGACGAGGAAGAAGGACAGCAGAGCGTAGTCTGGGTCCAACTGGACGAGGCTACAGGTGGTGCCGTTCTTGCATCACGTGATCAAACTACAACCAAGATTTTAATAACAGGAAATGAAAAGAAGAGTGGGGCCTGGAGATGGATTGTGACTGGGGTCTGTTTGGGGGCGCTTTTGATTTTTGTTGGTGCTCTTGTGTATTGGCTACGCAAAAGGAAACAAGAATCGCAGAGGTAATATTAGATGAGAAATCTTAAGTACATATTTAGATCAGTGATAAATTTCAAATTTACCTTGTAACCTGCCATGTGGCAAAATATGGTTGCCCGGTAATTAGCTTGCTGCACTTTAGTTTAAGAGGTCCCGGCTAGATGAGTACCCGAAAACTTAACAGTAACGTAGTTTAAGTTCCCAACGAATCACCTTTGATATACTGTCGTTCCACTCGAAAAAAGAGGAGTTACTCTAAGTCCTACACAAATAATCGAAATCTATCCAAGCCTCAGGCATAAAAGTCAAAAGGCTTCGAAGACTTACGAAGATGCTATTATTTTACTGTTGCAGGAATGTGAACAGCAGAACTGAGATTGAGGTTCCGTCCTGTAGTTCAATGCTTAGAGAACGAGGCTTGGCTGGTGAACAGATGAATTCTAGCGATGTGGATCCACCGAAACCGGTCCCGAAAACTGTTTCAGTAATGTATGGTGGTGATACTGAGACACAGCCTGTCTCTCCCAAAGAAACACACGGGTGGGGAGAAACTCTTCTTCCTCTTTGTATAGTGTGTCTTATGTAGGATAATTTTAATATACTCTCTCGCGTAAGAGGAATCAAAACCAAATTGAACCCTTGAAGTAATCGATATTAAATTTAGGGTGCGTTCCTTTAGGAGAATCCGGATCAGGATTTCTGATCTGTGACGTCCCTTTCGAGCAAACCGATTTTCAGATCAGTGATCTATCAAATCCACTCTAGACAAGGATTCGTCGGATAACTGATCTGCGTGATCTAAAGACGGATCATTGGATCACTGATCCAACGCGTTCCTTTGGGCGAAGGATCCGAAATTAATCATTTTGCCCAGTGGTGTTCAATTTCGAGGTACTTCATATATTGACCGGAAAGATTGTTGGCAATCGCTCCAAATTCTGCTATAAACACGAAATAAAATCGATTTTGTAATGTTAAATCGATCGGCTACTGATCTCAGGCATTCAGGGTTCTCAAGTATCCATATCGTAATCAATACTTGCTTCTGTTTTATTAATTCCTTTGTTTGAGTTTATCATGAAAAAATGTGCATCTAATGATAGTGCTATAGACGAGCCATCAAGGGAAGAGCTCAATAACCCACGTGCATACACAAGTCTTAAAATAGCGCACTTTTTGGAATTCTCTAAGATCTCGTCTAAACTTCGTCTCCTTTCATTCATCGTGATGTGTGTGATCTTGGATCACAAATCCTAATCCGGATCCTCCCAAAGGAACGCACTCTTAGATGATTCTTCATTTTCATTTACTGCAGGGCCGCGTCTCCTCTGTCGTGCATCCCGGAGGAACGTCTTGCGTGGCGCCTGGAACAGACTGGTGCCCAGGAAACGAGCAATCTTAGCACTAGTGGAGAGTCAGTACTGCATAGAGGAAGCGATAGCGCGCAGCGATCAGATTTTGGAAAGAAGAAAAGGAGGAAACCCATTTTGACAAGTAAAGTAGTTTTTATCAATTTTCCCTTCTGCTGCTTCTCTTGTTTCCTTCCGCAGTCAAATGCTTTTCAAGCTAAAGTAGAGGTGCGGTTTTAAAACAGCGCAG